GATGTCGATGGGGCTGTCGAAGCGGGAGAGGACGCGCTCGAGGAGCTCCCTGGGGAGGTCGAGCAGGCGGGCGGGCGGCGGCGCGTCTGGCGAGGGGGCGGCGGTGGAGGCGGAGGCGAGGCGGCGCGAGCGGCGGCGCGGCGGGGTGGACATCGCGAGGAAAAGAATTAATAGTTGCGCTTTATAATAATAATAATTGTACTGTGGCTCCAGGGTCTTTGTATGAAAAAAGAAATAGGCGTGGCCCGGCGGAGCTACCCGCGGTAGTGCGAGCGCGTTCTCGGCTCGCGGCTCGCAGCTTCGCGGCGTAGGCCTAAAAGGTCCGGAGACTGGCGATGTCACAGCCGCCCGAGGACGAGGAGGTGGACGAGGCGATAGTGGAGGACGTCGTCGCCCAGGAGGACGCGTTCAACGACGACACCTTTGGCGACAATGTCGGCACGGGCAAGGACTTTTTCGAGCTCAACTCCGAGAAGCTGGCGGCGCTGCACGAGTCCTTCCTCGCCGAGCGGGCGGGCGTCGAGGGCGGCGGCGGGTTCTTCGACCTCGGCGCGGAGGGCGCGCTCGGGGCGCTTGAGCCGCACCGCGCCGCCGCCACCCGCGGGCTGCTCGGGCCGGACGACCTGCTCGCGCTCGACGGCCTCGACGCGGGCCTACTCGGCAAGCTGGAGGGGCTCGAATCGCCGCCTCGCGAGGCTGCGCCGGCGCTGGCCGGCGGCGGGTCGCGGTCGCTCCGCGTCTCCGGCCTGCCCGCCTCGCTGAGCGAGGAGCAGGCGCGGCAGCTGCTCTCTCACTTTGGTCCGCTCGAGGAGTTTGAGCTGGTGGGGGGGGGGGAGTCGAGCACGGCGACGCTGAGCTACGCGGACGCAGCGACCGCGGAGAGCGCGCGCGCGAGCCTGCAGGGCATTCCGCTCGGCGGCAACGTCCTCGAGGTTGCCCTCGCCCGACCCCCTCTCGACCTCGAGCAGCGCTTTGCGCGCCAGGCCGCGGTGAGCGCGCCGCAGCCGCCGCCGCCGCCGCAGGGCGGGGCCGCGCTGTCGCAGTCTGCCGCGCCGCCGCAGCCACTCCCGCCGCTCGGCGCTTCGCCGCCTCCTCCTCGCCCATTGGCGCCGCACCCTCCAGCCGGCATGCCTCCGCCTCCTGCCGGCTTAGTGCCTCCGCCTCCTGCCGGCTTAGTGCCTCCAGCCGGCATGCCTCCGCCTCCGGGGGGGGTGCCGGTGCCCGCAGCTCTGCCGCAGCTGCAGCAGCCTCCCCCACCTCCGGGCGTGCCGCCGGTCGCAGCGGCTGGCCTGCCGCCCCACCTGCAGGCAGCGATGGCGAGGGTGGCCCACCTGCCGCCCGCGCAGCAGCAGGCCCTGCTCGCGCAGGTCGTGGCGCAGCAGCAGCAGGTCGCGCGCCAGATGGCGGTGATGCAGCAGCAGCAGGCGGCGCGGCAGCAGCAGCAGGCGCACGCGCGGCAGCAGCGGCCGGCCATGGACGAGCTGCAGGTCTGGCCCTAACCCGTACCCACACCCTAACCCTTACCCTAACCCCTACCCCTACCCCTACCCCTACCGTGACCCTGACCCTAGCGGCTGGCCATGGACGGGCAGCAGGCGCCTCGGCTGAACTCTAGTGATGGCTGAACTCTAGTGATGGCTGAACTCTAGTGATGGCTGAACTCTAGTGATGGCTGAACTCTAGTGATGGCTGAACTCTAGTGATGGCTGAACTCTAGTGATGAGCCACGCGAGAGGACCCAATCGCCGACGGGTGAGCTGCAGGCGCCCGGCTCGCGGGTGGGCCGGCGGATGACGGGGCAGGAGCTGCAGCTCATCCTGCGCCACCAAGCGTACCAGCTGCAGATGAACGACCCCGTCGACGACGACTTTTACCACCACTTTTGGATCATGAAGGGGGGCCACTCCAAGGCAACCTCGCGCGCACACCCTCCTCTCCGCGCTCCCGTCGACCGCCCCCCCCCCCCCCCCCCTCCTCCCCTCTCCGCGCCAGGCGAAGCACGCTCTCTCCGCGCCGAGCACCACCACCACCTCGCGCCGGCTGACGCAGCACGCGACCAACGAGCAGGTCGGCGCATCGCTCGGCTCTGCTACCCCATTACCCACACCCACACCTAACCCTAACCCTAGCCAACGAGCAGGTTGGCGCCTCGCTCGGCGCCGGCAACGTCTCCACCCGCCCGATCGCCGCAAAGATCGCCGCGCCCAAGCCGCTCATCGAGATGGGCGGCCCGCCCGACCCGCCGGACGGCGCGTTCCCTTCCGACGAGACGGGCGCACCGCCGGACGGCGCGGGCCCGCCCGCGCTCCTCTCCGCCAGCCGCTGGCACACCCGCAGCCAGGTTGCCGCCGCGCGGGAGGCGCTCATCGGGCTGCGCGTGCACGCCTCGTCGGCAGCCGTGCGCACCCCGGCGGGGCAGGAGCAGCGCCGCGTGCTGCTCGAGCGCCTCTTTAGCCGGCTGCGCTCGCCCGGAGGGGCGGAGGGCGCGCCTCCGCCCGAGGGGGGCGCGGTCTCGCCCGAGCTGCTCTGCTGCGAAAAGGGGCAGAAGCTGGTCGCCGACGTGATGCCGCTGCTGCCACCGCCGCTCCTCGCCGCCGTGCTGCAGGCGGTGGTGGCGCACCTCGGCGCCATCGCGCGCTCGAAGAGCCCGCGCGTGACCTCCTTCTGCAGCGGCCTCGCCGCGGCGCCGAAGCTGCTCCCCGTCGAGCAGGCCGCCGCGCTGCTCGCCGCCCTCCCGCAGCACGGCGAGGCGTCCCTCGCGCTCGCGCTCGGCCGGCCCGAGCTGTCTGCGCTGCTGCTCGGCCTGCTCTGCCACCCACACGTCGCTGTCGAGGCGCGGCCGGCGGTCGAGGCGGCGTACCAGGCGCTGCTGCCGCTGCTGCACCAGCACGAGCAGGCGCGCGCTGCTCGACGCCATCGTTGCTCACTACTGATGCCTCAGGAGGAAGTGTCGAACCCAGGCGTGGGCGCTGCTCGACGCCATCGTGCCCGGCGCGGACGGCGCACACGCGGACGTGCTGCGCGCGCTCCTCGGCCGCGTCGACTCCGCCGCCGTCTCCGCGGCGTGCGCGCCGCGGCTCGAGGCGGTGCGAGCCATGTTGGCCCAGTGATGAAGAGGGGGGCGGGGAGGGAGGGGGGGGGAGCTCCAGGCCGTGACGAAGAGGGAGGGGGGGCTCATGCGCACGGCCTGTCGGTCAGCAGGCCAGTTCGCAGCCGTGGGGAGCAAGGCCCCGCGGGGGAAGCGGTTGACGGGCGCGACATTGTAGGTGCCAGGGCGTCTGCGCAACGCCGCGCCGGAGGGTGGCACGGAGGTTCCATTCGGAGAGCTCTCCCTGGTGCTGGTTGCGCGAAACTGTCACTTCTCACTTGCGACACAGAATTTTTCTCGCATCCGCGACCGTTTTAAGTTTCGAGGGTTTGTCTTTTTCACTGCGGACTAGGGCCCCCCCGCCCACAGAGATTTTGAGCCACAGACTGAGTGCCCACAGACGCGAGGACCGAGGTGCCGGCCGGTGTTCGCCGCGGTGCGCGGAGGCGGGGGGGCGGGGGGGCGCGGCGGGGGCGCGCGGCCCCCCCCACAGTGAGTAAATAAATAAATAAAACGGACACCTCTACTAGGAGATGGGTAAAAAGGAACAGGTCCCCGCCCTGCGGTCTTTGTGCAGGGTTCTTTGTGGGTGTGGTCGGCGACTAGCCGGGGTCGTCCTCCCGATGGGGGACTAGCACTAGCCGTCTTCCACATGGTCCCTCGGGTCCCTGCTGCTCCTAATCTCGTCGTACATCCTCCTGCTGATCTCCGCAACATCCTGCTCCCTCCCTCGTCTCGCCCTGCGCGTCTGCTCCGCGCCTCCCCGTCGTCCGCCCTGCGTCGTCTGGTGACGGGTCCTCCATAGTCGGTTGAGGTCGCCGCTAAAAAAAAAACTGTTCAGTTTTCAAAGGCAAAAACGCCAGCCTACGCCCTCCCCTCACACTGACACTTCTCTCCCCTATTCCCGTCTTTAGGTTGCGCACATCTCCCAGCGAGCTAGGTTCTCCGCTTTTTCTCCCCTAGTCATCTGCCCGCGCCGCGCGCCTCTGTGGGCGTCTAGTGCAGCCACTGACAGAACTGTTCCAAAGGAGTGGTCAACGTCTCGCCTGAAGTCGGGTGGGCTCGCGCACTGCTTAGCCCTAGGGGAGGGGTGTGTGTGAGGTGTCGGAATGGTAAGGTTTCAGGCCGCCAAGGTGTGGGGGATTTGGGGGATGAGTCAGGAGCCAGCAGCCTTCCTGCTGGACCTGAGTTCACAGCTCCTCCGCCCGACGGGGTGGTCCCTTGGATTCGGGCCCCGCTCCCTTTTCCTGCGCCTGGTCTGTCCCTGTCAAGTGTGTGTTGCGAGATGCAGAGCTGGTTAGGCTGGAGCGCGGGCGGTGCGGTGGCAGGCGAGGGCAGCGCGGTAGGCGAGAGGCGGCCGCGGGGCTTCGAGTGGCGCGATAGGAGGGTAGGCTGGCTGTGGAGGGGCGCCGCGTGGCCTCGGCAAATGAGTAGTGCTTTATGAGCGGCCAGTTTTGTGCGTATTGCATATCGAGCCTGCGGTGTGGCCTAGTTGGTGCAGCGTTCGGGTCGGGGACGTTTTGGTCGTTGGTTCGAGCCCAGCTGGTGCAGTTCGTAGTCGCGTAGCGCGCGGGTGCGCGGCAGCCTCGGCAACCGAGGCGACAGTGGCGAGCAGGGGCGAGCAGGGGCGAGCAGGGGTCAGAGCAGTGCGGCGCGCCGAATTTTTTTCGATGGGCTCGGTCAGTGGGCGTGTCAGGAGGCGGCCGGCCGGGAGAAACTCGGCAGTAAAACTCCCGCGCCGGCCCAGGAGGTGGGAGTGTCACGGAGGCGGCCATTGGCGCGCGCTCCTTGTCTTCGTGGGTCCGAGTTTTTTCTTGAGGTCGCCGCTAGTGTGCACAGCAGATTAACATTAAAAAGCAAAGTGGAGAGAGCCCGCGAGGATCGCTGTCTGACTGTGTTGTGTTCTCGGCATAGTACTCCACGGCGCAGCTCTGTACTTTCCGCAGTACGACGTTGCTCGGACGCTGCTCCGACGTGCGCCCATATGTACATGTGCACATGACTCAAGACACCATACGCGCACACCGGTTGTGGGTGCACACGCTACAGTACACCCGCCGGACGTATAATCTCACTGCGCAAGGGTAGGGGCGCCTCACTCGACCGAGAAGTGCAGCGTCCGCGCCAGCGGCGGGGGGACGCGTCGACTCGCCTCCGGTATCTCCTGCGGGCCGGCAACATCCTCCGACAGAATGCGCGGGAGATTGTGCGGTGTGGACGGCGTCTCGGTGCTCGAGGCCCCCGCGTCGCCCTCGGCCGCTGCTCCGCGTGGCGTCGACGGCGACGAGCTCGAGCGGCACATGATGGCGCCGCCGCGCAGCGGGCAGGCGGTGATTGCCGGGGTCTCGCTGCTGCACGCGCCCGGGAAGGTTGCGCACGCGTCCCCTTCTCGGGGCGGGCGGGGCGGGCGCGAAGGCCGGCAGGGCCGCGCCTTGCCGCCCCCAGATATGCTCACGGCGGCGGGGCTCGACGAGCGGCGAGAGATCGCCACCTGCTCCTGCGCAAAGTGGACGAGCGCGCTCACCCGCTCCTGCGCCTTGCGCTGCGACGAGCCCGCCGCCTTGCCAATCTCGTCGAGCTTGGCCTGCGCCGCCTTGCCGATCTCCTCGCTCGTCTTTGAGATCTCCTTGCCAATCTCCTCGAGCTTGGCCTGCGCCAGGCGCTGCCATCGGGGCGAGCTGGGCGAACGGCCCGAGAGGCGCTGCGCCGGCTCGAGGGCCTACCAAGGACGGGGTCCGAGAGGGCTCGTGGGAGTGCCCCGCGAGGAGTGCGGCTCAGGCTCGGCGCCCCCCACCGCCAGCGAGGGGGGGAGCGGCAGCGGCTTGCACCACTCCGTCCCCGTGGCGGACGAGCACGCGCCGGCCAGGCGCCGCGGAGCCGACGAGGCGGTCGAGGCGCGCGCCTGCCCCTCCGACGGCTCGGCGGCGGGGTCGGCGGCCGGGGAGGCGGGGCGCGAGCCGCCGCGTGGCGCGGCGGCGTGCGAGCAGGCAGACAGGAAGACGGGCGAGGGCGGCGTCCGCGTCGGCGTGGCGGCGCCCTCCTCGAACGGCGCGACGTGCGCCCTGCGCAGGCCGAGCGGCAGCCGCAGATGGCTGAAGGCGCTCGTGATGGAGTGGCCGGCCTGGCCGATGGCGGACTCGAGGCTGAGCCGCGCGGGTGTCCGCGCCTCCAACCGCGCGCAATCGGCCCACCGGCGGCGTCCCTCCTGCGCGGAGAGGGGACGAGTGACGGGCGTGTCCGCGGCCGTGCTCCGGCGGGCGGCGCGGCCCTCCTGCGTCTCGCACGCGTACGTCTTCCGCTCGAGCGCCTTCATTAGCCCCTGCACATCCAGCTCGAGGCACCACTCGCGGCCCTAGAGGCACGTCCAAAGACGCGTCCGTGACACGTCCACGCCACGTCCAGCTCGAGGCACACCACGCGCGATCCTCGCGCGGTGGCACCACACGCGCCGCGCGCACGTCGGACCCGCGCTGCGCCTAATGAGTCGCCGCAACCACTCACGCACCATCGAGCAAGCCTAGTCAGCGCACTAGGCCCGCGCTGTGCCGTCAGGACGAGGCGCGAAACGATGTCGTCGCGGGCGGCCTGCAAGTTCCGGTACTCGCGCAGCCGCCCGCCGCCGAGCACGACGTAGACGCGGCGCCAGCCCGCCGCCGCCGCCTGGCTCGCCCGCAAGATCGAGCGGCGCGACTGCCACCCGTCGGAGAGCGAGGCCCGCCCGCCCTCCTCGAGGGAGCGGTGCCGCTGCGGGCGCGCCTGCAGGACGGCTCCCGAGCTGTCAGACAAGGCGCCCCCGAGGGAGCGGCGCGGCCGCAGGCGAGCTGCCGTGGCGCGCGAGCTCGACGCGACGGCGGCGAGCGACATGAGAGCCTGTTCACCGCAGCACGCGTGACGGGGCGCTCGTCGCGCGGGTGGCGCGCGACTTGATCCGAACGCCTCGGGCGAGAGGGCGCTGCCGACAGAGTGCGGCGAGTCGAGCAGTCGCCAGAGGTAGCCGTGGTGCGAGATGCCTGTTACGTGATGTCATCTCATGCTGTGTTATATGAGCAGTCGCCAGAGGTAGCCGTGGTGCGAGATGCCTGTTACGTGATGTCATCTCATGCTGTGTTATATGAGCAGTCGCCAGAGGTAGCCGTGGCGCGAGATGCCGGCGGCGGCGGAGATGTCCTCGCGCGCGCGCCTCGCTCGGACCTTTGCCCGCGCGAGGAGGCGGCGGGCGTACTTGACCTTGAGGCTCTGCTCGAGTGCCGTCTCGCGGTCCGCCTGGCGGCGCATCGCGCGCTGGAGGTAGGTCGCGACGTCGGCGAGGAGGTGGAGCTCCTGGACCAGCAGCACGGGGTTGGACTGGTTGTTCTCGACGATGGCCTCCTCGATCGAGGTGAGCACCTGCTCTCGGCCGATCTCGGGTCATCTCGGGTCATCTCGCCGACGGCCTCCTCGATCGAGACGTTGGCACCGGCCGCCAGAGCTTGTTCGCCATCCACTCGGGCGTGAAGGCGGAGATGAGGCCCGAGGCGGAGGCGGCGAGCCGGACGAGGCCGGTGCGCGTGCCGCCCTTGACGGTGGAGGAGGCCTATCACTGGGTGAGGACTGGCTCAACCTCCGTTCGTAATGAATCGCCCTTGACGGTGGAGGAGGCCCTCGACCCGGATTCCTCCAGGTAATCTCAGGTAATCTCGGGTACTGTCAGGTGATCTCGGGTAGGTTCGGGCGCCTCGATCCGGATGTCCTCTAGCTTAAGCGAGATGTGCTCGACGGTGAGGTAGAGGCCTGGGCCGAGTGCCGCGGGCTGCGTGCCGGCCGGCGCGAGCGCCCCGCCCTTCTCGATGGCGAGGCGGAGGCGGGCGACGATCTTGCCGTTCCGCCCCTTGGCGCGCAAGTCTTTGTGCCGCTCCGTGCCGAGCAGCCGCAGGCCAATCTCGGGCAGCCGCACCTCACCGTTCAAACGCTCCACATTCAAATCGTCAACCCAAGCGAACGAGCCTCCTCTTTTGGGCCAGCCGCACCGCCACCTCGGCTGCACCTCGGCTGCATCTCGGCTGCATCTCGGCTGCATCTCGGCTGCTTCTCGCACCGCCACGTCGAGCGGGTCGACGTCAAGGCAGATGATGACGGAGCCGACGCGGCCGCGCGCCTCGTCCTCTGGCGAGGCCGCCTCCCACTCGAGGGAGAGGAGCTTCTCGCCCTGCCGCGCCGAGCCGACCATCGTGAGGTCGACCTGCATGCCTCGCATCCACACGTGCAGCGGCATGCGCCACGGCGGCACCGGCAGGTCGATGAGCGTGATGAAGTTGAACTCGGCCTCCTGCTCCGCGTCGTCCTTGGCGAGCAGCACCTGGCAGCGACAAGGGTGTTGTCGGCACACCGGCGACACACTCCCGCCCTCGCACCCCGCCCGGCGTCGCTCCTCGGCCAGCAGCAGCGCCGTCTCTCTCCTCTCTTTCTCTCCCCCCTTCTCGCCTCTCTCCTCTCTCTCCCTCCCTTTACGACATCTCGGCGGCACGCCTCGAGGTCGTCCACGTACTCGACGGTGCAAGTCGCCTCGCCGCCCCGCCGCCGCCCGCTCCCCTCCTCCGCCGCCACGCGCGCTGCCGACTCGGTGCGCTCCGCCGCGCGGACAGCGAGCCCCGCCTAGGGCCCGGAGGGCGCATCGGTCAGTCAATGAGCCGCTCCCTTAACTAAGTGGCGGATTCCTTCTCCGCCTCGAGTCCGGCGAGCGCGCTCTCCGCGAGCGCCGCGGCGGCTGCACCGCGCGGCGTGGCGGGGCGGCCGCCGGGGGCGAAGCGCTCCGTCTGCGGCGCGGGGGCGGCCGCGTGCACGGCGGTGACGCGCGCGTTGAAGAGCGACGCCCTCGGCGAGCACCTGTTCGCAGCTGCTGCGTGAAGAGACGCGGCACAGCGGTGAGACGAGCGACGCCCTCGGTGAGCACTCGGTGAAGTAGCCGACGCGCCGGATGCGCACCAAGTTCTTAGTGTCGAGGACGAGCCGCACTGGCTGGCCGTCCTTGCCGAGCGTGGTGTAGCAGCGGGCGGCCACGCGGATCACCGGCGTCCACGGCAACGGCTGCCTAAAACAGGACAAGCTGCGCGTGAAGAACCAACAGTCTCTGAACAAGCCTCCGCGGCAGCGGTGTGCCCCGTCCGAGGGTCGTCCCGCATCGAGAAGATGCGCGAGGCCGGCACCGCGCTGTCCGCCTTGAGGTCGTCGTGCGCCACGACGCACCCGCGCACGCCGACCGCAGGCATGAGAGTCCACTTCTTGAGCCCGTGCAGCAGCTCGCGCGGGAAGCGAACCTCGTCCGGCGGCGCCATCTCCTCCTCTTGGGCCTGCAGCGCGCACAAGCCGCGGCGCAGCATCCACCGCCCGTGCTGCGAGAGGAAGACGTCGTGCAGCAGCGAAGCGAGCAGCGACCCGCCCATCGGCCAGAGCTGCGCGACGGCAGAGCCGATCCGCGGCTCGTTCGCCACGCGGTGCGAGTGGTCGAGCAGCAGCCGCGCCACCGGCAGCAGCTCCGACGGCAGCGGCGAGCCGCCCGACGTGAGCAGCGCCGTGTGGATCGGCCCTCCCTCGCCGAGCAGCCGCGCCAGGAAGTTGAGGCTGGCGCTCTCCGACGCCTTGGAGGCCGCCGCGCGCACGCGCGAGTGCATCCGCTTGAGCCGCAGCAGCGAGTCCTGAGGGAGGGGTGGATTCATGCGCTTCCCAATGAACTTGTGAATGAGGGCATCCGCTTGGGCCGCAGCAGCGATGCCGGCAGCAGCGGCTCGCTCCCAAACTCCCCGGCGATGAGGCGCACGAGGCCGCGCAGCGACGCGTTGCGCGCGGTCACGTCGCTGAAGCGGGACTCGTCGCCCCAGAAAGTGCGCCGCGGCGACGGCGTGCGCGGCGGGGCCGCGTCCGGGCTGGCGGGGCCCGGTCCCGGTGGCTTGTCGTCGCCGGCGGGGCAAGCGGCACGCCGGTCCTCGAGGAAGAGGGCGAAGCCTACCCACGCACGACTCGTTCGTGCGCTGACGCGCCTTACCTGTCCGTCCTCGAGGGAGAGGGGCGTAGCCGGAGAGGAGAGACGGCGCGGCGAGCAGCAGCAGGCAGCGCGGGGGAGGCGCGTCGAAGCTGCCCGCCGACTGCAACAGCGCGACGAGCGGCACGAGCGCGCGCGCCTGCTCGGCCCAACCGCGCCAGAGCGCGGCGGTCGCAGCGGAGGGCGCGAGGGACGTAGCGGAGCCGAGGACCTGCGAGACGCCGAGGCCGGTGCCGAGCAGCGCCATCTGGGCCAGGCGCGGGCCGCGGCAGTTGAGCAGCTCGAGCGCCGCCGCGTACCAAAAGACATAGCCGGGCGGAAAGATGGCAAGGCCGCGCGTCGCCGCGGAGAGGAGCCGCTCGACGCGCGGCGCGATGGACGTGAAAGTCATCGCGTCGACGAAGGAGGTCTCCGTCGCGTCGTCGCGCACTAGGGCGAGCGAGAGCAGCAGCCAGCATGTGCGGCCGACAGACTGCAGCCAAAGCAGGAAGCAGAGCGACGCGAGCGCGCGGAACCCCGCCGCCGCCGCCGCCGCCGCCGCCGCCGCGTCGGCGCTGAGCGAGGCGCGGCCTGCCCCGCGGCGCAGGGAGAGGTCCCACCACAGGGTCCACCAGAGGGAGGCGAGCTCGTACGCAGGGACGAGGCAGAGGAGCAGCTGCGCCGCTGCGCCGAGCCGGCGCAGCCCGTACAGCCCAGCCATGCGGCGGCGGCGGCTCTGGTCGGCGAGGTCGAGGATCTTGGACTCGAGGTTGACCTACGCTTTCGGGTCTCGCGTCATCTCGGGGCAGCCTCGGTCCAGCCCCGCTGCGGTCTCGGGCTCGAGGCTGGCCTGGAACTGGCCGAGCTGCTCCCTCGACCGGCTCAGGTTCTCGCGCATCGACGAGAGCCGCTCCGCGCCTGCAGGAAGGCTCGGAGTAGCTTCGCGGAAGCTTCTCACGCACTGTCGAGAGCCAGCGCCCTCCGCACCCGTCGGCGAGCTGAGCGCCGCCGCCGCCGCCGCCGCCACGCCGCCGCTGCTGGACCGGCGAGGCTGCGGCGGCAGCAGCGGCGGGGTGGCGGCGCCGTTTGCGGCGGAGGCGCCGAACCACTTTGCGTAGTTGCTCGAGTCGCGCTGCTGCAGCCGCTGCCGGAGCCGCATTGCGAGTAGCAGCAGGGAGGCGAGGGAGGCCTGGACGCCGAGGCAGCACAGCGCGGGCCGCAGCTGGCGCAGCGCGGCGGCGAGGCGGCGGTAGCCCCCGCCCAGGAGGCGGGTCAGCGCGGAGAGAAGCGGCAAGCCTGAGGGTCAACTGGTCGGGATCCAGCTTGTGTCAGGGGTGGCGCGGCAGCGCGGGGAGGCGCGTGCCGAGGTGCTGCAGCAGCAAACGCTGCTCCGCCGACTCACCGCCCTCGCCACCTGCCTCGTCGCCACTCCCATCCGGCGCGGCGCAGCCCTCCGAGCCGCAGCAACCATCGGCTTTCGCGCCGACCAACCGGCGCCAAAAGGCGCTGCCGACGGCGGCGCCGCGCCACACCGGCCCCCGCGCCTGACAAGTTTACTGAATTCAAGACGCATGCTTGGGACCCGCGCCAACGCCGTGCCCGCGCGCCCGGGAGGCGGCGCACGCGCCCTCCTGTGGCGGTCTCACAGCGGACGGGTGCGTCGCGCGCTCGTGCCACTCTGCCGCCGCGGGAGGGGAGGGCGGAGGAGGCGGCGCGGCTTGCACGATGACGGCGACGGCGGCGGCGAGGATGAGGCCGGTGACGAGGCAGCCGAGCCTGCTCACGCATGAAGCACGCGTGAGTGCGGTTGAGAGGCAAGGGCGAGCCTCTCTGGCCACGGCCGAGCCAGGGAGAGCCGAGCAGCCGCTGCTCGACCTGCGCGAGCCAGCTGCGCATGGCGGGCCGCGGGCGCGACAGCCGCCGCACGCCGGCGCGGGCGATCGGAGCCATCGACCAGACGGCCGCCAGCGCCAGCAGCACGCGCACGCCGAGGCCCACGACGGCGGAGCGCAGCGCGAGCGGTGCCTCGATGGAGGCAGAGAGGGCATTGGCGAGCGTGTGTGCGTGGTGCAGCTGCTGCGCCGCCACGGCCGAGAGCACGTCGCCCACAGCCAGCTGCCGGTTCGCCTCATGCCCGCCGTCCATCAGCCGCTTGATGGGCTGCACCCACTTGGGCTCGCCCACTTGGATGCTGCTCGCGACGTGATACGGCTCGCCGAGGACGTCGACGACCTTGCGCAGGATGACGGCGACGGCCACGCCGAGGATGAAGCTCCAGCGATCCATATACACACCGAGCACAAGCCCCGCGAACCGACCGCCTCAGCTCGCCTGCAACATAACCTTTTCTGCGTGAGGTGTGAACATTGCGTTCAATTGCCAGCCTCACGAGAGTAACTTTATTTCAAGGGTTGCCCGGCCGGGTTGCTGCGCAAAAGCTTTTGTGTGCGCGGGTTCGCGCTGCGCTAGGCTCAGAGCGAGCTCGCGCTGCCTGCGCTCGCTAGCTAGGCTCAGACGGCAAGTTCGCGCTGCGCTGGCTAGGCTGACTCCCCACCCTGGAAATTACGGCTCAAAGGCTTAAATATCAAAGGACAAAGCTAGATGTATCACAGCTAGAGCTGATGATGATTGGGCTTACTCTTTCTTCCAGCGTGGTGCGTGGAGTGTCTGGACCTAGAGACAGGGCTGTGGGGTCATGAGTGAGGTGGCAATTCGATTATATGCAAGTGCGGCAGTCCTCGGAGGGAAAAGATGAATTTACCGCATGCCAAGTGCCTCGCACAACACCCAGACAACACCGGGCAAGGGACTGGCGCGCACTGGCACTAACACAGCTCAGGCAGGTACACACCACGCGAAACGAATTTTAGAACGAAACTCCATCGCACAACAATTGGCACGGGACTGGCGCGCACTGGGCAGGCTAGAACACGCGAAAAGTTCTTAGAATACAAGCCTCTCTCACGGCACACTGCTCTGGCACAATCAACAAGGGCGCGGACTGGCGCGGACTGGTACACACACACCGGCACACCACCGGAGCCGCCTAAGCGACTCCTTTTACGCGCGCGAGAAGAAAACTCGGCGATCGACACCGGTTTTTTGTTAAATGAACTCGCGGGCACAGGACGCGGCACTGACGCTAGCACTGACGGGGCACAAACGCCAGGAGGTTACAGACACACGGCGAGGCGCGTAGTAACGCAAGGCCAGTCAGGCGGTGGTGGCGCCCTCCGACGCCGCGGCGAGCCGGAGCTCGGTCGCGATCTCATCCGCCGCCGCGGAGCTGCACCGCAACTGACATGCGCTGTGCCTGCAGTGTGTGAGTGTGAAAATGCACACACACACACACACACACACACACACACACACACACACACACACACACACACACACACGCACGCACACACACACGCACGCACGCACGCACGCACGCACGCACGCACGCACGCACGCACGCACGCACGCACACACACACACACACACACACACACACACACACACACACACACACTGTGCCTGCAGCGACAGACAGCCACGACGAGGAAGGTGGGGGCCGCTGGCTGGCGATTGGGCGTGGAAAGTGAGTGCGCGCAGACTTTCGCTGACGAGGATACGCGGCGTTCTAAGCGACACACCAATTCGCCGTGATTGAGCCTGCGGTCGACAGTTTCTCCAAAAGAAAGAAAGAACGCACCACCGGCTCGACAGTTCCTCAGTTTCTCCTATAAATAAATAGAGCAGTCAAACCCTGGTGGGATTAGGGCAGCAACCCGACGGGCAGACCCCGCCCCGCTCGGAGGGCGTGCACCACGCAGCAGTTTCTCCTCTGCGAGGGAGTTTTGCGGTAAAATTCTTCTCTGCCGCGCGAGAGCGTTGTGTGTGCATATACGTGTACTCTAAGTTTCTCCGAGACCTCGGGAGCGGGCAGGTATTCACACCTCGGCAGTGTGGGCAGGGCAGGGCAGGGCAGTGTGGGTTTCACACCCGGGGCAGGTAGGGGATCGGGCAGGGCAGTTGTGCGGCAGTATGCGGGCAGGGCAGTACGGCAGGGCAGGGCAGGGCAGGGCAGGGCAGTTGGGGTCATAATTGCAGGGCTGAGATTCGGGATCTCAGGTGGTGAAAAAAAAGGGGAGACAATTGCTGTGAACATGGAATTTGGATACCAATCTCAGTGAGATGTGTGAAGAGGACGGCCGACCGACGAAACACACGCGCGAGCTCGCGAGCTCATCTGCATCTCAATCAAATCTCAGGGGGGCGCCGTGTGTATAAGGGTCGCGTGACACTGCGCTACGACTACTCCTCGTCCGTCTCCTCGTCGTCCGTCACCACGGTCCAGCGTGCGCCGACGACGCGGCCGACAGGAATGGTGCCGAGAGGAAAGGCCGCCCGCTCTTGATAGGGGGGTTGAGAAATTCGAACCCAAAATGGGCCGCCACACCCTCCACGTGGATGCCGAGGCGAAGGTCAGCCACTATGTCTGTGACTACACTGGCATCCCAATGAAGGGGCCCGGCTGCTTCATGCCCTTCTGGAAGACGCCCACCTCTCGCATGACCAAGCGCGGCAACTACTGCTGCTGGGAGGCGGTGCTGCAGCACGCCCGCGCCACCGCCGACCGAGACATCCTGCCCAAGGTCGAGTCCTATGTGGCCGAGGAGACGCACCACATGATTGGGCCCCTCCACCTCACAGCCAGCGACCTCACACACCTGGGCGGCACGATCCTCATGGAGCACTGGCTCGACGGGCTGTGGACGCCCGCCAAGGACGTGCCGGCCATGCTGGTCAAGCAAGACGGCCGAGTGTTGCCCGTCACCGTCATGTGCATCGATGGCCGGTACAAGTTTCAGTACTGGATCAACACGGCCAGCGCACTCAAACGACGACAACCCGTGGACCGTTCACCCGTACGGCGTGTGCTACTGCACCATCGACGGCAAGGAGATGGCTGTGCACACAAGCCCGCACGCCAAGGTGGTCAACCCAGAACTGCCACATCCCTGGCCGGCCACCACGTGTGTGGGGACGCCGTCTTTGCTCTTGATACGTCAGTATACTAATTACTATTCAACGCACAGAGCCGGTCTAGGCGAGAGCCCCTCTGCCGCCGCTTAATAAAGAGCCCAGACACGTGCCTGTAACATTTTGGGACGTCTACTGGTCTAGCATATAACCTGCACGCGAAACTAACAAGTAATAATCTCTCTAAATGTAGTGCCGGCTGCCGCGTGCGCGTCGCGTGGAGCTGGAGGGGGAGGGGGGGAGGAAGAACTCCTAAGTGAGCGTAAATCACCCCTCCCTCCCTCCCTCCCTCCCTCCCTCCCTCCCTCCCCCCCCTCCCTCCCTCCCCCCCCTCCCTGCCAGCATCAGTCGCCCTGCCCTTCCTCGCCCTCCCCTTCCCACAGCCCCTTGCCCCCCGCCCTGCCACGGAGCGCTCCCGCCTCCACCGCGGGCGTGCGCGCGTCGTGTGCAGGTGAGTTCTCTCAAGGCGCAAGTCAGCCTCGAGCAGCGGCGCGTCAAGGAGGAATAAGGGGAGCACCATCTTAATCGCAGCAGGGCCACAAAGCCATCCAGAGATTGATAGCGGCCATGGGGCACACGGGCCCCACGCAGTTGCAACAGCGGAGGAAGCCCAAGCGGGGGGCGCCATCGAACTCGATCGAGCTCACAACATCATCGCCCTCCATCCTGTACACCACCGAAAAGTCATCGACGTCAACCTCCTTGCAGGAAGTCGAGCTCGAGGTGCTGATCAGCTGCGCATCGACGTCAGCCTCCTTGATCGTCAGCTGCCCATCGCCATCTTTGTCGCTCGTGACGAATTCCTCCTTGCTGATGATGCCGTTCTTGTCCAAATCGATGACGTTGTTGACCGTCTGGTATACCCCGCCGAGGAGCTGGGCTTCGCACGCCAAAAAGGCGTCAGATGTCGCAAAACATATCACACTAGGCGATGCTGCCACAATGAGCAGGATGTACATCACAGCAGCCTTCATGGGCGTGGCTAGAGAGCCCTGACCTGGGGGGTACGGGTACCGAAGCTGGGGCCATAAAATAAAGTAATCCATCTGCGGCGGCGTGCCGTCCTCCCATCCTTGGGGTTTCGTTCTTTCTTTTTCTCGGTCCCGCTCGCTCCTGCACGCTTTTTCCGATGCGGTTATCGCGCCGACCCGACGCCGACCCGCCGGACCGAGCACACCGACGCACGCGACACCGTGCACCAGAGACCACCAGTGCCTCTCGTGGGGGCGCGCCAGCGGCCAGGGCAGTGATGAGAAAGGCCATCTTTTCTTGTAATATGTAAACAGTATGTTCCAGGCGGGCACACACACGATACACGCACACGCGAGGCCACCGGCTCGCGGTCGGCAGCAGTGCTAGGGCCGATTCGCGTGTCCGCCCGGATGCTGCACGAGCACCAGCTGCTGCTCGCGCTGCCGGACGAGGGCGGATGGCCTGGCGAGGAGCGCGGCGACGAGATCTCCGCGTGGCGGATGCGCGAGCGGATGAAGACTCCGTCGCTCGTGCTCGTGTTGGCGCTCAACATTGGCGTCGACCCGCCCGACGTGACCAAGCCGACGCCGTGCGCGAGGCTCGAGTGCTGGCTCGACCCGCTCGCCGGGCCGGTCGCGGGCCAGAAGGCGATCGAGGCGATCGCGACTGCGCTCCAGCAGCAGTACGAGCAGTGGCAGCCGCGCGGCACGAAGACCGTGCGGGCGTGCCTGGACCCGACGGCGCAGGAGGTGCGGAAGTGGTGCGCCTCGCTGCGCCGCGCGAGTCCCGGCCGCGACGAGCGGCTGCTGCTCCACTTTAACGGTCACGGCGTGCCGCGGCCGACAGTCAACGGGGAGGTCTGGCTCTTCCACCGCGCAGCTTCACTCCCGGAGCAGCTGGAGTGGACGACTCGTCCTCCCTCGCTAGGTCTGGCTCTTCAACCGCACCTTCACCCAGTACCACCCCGTCTCGATCCTCGACCTGCTCTCGTGGCTCGGCACGCCGTGCGTCCTCGTCTTTGACTGCCACAACGCGGGGCGGCTGAACGAGGCGCCGCCCGAAGGGGAGGGCTGGCACTCGTGTGCTGTCCCGTTGACATGTGTCTGCGATCCTCAGGCGCTCGCCGCGATGGGGCGGGCGGGCGAGGCGGCGCCCAAAGTCGGCCACGACGTGATCGTGCTCTCTGCCTGCGCCGCGCACGAGGAGCTGCCAACCTCTCCGGAGCTGCCCGCCGACCTCTTCACCGCCTGCCTCACCTCGCCGCTCCGCGTCGCCCTCTCGTTCGTCCGGCGCGATGGCCTCGTGGCGCTGCCCGACGAGCTGCTCGAGAGGCGCGCCTCGCTTGGCATCTCGGCGCATCTCGGCGCATCTCGGCGCATCTCGGCGCGTCCTCGTCGCAGGGTGCCTGGCTCGCCGTCGGAGCGGCGCACGCCTGCCGGGGAGCTCAACTGGATCTTCACGGCGGTGACCGACGCCATCGCGTGGGCCACTCTCCCGCGCGACCTCTTCCGCCGCCTCTTCCGCCAGGACAGCTCCTCGCTCCCTCTGCCGCAGCTGCAACTCGTCCAAAGAGCTCACTCCTCGCGTGTGCATCGGCAGGACATGCTCCTCGCCTCGCTCTGCCGCAACTTTCTCCTCGCGCAGCGCGTGTTTGCGCGGTATGACCTCCACCCAATCTCCTCGCCGCCGCTGCCAGAGGCGCACGGCCAGCCGCCGCGGGACACGTGTCGTGGACGCGTCACGGACGTGTCATGGATGTGTTCTAGGCGCACGGTCACCCGCTGTGGGGCGCCTGGGACCTCGCCGCCGAGGCCCAGCTCGCCTGGCGGTCCATGACACGTCCATGACACGTCCATGACACGTCCATGACACGTCTCGCAGGCCATCCTCACCCAGCTCGCCGCAGCAGCGCCGCCGCCGTCCCGAGTGCCCAGCGCAGCCGCGGGCGACGAGCGAGGCGCCTCAGGCGCGAGCCCGGAGGGCGGTGCCGGCCTCGCACGGCCTGGCGGCCCGTCCTGCTCTCCCTCTCCGCCGGCGGTGCCGCCCTCCTCCTTCTTCACCGAGCAGCTCACAGCTTTGTGGATGACTCCATGGATGGACCAATCAGGTGCCACCCTCCTCCTTCTTCACCGAGCAGCTCACAGCCTTCGAAGTCTCGCTCTCGCGCGGCGCGGCGGGCCTTGACGAATGCTTTGAGTCACCTCCCTCCAATTACGAATCAGGTTTGGCTCTCGCGCGGCGCGGCGGATGCGGCGGCGCCGGAGCAGCTGCCCATCCTGCTGCAGGTGCTGCTCTCTCCGACGCACCGCTACGCCTCTTTGCTCCTGCTCGGCCGCTACGTCTCCCTCGGCCCCTTTGCGGTGCGGGAGACGCTGCTCACACAGCCTTGAGCTCGGCCCCACCCAAAGGCCACGTCTCTCTATGGAGGTGCGGGAGACGCTCGGCGTCGGCATCTTCCCCTACGTGCTCAAGCTGCTCTCCTCCTCGCCGACGGCCGAGCTGAGCACGCCGCTGCTGTACATGTGGGCCGCCACGATGCTCTACGACCGCTCGACGCGGATCGAGCTGCTCAACCACCAGGCGCAGCCTCAACGGACTCACTAGCTACCCATTCACAGCGGACCCGGCTCCTCATCCACCACAGGCGCACTGCTTCTTCGTCGACCTCCTCCGCGCGCACCACTCGCCTAGGAGGCCCGCCGCCCCCGCCGCCCGGGCCCTCAGCGCCGGCGACAGCCCGAGCGGAGGCGCGGGCGGGCCTCCGGGGCAGCAGGAGGGCTCTCTGCCGCTCTCCGCGCCGCTCTCGTCGGTGCTCGCGCTCTTTGTGCTCACCGAGATTTGCGACCGGCTCGAGGCGGGGCAGGCGGCGTGCCTCAAGCTCGGGCTCGAGCGCCGCCTGGCCGACGTGATCCGCCACCTCCTCCCCTCCACCCGCCACTCCGCGCCGACCCTCTTCCAGCAGGGCGGCCACCCCGCCCCGCCCCGCCTCCACGTGCCGCCCGCGCCGCCCGCGCCGCCGCCGCTCCGCGCCGTCGCGTCGATGCCGGCGAGGAGCGCCCCCGCACGGGAGGGGGCAGAGGCGCGCTCCCCCGGGCCGGTCCTATTGCAGCCAAAGGCGTCCGTGCCGCCGCTCACTCCGCCCGCCGCAGCAGCCGCCGCCGCCGCCGCCGGAGAGGCTCCTCCCACCGCCACCACCACCGCCTCGCCGGGCCGCCGCCACGACTCCTCCTCCTCCGCGGCCCGCCCGACCCGCTCCTCCGCTTCGTCGGGCGCCCCGGCGGCCGCCGCAGAGAGCCGGCTGCTCTGGTGTAGCTGCCTGTGCGCTTTCCCGGAGCCTCCCATGAGCTTTTGACACGCCCTCCCTTAGGCTGCTCTGGTGGAGCTGCCTGTGCGCGGCGCGCTTGTGTGATGGCAATGCCGAGGCGCAGGCGCGGGCGGCCGAGGCGGATTTGCCCCGCTTGCTCGCGCAGCTCGTGTCGAGGTGCGAGCCGGCCGTGCGCGTTTCGCCGCTCCACGACCCTCTCCCTGCGAGCCTCTCGGAGTCTCTCCTCTAGGCCCGAGCCGGTGGTGCGCGCCGCGGCGCTCCATGCGATGACTGCCCTCGCGACGCTGCCTCGCTCGGCGGCGGCTGCGGCTGCGGCCGCCTCTGCCGGCGAGGCGGGCACAAACGGCGGCTCTCCGCTGCCGGCCGCCGGCGACGCGGCCGCTGAGTTGCGCGCGGCCGCAAACGGCGACGGGTCGCTCCCCGGCGGCGGTGCGGCGGGCTTCGAGGGCGGGAGCGGCGGCGAGGAGGGCGCGGCCGAGTGCACGAGCGAGTGGCGGATGCAGCTCGGCGCATACGCGCTCCGCGCGCAGCGCGACGGCTCGACGCTCGTGCGCGCACAGCTCTGCCGTTTGCTGCGCGCTCTCTCGCCCCGCGGCGCGCACGTGCCGGTCCCTTCCCATAGCCTTCTCGGCACCCTCTTAGGCGCGCGCTCGCCATGCGGTACGCGCCGGCGCTTCGGCGCGGCGCGGCGCAGCTGCACGACTTGGACACCTCCCCGGCGCGCGCTCGGAACGACCTCGACTTGCAGCGGTTTGGCGCGGGGAGGCGCTTTGCCGGGCAGCCCCGCCGTGATTTCGGAACCGTCTCGGAATCTTCTCGGAGCCTTCTAGGCACTCTGCCGGCAGCCCCGTCGCCGCGCGCCCCGCGTCGGTCCGGTCCGACCGGCTGAGCTCCCCCCTCTCCAACTCGCCGCCGCCCGCCGCCGCCGGCTCCTCGAGCGTGCCGTGCCACCGGCGCGCAGGGCGGGCCAGCGCGCTGCTGAGCGAGACGCCGTCGCCGCCGTCAACGCTCGCCCCAAGGGCCGCGGGCGGTGCGTGCGGCGGAGGCGCGGCGGACGATGCGCGCAGCCAGCAGCGAGCGTGGGCGGCGGCGCTGCTCGGCTCGGTTCCCGTGGCCGTCAACGCGGAGCAGGCCGCCTCGCCAGGGCAGGAGCGCTCCCCAGCCGAGTTTGGCTCGAGGAGCAAGGCGGGGCCGAGGGCGGCGTTCGCCTTGCCCAGCCGCCCCGCCGAGGCTGGCGGGCCGGCGCCACGCGACCGCAGCGACGGGCTGGGCGCGCAGAGCTCGTCTCCGCTGGCTCCGTCGCTTCCGCGGAGCTTTGGCCGTCCGCTGCAGCGGCAGCGCTCCGCTCCGGAGGTGGCTGTCGCGACAGGGCCTCGAGGGTGTGCAGTCTCCTCACAGGCCGGCCACAGACTCTCCTTTCAACAGGTGGCGGACGCGGGAGGGGCGGCCTCCTCCTCGCGCCTCGCCTCCCGCTCCCTCAGCAGCCAGCTCTGCCTCGCCCTCGCGGTCCTCTCGCGCGATCCGATGCCGCGAATTGCCTCCGCCGCTCGAGCCGTCGTCGCCCTCCTCGCCGGCAGCGCAAAGCCCGAGTTTGGCGCGGATGCCGGCGGCGCCGCCCCGGCCGCCGCCGCCGCCGCGGCCGCCGCCGCCGCCGCCGCCGTCGAGTCTCCGTGTGCGGATCTGCTCGGGTACGCGCGCCGCCGGCTCGCGCGCAGCTTCCCGCTGCTGTCTGCGAGCGGCGAGCTGCTGCCCTCAGGCCACGATTGGGATGCCGACACGGCTGCCGCTGTCCTCGCCTCGGCGCCCGTCGGGGGAGGGCCGGCGCAGTCGCTTGCCGCCGCCGCCGCCGCCGCCGCTGCCTTGCCCACGCCGCAGACCCGCACCGCCAACCCCGGCGCGGGAGGCCCCGGCGCCGCCCACTTTGCTCAGGTCGGAACCTTGGTCGCGGACATGCTGCCCGAGGCGGCGCTCGCCGGCGGCGGCGCGGGCGCAGGCGCGGCTCCGCCCGTCATTGAGCAGCACTGCACGCTCGAGAATGCCTCGGCGCGCTGCTCGGCGCTCGCGCTGCACGCCTCCTTGCCGCTCGTGGTGGCTGCCTCGGCGCGCGAGGACATCAGCGTCTGGGACACGGCGCGGCGCGCACGGCTGCTGACGTTTGCGAACGGCAACCCTGCCGGCTCTCGCGTGAGCGCGCTGCTCTTGCTCAGCGACTCTGCCTTTGTCAACGCCGAGACGCTCGCCGCCGGTCCGCGGAGGAGTCGAGGTTCGGTATCACGGCCCCTCCCCCCGGGCCCACACCGTGCCGCCGACTTCCGCAGGCTCGTCGGAGGGCTGCGTCCGCATCTGGCGCTCGTACGCGGCGGCGGACGGGCCGCACCTCCTCAGCGCGTGGCAGGCGTCGGCTGCGCCGGCCGAGGTGAGGGGAGAGCCACAGCGAGCGAGAGCTCTGGTGGTACATCGCACATGGCGTGGTGAGTGAGCAGGTGTCGCTGCGGGACTCGCCTCTCTCGCTCGCGTGGCAGCCCGCACGCGCCACTCTCACCGCCGCCGGGGGCGGCTCGGGCGACCTCTGCCTGTGGGACGTGCGGCACGAGGCGCTCCCCTGCGTGGAGCGCAGGTCCGTGTCGACACGTCCAGGACATGTCCACGACGTGCCCCTCAGGCGCTCGTCTGCCGGCTGAGCGCGCCGGCGGTGTCAGCCGGCCAGGTCACGTCGCTTGCTGCCGACGCGGCGTCGCCGCTGCTCGCCGCTGGCTATTCGGATGGTTGCGTGCGCTCGTTCGACCCACGAGCTCCGCCCGCCGCCGCGGTGGTGGCGCAGCTCGTCGTTGGGCGCGGCGCCGTCTCCGCCGTCTCCATCCAGCCCGCCGCGCCCGCCGGCCGGCTGGCCGCGGCCGCCGCTTCGGGGGAGATTTGGCTGGTCGACCCGCGCCGGCTTCAGGGGGGGGCAGCAGGGGTGGGGGGCGGGGAGGGGGGGGACGCGGCGCCAGGTGGGTGGTGCGGCGGGGGCGGGCTGTCGCCGAGCGCGGCGCTGCTGGGCGAGACGCGCTGCCAGCTGCCGGTGCCTTTTGGTGGGGAGGGGGCGGTGGGGGTTTGTTCAACATCGTTGCTGATGTCGTGGCTGCGGTAGGTTGACTCGCACCGCCACGCGTCGCCGTCGCTGTCGGCGCTCGCGCTGCACCCCTCCTCTGGTTTGCTTGCCTCGGGCTCCCGCTCGCAGTTCCTCAAGCTGTACGACATCTCTGGAGTGGGAGGGGCGCGCGAGCTCTCGACCGTGAGATATTTTGGTGCGCGCCGGGGGAGGGGGGGGGGGGGGGGTCCTGGGGATTTGGACTCACTACACGATTCCTTGTCGCAGACGGCTTTCTCGGCGCGCGCATCGCGCCCATTACGTGCCTCGCTTTCCACCCGTTGCGCAACCTGCTCGTGGCTGGCGCAACCGACACGATCATGACTCTTTATTCTGATCAGCGATGAGGAGAAGGGGGGGGGGGGGTGTACGAGTGTGTGGAGGCCTAGACGGCGAGTTCGCGCTGGCGCTACTGTAGTCTGTACACAGCCAAAACTACGAGCAACACACGAGGATGGCAACAGAACACGGGGGGGTCACGTGCATGTGCAAGCTGCAACCGCAAGTCATGCAAAATGAATCTCAGACCGCACACCGCACACCGATCACCCGCACACCCCAAACATATTTTAGGTATGTTGATTATGTTGATTGTTGTGCTCGATGTACGATGAGAGCACTGCCACGTCGATATAGACGATACTGATGGGTGCAGGATCTCTTGTTGGAACCCGCGGGAGGTCGGAGGTGTGAGCATGGGCGACCAGGCAATCAACCCCGACCGACAGCGGACAGAGCGCACGCGACGTCACACGAGCCACGAGCCTTCTTCTCCCCCTCAAAGCACTGGTGGGTACGCGGCACGGCGACGAGCGGCAGAGGCTCAACGGTCATGGTCGGCTCGTCGAGGTTGGAGAAGGGGAGAGGGGGGGATTGGGCAGTCGGCGAGGGAGTCGCAGAACGGCAGGGCGTACGGCCCGCCGTCCCTTTCATCCTAGCGGTCTAGAATCCTAGCGGTCTAGAAAAGAAGGTTCCCCCGCTTTCGGGGGCTGGGAAATCGCTAACACAGGTCATGGCGACTCCCAAGCCGGAAGCTTTAGCCGCCGCCGCCGCCGCTGCCTCCACCTCCACCTCCGTTATCACCTCCGCCGCCACCTCCTCTTCCGCCGCCTCCGCCGCCACCACCTCCTCATCCGCCTCCGCCGCCGCCACCTCCATCTCCACCGCTGCCCGCCGCTTTCTGGAGCGCCGCCAGCTGCTTTCGCCGGTGCATCCGGAGCGTCTCGCCGCCGTTGGCGACGCGCCTCCGCCCAACGACCCGTACCAAGCGGCGATTCCGCTCGACGACGGCTTCCGGCCGCCGACGTGCTCCTGCGTGGCGCCGCGCGTGCTCCCGCAGCCGCCTCCCCGCTCGGAGCGGCTCGCACCTCGAGGTGGGCGCGGGCGCGAGCTGGTGCGGCTGGACGACGCGCTAGAGGCCGCCCTGGCTGTCGAGGCGTACACCTTCTCTTGCCAGCACGGCGGGCCGTGGGGCGCCTACTGCCGGCTCGAGGGCATTGCCAACGACGGGACGCTGCAACTCGCCTCGCCGAGCGACGAGGAGCCGGCCGTCGAGCGGCTGGCTGCGCGGCTTCTCTGCTCTCTCTGGGCTCGGGGCGTGGGCGAGCTCCTCGCGCCGGATCTGGACCGCATCCACGGCTTCTCTGTCTGGTCGGTGGTGGGCGGGGAGGGGGCGGCGACCGAGTACCACGTCGACTACGCGGAGATGTACCGCCGCCGCACGGGGCTCCTCCGGCCTCCGCTGCACGCCCTCACGCTGCAGCTGTCGCCGCTCGGCCCGGCGGACTTTGAGGGCGGGACCTTCGGAGCGCACCTCTCGGGCCTGCAGCACTACGCGGCGCACGGCTACAAGTGCCGGCTAGCGCCGCCGCCCGCGGACGAGGCGTCCAAATTGCCCACCCCTGACTGGGGGCGCGACGGAGGGTGGAGGTACGCGCCGTACGCCTTCAACCAGGCCACGCTCTCCGCCGGCGACTTGCCGCACGCCGCGTCGTACGTCCACCGCTGGCCCGCCGACACGCCCCGCGTTGTTGTGGGAGTAAACACGTTTGGCCCTCTGGAGGGTGTGGTCGAGGAGGAGACGCCCCAGCACTCGGCCCGCTTCCGCCGCGCCCTCCGCCTCTCCACGCTCGAAGGCCTCCTCTCCAAGATGCCGCGCAAAGAGCTCGAGCGGCTCGTGAAGGCGAAGCTCGACACGAAGAGGCAGCAACGCGCCGCCGCCGCGGCTGCCGACGACGCGGCGGGCGCGGCCGAGGCCGGCGGCGGCGCACAAAGGCAGGAGCGGCGCACGCTCCCGCTCTAGACCACGGCGTGAGGGCAGGCCACCCGTAGGGGAGCGCCCAAGTATAGAGCACGCCGGCCGGCTTGCCGACGGAGGCTTGCAGGGCTGGGGGAGAGGTAGAGGGCTACGTCGCCCGCAGGAGAGAGTAGATGTGTGTTCGCACGCATTCCGCAGGGCAGCGGTAAAACTAGCACTAGGGCTGCCACTCTAGAAGGGTGTGCGTGCACATGTGCATGCACATGCATGTATCGATAGGGCTCGCCCTCAGTCTCTACATAGGCACGAAGAAAAGAGAAGGAATGGGGTGTCATCTGAGACATATCCTATCTCTCTCATCTCAAGTTCAAGAGTCTCACACACGTCTTCCACAATAAACGAACGCATGCGCAGGCGGCATAGGACAGAGATACAACACCGAGTACCACAGTTCGAGTATCGTCACATGAATGGCACGCGATGCCATCCCTGGAAACGTACGAGTCGCCCAGGTCGCGCCTCCTCGCTCGCCTGGGCGTGCGCGGCCCCCAAGAGATGAGGCTGGTTGGCCCAGCCTCAGCCCACCCCGACCACGCCCTCCGCCCGCACCTCGAAGCGGCACGACGAGTGCGGCAGCCGCGGGGAGAAGAGGACGTGCATCTCCCGCGCAAAGGTCAAGCCGCCGCCGCCGCCCTCCTCCGCGACGGGTGCGGCGCCGGGGTGCGTCGCGTACGGCGGCAGCGGCGGCGCCTCTGCCGCCGCCGGCCGCTCGTGGCGCGTGAGGAGGAGGCGCGTGTTGACGGAGCTCGACCTAAGAGACGAGTGCGTCAGCTCATGGTCAGTGGAGCGGCTCGGAGGCGCGCGTGTTGCCGGAGCGGCGAGCTGCGCCAGGAGAGGCCGAGAGCGGGCACGCGCAAGGAGTCGCCCCCGCCGCTCAAACACGCCTCCGCCTCGGCGGCAGAGACCGAGGCGGCGGCAGGCGTGTCGAGCGGCTTGTCGGTCACCTGGCCAGCGGACGGGCGGAGGGGCGGCAGAGGGGGGGGGGGGGGGAGTCGTGCGCACCGCAGAGAGAGGCGCGGCGGCGAGGCGCGGGCGCGCAAGCGCGGGCGCGGCGGCGCGGATGCGGCGGCGCGGATGCGGCGGCGCGGATGCGGCGGCGCGGATGCGGCGGCGCGGGCGCATCTCGTGCCACCGGCGCCGGCCGCGGGAGCGTGCCGGCCGCCCGTCTGCGGCCGGCAGCCCGCCGAATGCTCTCCCCTGCAGAGCGGCGCGAGGGGAGGCGCGCGCCTGGTTGACGACGAGGACTGCGACGTCGAAGGCGTCAGAGAGCTGGCGGAGGCGCGCCTAGAGCACACAACTCGTCAATCGGCCATCCATCGTCAGTCAACGGCGTCGGTGGCCGAGGCTGGCGGAGACGCGCCGCCAGGCGGAGGAGCTGGCGGGAGCGCTCGTACGCGGCTGCGGCGCGCGAGCCTCCCTCCTCGTCCGAGGTGCGGAAGAGCCCGGCCACGGAGTCAATCACAACGAGCCGCACCTGCGGCAGCGGCAGAGGCGGCCGGGGCGGCGAAGGTGGCGGAGGCGGCAGCAGCAGAGGCGGCTCGGCGGCAGAGTGTGGCAGAGGGCGGCTCGGAAACTCTGGGAAAGGACGGAGCGCCTGTTTCGTCCTCAGCCACTCGGTGTCCTTGAGCGTCTGCCAGAGGGCGTCGGCCGAGTGGAGCTGCATCACGTGCACGAACGACATGAGCAGCCCGGACGTCGCGCCGAGCGCTGCGTGCTTGGCGGCGAAGGAGTGCGACAGCTCTTCGAGCCGCTTCATGGGTGCGAGGTACGAGGGGGTGTCGGCGTGCAGGAAGACCGCGCCGCCGCCGAGCCCGCCGACGGCGGGCGGCAGCTGCGCCTGCAGCATGCACTGCAGCACGAGCTGCGTCTTGCCCGTCCCCGCCGCGCCGGCAATCTCGGTGAGGCCGTGCGCGTCGAAGCCGCCGCCGAGGCACGCGTCGATGCGTGCGCAGCCAGTGGAGAGGCGACGCGCGTGGCGAGGATCGCGCTCGAGGAAGAGGGCAGACTGCGGCGGTCGGGATGCCATTGAGCAAGAGCGGGAGAGACGCAACAAACCGCGATCGCGGGCGAGCGGTGGGGATCCCTACTGGAAGTACCTCTTCCGTGGCCTCGACAGCGGCGCGCCGCCCTCGGTCTTCTAATTAGTCGCGCGCCGATCTAACGATATATTGGTAGCTGTTTTTCGAGCGACCCAAACGAAGCTGACTCAGAAAGCGCGCACACACGCAAACACGCTTTAACGCGGACCCCCCGCAGACACCCAAGAGAATACTGTAAAGCCGTAGTTACTGTGTTCCCCACTCTAACTAAGCATGCGCGACGCCGACTTCGACACGAAGCCTCGGCAGCCCGGGCAGGCCGTGTTTATCGGCTCCATACCGCGGCTCGTCTCGACCTCGCTGTCGTCGCTGAGCCAAGTGTGCAGGCAGCGGTAGTGGAAGAGGCTCTGGCAGCAGCGTGTGGCGCCCCAGCCATTAGGGTCGCGAGACTGCAGACGCGCCTCGGGGTGTGCGCTGAGGTCGTCCAAGCAAATAACGCACTCGAGGGCCTCCTCCTCTGCTGCTGTAGCCGCGGACACGCCCGCAACTGCGGCAGCCGCTTCCACCTCCATCTCCGACTCCTCCTCGCTGTCGCTCTCCGCCTCCACCTCCACCTCCACCTCGTCCCATGGCGGGGCAGCCCCCGCCGCCGCCTGCGCCGCCGCCGTCGCCGCAGCATCCGCCCTCGCCGCCGGCTCTGCTGCGCGCGCCTGCCACCTCGCCGCCCGCTGCTTGCTCACGGAAGGCGGCGGGTCGGAGAGCAGCGAGAGAGCCGTGGCGTCGGCAATGTCCGTCGGGTCGAAGCTGTCCTCCTCCTCGTAGTAGTAGCTGCTGGCCTCGGAAGGCCCTGCTGCGCCTTGCGGCGGTGCTTGCTGCGGCTGCGGCTCGAGCAGGCGGACGGTCGTGTCCCACAGGTGCCGCGCAAGCGCCAGCGCCGCCTCCTCGGCGGTGGCGAACCAGCCGAGGCTGACCTGCTTGCCGCCAACCATCACCTTTAGCTGGTACTTCTTGCTGCCTTCCCGCTTCGGGTCGTAGCAAACGCCCCTGTAGCTGTTGTTGCTGCTGCTGCTGGTGACCAGGAGCGTAAGGCCCTCCCTCCCCACCTGCCGGACTGCCTCGGCGCCAGCGGCAGAGGAAGGCTCAGGTGGCGGCGGCAGCGGCGGTGGCGCGGTGAGATCGCTGGTGTCCCTGCCCGCCTCCCTGCGGGCGTAGAAGAGCGCCGCCTGCTCGGCGGTGTCGAAGCGTCCTAGGTGGACATCTTTGCCGTCGACCTTCACCCTCAGCTGGTACTTCTTGCTGCCTCGCTCCTTCGGGCAGTAGCGGACGCCCTTGTAGCCGCTGTTGCTGCTGCTGCTGGCGGTGAGGGTGAGGCCCTCTCTCCGCCTGCAGTATCGCCTCGGCGCCAGCGGCAGAGGGAGCCGGGCGAGGCTGCAGCAGCTTTGCGGCGTCGGCGCGGCCGTACTCTGAGCGAGCGTAGGCGGTGGCCGCCTCTTCGGCGGTGTCAAAGCGGCCAAGGTGGACACGCTTGCCATCAGCGTGCACCTTCGCCTCGAACTTCTTTTTGCTGCGGCTGTACGTCACGTTCTTGTAGCCACTCGTGTTCCTCTTGTCGATGGCTGGGATCAACATGAGGCGCTCGGACGCTGTGGCCCGCGACGAGCTCGCGCGAGCGGGCGCCACCATCACCGAATAAAACTCGCTTCGCACAACGCTACCTGTGGGCAGAGATTGGCGCACCAGGCACGGACAGGCAGACGCGCCCGCGGTGGGCTCGCTTGTTTCTTTGTTTTGTTACAAAAAGCCAGTCCCGCGCGTTATAATTCTTTTTTCCCTCTTTTTTTGCCCGGCTTCGGAAGCTGTCTTGCGGGCCCACGAACCTTGACCACGAACATTGGAAAAAGAAATCGAAAAACGCGAAACCCAAAAACGAAAGGGGGGGGGGGGGGCTGTATATACTTTTCCTCTCGCACCCCGTCTCTTTTCCTTTCCTTTTTTCTCTACAGCACCCTCTCTTTTAGCCCCCCGCTACCCGGTTGCACTCGTGCGACGTAGCGGGGGGCCACAACTACGTTTACGAAAACATAAGTAGTCCCGCGAGGTGTGAATTTGGCCGCCCCAGAAGCCCCCTTTCCATGGGCTTGATTTTGCGGCGCGTCCCCAGAGCGTCCAAACTTGTTTGGGCGCGAACCGTATCTCGCAACGAATCTCGCCGGCCTCACCGGCCCACACCGGCCCTCACTTTGACCGACGCTACCGTCCGCTCGACTGGCCGATGAAGAGCGACCCGTGCGACGCGCACTTGTCGTCCTCCCTCCTCGCCACATGACGGCCGCCCTCCGACACCGACAGTCGCGCTCCGCACGCCTTCGAGGTCAGCTGCGGCCGAGCGACGATCGGCTCGCCTCCGATCGCTCGGCGCGGTCACTCTCCGGCCCATCACCCGCCTGCCGATCACCTGTCCGCCTCGCCGCGCGCGGGCCGCTCGCCTGCTCGCCACCGCCGCCGCGCGTCCCCGCGCCGCCACGCTTCCCTGTGCACCTGACGGCGCTGCGCAGACGGCGCGCTCTGGCAGATAGAGCAGCGGCCGCCCAGGCGGTCGCTGCTCCGCCCCGTCCGAATCCGTCCGCCCGCGCGTGCCGCTGCCGCCGCCGCCGCCGCTCCACCCGGTGCCCGTGTGTCGTGAGAGTTGCTTTGTGTATGTGTATGTCGTATGTGTGTGGACTCATGTCACACTTGAGCCTCTATATCTATGATAGTAGACCGGTACTCGGGTTTGGATGGTAGCGGGGGGCCCCGCCGGAGGCTGGTTACTGATCCTCTCTATTTTCCCGGGGAAACCATCAAATTTTCCGGGCTCTGAGCCGTCTGAGGCTGGTTTGGGCCCAAAATCAGCCAAATCGGCAAAATACCGGGTATTTTTGCGGGTATACCTGGAAAAACCCGGGTATACCTGGTAAAGGCCCGGGATGTTGCCGGTTTCCTCGATTTTGCCTCAGATTTTGCCCTGAGGGAGGGTGTAGAGGATGTAGAGTGTAGAGCGCTGTAGAGCTGTAGAGATGTAGAGCGCTCTGGAGCGCTGTAGAGCAATGTAGAGCTGTAGAGCTCTACATCCACCGCGTGACGAACTGCCTCCGTTGTAGAGAGATGTAGAGGCGCTCTACAACGTGAAATCTCTACAACAAACTCTACATCATAAGCGGCGAACGAGGCACGGTCGCTCTCCGACATGAGGCGCGTTGCACCCTCCAGTGCTGCCCTGGCCTTCTGTCTGCCCGCCCAATGGGTGGCAGGTGCCTCTGCTGCTGTGGCATGCCTCGCGGCTGCGACTGGCCGGCGCCTCGGCGCGTCAGCTCGGCTCGGCGTAGCGATCGTGGCCAGCGCAACTCGCTTGGACTCAACGCTCAGCCAGGAGCTCCCGCACGCGCTGGCGCGAGTCATGGCGCATGCAACGCGTCTGAATGCTCGCCTCGCCTCGCGGTCGCGCAAATGCGACCGTCCTCGCAGCCGACAGTCCGCCGCCTGCTAAAGAAGCACAGCGACGAATGCGGCACCGGCGACGCATGGCAGGCTGGTCATGACGCAGTTATAGGGTGAGGTTGTGTGCCGTCAGAGTGACTCTCTGTGTGTCAGGGATAGTCAGGGCCGTCCATCAGAGCTCCAGTAAGCTCGGAGACACCCCATTAGTGCGACTCGACCTCTTTGAGTCACTGCCTTCCCGGCGGTTTGGCTGTAGAGCCTCTACAACAAGCTCTACAACAAAATCGCGCTCTACATCGCTCTACAACGGAGGGAGACACATCGTCACGCAGCCGATGTAGAGCTCTACAGCTCTACAGCGCTCCAGAGCGCTCTACATCTCTACAGCTCTACAGCGCTCTACACTCTACATCCTCTACACCCTCCCTCAGATTTTGCCCCAGACCAGCTCTCAGACTCAGGGAACCGACGGAGGAGTCGGCGGCGGCGAGGGCGGCGGGAAGGCGCCGAGCACGTTGCGGCTCAGATGGGACGCCGCCGCGTACATCTCGGCGCTCGCCAGCCCGCGCGGCCACACGATGAGCTCCGCGATGGCAAAGTCGGAGCTTTCTGACTTAACTAGACCGCCGTTGACCCAGAGCGACGTGTCGCCTGAGCCGCCATCTGATGTGCCCACGTTCGCGCCATTCACGAGCTTCAGCTGCGATCCCGCGTTCGTGCCACAAATGACGACCCAGTCCGTGTCGGGGGAGTCGTTCAGTCCCTGAGGAGAGGTCTTCCAGCCGCTGTAGTGCGCCACGCCGACGTGACCACTATGATGTCCGTGGAGCCAGTTTTCTTCACCCCCGTCAAGGATCCGGCGCTTGAGCCCTCCGGTGTACCTCGTCACCGAGCAGATGGTGAACTCGCTCTCGATGATGCGGCCGGGTCCGAACCGGATCACCGAGGACGTGCCGCCTTGCAGCGCAGTTACGAACCACGGCGAACCGTTGCCGCTCTCGCGAACTCGCGAGAACCCGTCGCCCGACAGCGTCGCCGCGTTGCTGCTGCCGCTCGCGTCCGGCCAGAGGCGCGCCGTGAGGTCAAACTCGCCCATTCGGTACCACGCGTTTGCGCCAGCCGGCAGCGCAAAGGGATGAAGCGGTGATGGCGGCGGCTGGAGTGGCGGCGTGGGCGGCGGCGTGGGCGGCGATGTCGGCGGCGTCGACGGCGGCGACGGCGGCACCATGCCCACAAACCTCCGAAGCGACTCGAACTGCTCCACGAGGCTTCCTCCCTCCGCCGTGACAAAGTCCGTCGCGTGCAGCTCGCCGCTGCACGTCAGCTTGCCGTCCCCCTCGCCGGTCAGGCGGGTCGGCGTCAGGTCAAGCGTGCGGCTGTTGAAGGAGAGCGTCGCCCTCCTCCCCGTGATGGCGACCTCGGTCTCGTCGCCAGTCGCGGAGGAGAGCTGCCGCCGCGCCGCTGCCGGCGGGCGAGCCGCGGCCGCCGGCGGGTTGGGCGGGGCCGGCTTGTCGCGGAGCGCGCCAATCTTGGCGTCCTGCGCGGCGAGCCGCGCTTCGTACGCCTCCACGCGCGCCTCCAGCACCTTGAGGTCCGCGGCGCTCACCAGCTCGACCACCTCGCCGCCGGCCGACATCTGGACCTGCTTGTGGTCCGTCTTGCGCGCGGCGAGTAGCTCGGCGATCATCTCGTCCTTCTTCTGCATCTCCTCCTTGAACGCCGCGTCCTTCTTCTTCATCTCCTCCTTGAACGCCGCGTCCTTCTTCTTCATCTCCTCCTTGAACGCCTTGTCCTTCTTCTGCGTCTCCTCGTCCTTCTTCTGCACCTCCTGCTCCTTCTTCATCATCTCCTCCTTGAACGCCGCGTCCTTCTTCTGCATGTCGCTCTTGAACGCCGCGAACTCGGCCATGATGCTCTTCAACGTGACGGGGCTCTCGGCGCTATCCGCAGCCTCGGACGAGTCCTTCGGCGCCTCGCCCATGATCGTGTCGGCCGTCTCCGTCTCCGCGTCCGAGCGGAGAGCCGCGAGCGGCGCCGGGAGGTTGGTCGCGAGGAGCGCGGCGCCCGCGCCTGCGCGTACGAGGGGGGACTGGGCGTTAACAGGGCGTTAAGCTGAGCGGAGTGCCCCCCCCCCCCCCCCCGTTTCTTCAAACGAAACACTTAAAGTCTCGACAATCACTAAGCTGCTTATGTGGCACCGCAGAGGCTCCCTTGGGGATGCCTGAGGCGGGCCCCACCAAAAGCGGCCGGCGCGCGCGGCTTCTGGCGTCGTTCTGGGCTCCCGTCTCTCTGATCTCTGTCGGGTGCGCACACTGTGGTCAGATGTACAGAGTACAACCTCATATACGTGATTGGACAATCTACGGCACGGTTCACGTTACGATTCACATTACGACCTCCAGCTGCAGAAGCATATTGCGCGGTGACCTCAAGGGGTACTTCCATATTATTCACTTCATAGTCCGACCCCTCTTTGGGTCAGGCCCTCCGGCTCGACGCGGAAGCGACCAGCGCCGGCGTCGTCGACGTTGGCCGTGGCGCGCGTGACTGAATCCACAAAAACTGGCAAACAACAGACTTGTTTTTATCATTTCCCTCTCGTGTACAGTCGGACTATCTTTGTAGGTCAAGTTCAACACTTCTCCTTGCGACGGTTGAATTCCGAGTCTATTAAGTTCTCCCAACGCGTCTTGTTAGTAGTTGGCTCTCGCCACGTATCATTGCGTGCGCAATGATAGAGGATGAACCGCCATGCAGGAAAATATGACTCTCTTGGTGCGGCGCCCTCGGCCAGCTGGCCTTTGGTGCCGTAGTTGCACTCCGCCGCGCCGGTGGTGCGACCAGATGCGACCAGGTGTATGAGTGAGGTGGATGGGGTGGCAGGGGAATGCGGGTGACAGGGCTTGGACTGGTCTTGCTCCGCCGCGCCGGGCGCCGGGTGAGAGGGCTTGGACTGGTCTTGTGCCAAGTTGCATAGGCTAAAGCCGCGCCTCCCAGACCTATGAGCCCTGCTGCTCGAGCCGACAACTGGCCAGCTCGAGCAGAGGGGGGGAGCGCGGGAGCGGTGAGCTTCTATTCCGTGCTTTCCGACTCCGCACCGTCGTACTGCGTGGGTCGACCACAGCTCTCCGCCTGTCCTTACTCCTCTCCGTCGCCCCTCGCGTCCTCTGCGTACTGCGAGGTATTGACCGACATTATTTACATACGTTTTTTTTCGTTTTTTTCCAAGCAACATGGCCCCGAAGCGGCGAAAGCAACTCCGAGCCGGGGTGGGAGCCGAGCCGGGGTGTATGCTGTAGCAAAGCGGTATGGAGGCAGACGGGGTAAGGCTGGTGGCAGGAGACCAGGGATGAGTCAGTTGTCAGTTTCGAAGCATGCTTTCCCTCTCGTCGGTTCGGGGTTGTTGAGATTGAGATGAGTTGCGGTGAGAGAGAGATGGTGATGCCGGACCTCTTTTTTGTCGTTGTCGGGCGCGTCCTCGTCGGTGGAGCTGCTTCTTCTTTGCATCGCACCGCAATGCCGGCGAGGGGACCAAAATCACCCCGTTTTTGCCCATTTTCGGCCATCCGTCAATATATCTGAATGAAGATCCCAATATAGGATTCTCCCCAAACCTTGCTCAGCTGATCCAGCCTGGGGGGAAGGCCAGCCCTGGGCAAAGAAACCAGTACCTCATCGGGCTTCCCTGAGCGTCACAGCTCGGTGATCGCGCCAGCCGGACACCACTGTAACGTCCGTTCCGGGCATTTGAACGCGACCTTCGGGGGCAAAGACATGGGCTCTATGGCTCAGACTGGACTCCTCTTGGTCCCTTCTGATGCCCTAGGCCACAACTGGGCCTTACCGTTGAACCGGACGCTCCATAGCAACACTCAAGATACACTCGAAGGGGGGTACACGTTTTCTTTTCGGGTTTCGTGGGTTCCTAGTGCACTTGGAACCGACGAAACCGAAGCGGGTTGGCCCCGGGGTGGTTTCACTGCGGCAGAGCTCTGTCAGAGAGTCTGAGAGACTTCACTCTTCAGGCTCGAAAATAATGACACACCTCCTAGACGCTTGTATAACGAAGCTAGAGCAGCTAGACCCGCCACATACGCTGTAGAACAGAGTGTGAGGAGGGTGCTCTAAGTCCGTCCGACCAGACTTCGACTGTCTGCCAGACACGCGCGGCGACTTTTGGCGCCGGCCGCCAAAACCTCCAGTTTTCGCCTATCGCTCACGCGTCACGGAAGGGTGCCCTCACTTCTTCCGGAAGCCTCCGAGGGCAGGGAAAATCGTGCACTGAATGCCGAGCGCGGCCTCGATGGGCGGGATGCGCTCCTTCACAGCCGGCGTCAGATTCCCAAAGTACTTCCAGCCGATCCACTTCACATGCTTGTTCATCGAGGCGAACCCTGTTCCTGTCAGAGCCGGGTCGGCGAAGGCCATGCAGTGATGCGCCTGAGGGTCGACGAACAAAGGTTGCTGGAAAACTAAGCTTTGGGTGGTGCGCCTCGATCCAATAATAGCTCGGCGCATACTGCAGTGCGTCTCGATCCCACCCATTTGTGTTGCACCTGCGCGTCCTCGTCGTCGAAGGTCTCGAGGAGGTACATTTTTTTCTTGTCGCCACTAATGTAGAACTCCTGCGCATTTGTGCCCGGGCACTTGCTGCGCTCGCAGGCCGTCCACTCATTCACTGCCGCCTTGAGCGCCTCAAAGTCGCCGGTGATCTCGAGCTCGAAGAACGCGGTCATAATGCGCTGCGACTGAATCGCGTCGTCGTAGGTCGCAAGTGGCTTTGCGGCAGGAATGGCAGCGGCGCCCATTGTGCTGCGAGCCTCGGCCATGTAGGCTTGGGCTTGTCGGCTAGAGCTCTATACCCCTCGACACTAGCGCTGAGCTCTCCTGTACCGGGAGCAAAACGAGATTTTTTTACAATTATTTTAACCCCTCTTTCACACGACAGTGTGCCGCGGGGTCCTGTGAGCAGTCTGTGAGTCAGAGCCAGAGAGTGTTGTGTGGTGGATTCGTCAGTGTCACTGTCCCCCGGGGGGGGTCCAGTGTAGCTCTCGGCTCGTTCGAAAAAAGAAACCGTTAACCCCCAATAACACTCTTATCTCTAAATAAGCATTAAGGTTATGCGCACAGTCTGTTTCGCGCCCGCAGGGCCCGCAGGCGCAGACCGCTGAATTAATCGTAATCGCATGCACACGAATCACGATTCGATCTTCTTGGGCAGCAGCTGGTTGGACAGGTCCTCTCCGTGGCCTAGGGAGCCGTGGCCGCCGTGGCCCCAGGTAAAGAAGGCGCCGTCGGCGGTGAGGGCGAGGCTGTGCGACCCTCCCGCCGACACAGCGTTGACGCGCTGGCCAGCGAAGGCCTCGACCTTCTTCGGCAGCGACTGGTTCTGCGCGGCGCCGTGGCCCAACTTGCCAAGGGCTCCTTCGCCCCAGCTCCAGAGAGCGCCATCGGCGGTGAGGCAGAGGCTATGGTAGGGCCCAGCCGACACGGTGACGACGCGCTGACCCGCCAACGCCTCGACCTTCTTGGGCAGCAGCTGGATCTGCTGGTCGCCGTGGCCCAGCTGGCCATCATGTCCCCAACCCCAGCTCCAGACAGCGCCGTCGGCGGTGAGGGCGAGGCTATGGAAGCCTCCAGCCGCGAAAGCGACGACGCGCTGGCCAGCCAACGCCTCGACCTTCTTTGGCAGCAGCTGGTTCTGCTCGCCGCCGTGGCCCAGCTTGCCCCCACCTCCACCGCCCCAGCTCCAGACGGCGCCGTCGGCGGTGAGGGCGAGGCTGTGCCGGGCTCCAGCCGACACAGCGACGACGCGCTGGACTGCCAACCCCTCGATGTTCTTCGGCAGCGGCTGGCTCTGCTGGTCGCCGTGGCCCAGCTGGCCAAAGCCTCCCTCGCCCCAGCTCCAGAGAGCGCCGTCGGTGGTCAGGGCGAGGTTGTACGCGGTTCCAGCCGACACAGCGATGGCCCGCTGCCCCGCCAACGCCTCGACCTTCTTGGGCAGCAGCTGGGTCTGGTCGTCGCCGTGGCCGAGCTGGCCTTCGACCGCACAGCCCCAGCTCCAGACGCCGCCGCCGGCGGCGAGGGCAAGGCTGTGCGCAGCTCCCGCCGTCACACTCATGGCGCGCTCGCCGCCCAGCGGGGAAGGGAGGCGTGTCGGCGAGTTGAGCCGCGTCACCCCCTCGCCGTGCCCGAGCAGTCCCGGCGTCCAGCTCTCAGCCTTTCCGCACGACGAGAGCCGCCCCTCGCCGTCGATGAAGAGGCTGTGCCGTTCGCCTGCAGCCGCCCTCGCCGGCGGGTTGGACTCGCGCAGCAACGCAGCGAGGCACAGCCACCGCACGGCGCAGCTCTCGCCCTCGGGCTGCGCCGGCAGCTCGAAGCCGCGCTCTCGCGCCCACAAGCGGATGGCCTCCAGCGCAAGCGAGGCGTGGAAGAGCAGCGAGACGGCCGCGACGCGAGCGATGTCGGCGGGGTCGCAGCGAGAGAGGGCGCGCACGAGGAGCTCCCTGGGGAGGTCGAGCAGGCGGGCGGGCGGCGGCGCGTCTGGCGAGGGGGCGGCGGTGGAGGCGGAGGCGAGGCGGCGCGAGCGGCGGCGCGAAGGGGTGGACATCGCGAGGAAAAGAATCTTACAACAAAACTCCCTCGCACAACACTGGGCACTGGACTGGCGCGCACTGGCACGAACACAGGTACACCACGGGAGCCGCCTAAGCGACTCCTGCGAGGGTGGCGAGGCACTTAGCTCCGTGCACCCGCCCACCCCCGCCACAGGCAAGCTCATTCACGACCTGCTCTGCGATGGCCGTGTGAAGAACGACTGAGATGCGCTGCTTCTGCAGCCCCAGCCAGCTCTTGGTGGTCCAAGTCACCTCATCGAGGTACTGGGCCCGCGTCAGCTTGTTCTGTAGCACGTCCGCCGCTCTCCGGAGGATCTCACGGACCCCCTTTCCGAACCCGCCGAGGAAAAGAAATCGTCTCGCGATCTAGCCGTCGCAAAGAAGGGCGAGAGAGGAATCCCTGGGACCCTGTCGTGAGGGTGAACCCTGCCCAGCCCCCCTCCGTGTCGCGATGCGCTCCCCGCTCCCGTTCCCCGGTGTCCCTGATCGTCCTTACAAGATCCTGCTCGTGCAGGTGGGGACCCTGTCCTTCTCCCACCCCTCGTTTGGCGTGTCCGTTGTATTTATTTATTTATTTAAGAAGGGCGCTCCGATGGATTGTGAGGAGAGCAGACCCTCCCGGCGCGCTCACAGGCGCTCGCGGCTGGAGCGATTGGGAGCGCCCTCGCTGTGGACTGTGCGCCTGGCCGGCTGCTAGCAATCCTTGCTTGGCAGATCCTAGCGGTGGCTACGCGCCGGTGCCGCCCGGGGTCCTAGGGGGCGGGCAGGGTTTGACCCCCGAAACTGGCATGAGGCACCACTTGTAACACCCCCCCGCCGGGGCGTGAAATCCGAGCCGTGACTTTCCTCGTGCGCCCTCGACAGGCCGCGAGCAGGGAGGGAAAATGGCGCCTGTAACAGCTGAGGCAGGGAGGCTGCCTGTGAGTTGCGCGGCCGCAGAGCCATGCAGAAAAAACTTGCGGACGAAACGACTCTCTGTCTGGGCAACAAACACCGCGGGCCGCGCTTGCCGGAACGCGCGGGAGAGCTAGTTGCTCGCCCACGCCAGCGCCGTGCTCCCCTGAGTCCGCGTTTGAAGCCCTATCACTGCTGCCCCTGCGTGCTTGTGGCGTGCTGAAGGGAGAGCTCACCCGCAGCACGTATGGACCGCATAGCCTGGCTATTTACCGCATCGGCCAGCGACGACGTGGACCAGCTCCAGTCGCTCCACCAGTCGCTCCACATCCGCGCCATGACTGGCGGCGGCTTCAGCCTATCCGCCGGCTGCCGCTTCAAGAGGGCGAGCAGGAGCACCAACGCACAGGAGCCAGCTCTTCGCCCGCCCGCGCAGCTTGAGACTACCTCGCTCGACTTCTTTGGCGATGCCGCCGCCGCTCCCGCTCCGGCCGCCACCGCCGCAGCCTCCGACTCCGCGGCGCCCTCCGGACGACAGCCACGCCGCCGCGGTCGGAAGGGCGCTGCGGCCACCGTTGAGCCTGCGGCCGACGATGAGCCCGCCGCCGCCTCGGCCGCACCCGCCAGCAGCGCCCGAGCGGTCGCTGAGGCAAACCAGCTGCGCAAGGCGCTGCGGATCCACGCGTACGGCAACGACGTGCCTCCCCTGGCGCAGTCCGCGCACCAGCTGTCGGAGGCGCACGGGCTGCGGCCGTACCTCTACCAAAACATGATGACGGCCGGCTACCACGAGCTGACGAGGGTGCAGATGCAGGCAGTGCCCGCGCTGCTCGCCGGCCGAGAGCTCCTCGCGTGTGCGCCGACGGGGTCGGGAAAGACGGCCGCCTTCGTGGTCCCGATGCTGCAGCGGCTCGGCTCCTCGGCGCGGCGGCGCGGCGGCGGCGGCGGCGCGCCGCGCGGCCCTCGCGCCGTGCTGGTTGCGCCGACGCAAGAGCTGGCGAGGCAGACGCACCGCGAGGTGCTCAAGCTGGCAGCGGGCGGGAAGGTGAGCGTGGCGCTGCTGACGCGCAAGATGGTGACCGCGGCGCTCGCGGAGGCGCGCGGCGGCGGCGGCGGCGGCGGCGGCGCGCCCTCCTTGGTCAAGTATGACGTCGTCGTCTCGACACCTCTGAGGCTGGTCGGCCTGGTCGACAGAGGGCTGCTGCCTCTGCAGGTCGCGATAGCACCCTCGCAGCACCTTCGCAGCACCTTCGCAGCACCCTCGCAGCACCCTCGCAGCACCCCGCCTTGCATCCCCTCCCTCCGCCACCCGCCAACCCCGCCTTGCGTCCCCACCCTCCAGCCCCCGCCCCCCAGCCCCCGTCCTGCCGCCCCCGCCGCCCCCGCCGCCCCCGCCGCCCCCGCCGCCCCCGCCGCCCCCGCCGCCCCCGCCGCCCCCGCCGCCAGCGCCGCCCCCGCCGCCAGCGCCACCAGCGCCGCCAGCGCCGCCAGCGCCGCCAGCGCCGCCAGCGCCGCCAGCGCCGCCAGCGCCGCCAGCGCCGCCCTCCACCGCCGGCCGCAGGAGGTTCGGCTGCTCGTCCTCGACGAGGCCGACAAGCTGCTCGAGCTGGGCTTCCTCGAGCAGGTCGACACGCTGCTCGCCGCCTGCTCGCACGCCGAAGTCAGCCGCGCCCTCTTCTCGGCGACGATGCTCCCCGCCATCGAGTCGCTCGCAGACACGGTGCTGCGGCAGCCGGTGCGGGTGGTGGTGGGCGAGAAGAACGCGGCGGCCGAGACGGTCGAGCAGTCCCTCGTCTTCGTCGGCCGCGAGGACGGCAAGATGCTCGCGCTGCGGCAGATGATAAGACAGGGCATCCAGCCGCCGGTGCTCATCTTCGTGCAGTCCAAGGCGAGATGACCCGAGATCACCCGAGATCACCCGAGATCAGCCGGTGCTCATCTTTGTGCAGTCCACGGCGCCGCCAAAAAAAGGGGGGGGGTTGGGGGGGGGGGGGTAGCTCCCAGCTCCCTCCGCCGAGACCCTCAGCTCGAGCGCTCGCCGCCGCACAGGAGCGCGCGGTGCAGCTCTTCCATGAGCTCGTGCTGGACGGGCTGCGCGTCGAGGCGATCCACGCAGACCGCTCGCAGGCTCCCGCCCGCCGCCGCCTCCTCCGCCACCCTCCTCCTCCGCCACCCCCTCCGCCACCCTCCTCCTCCGCCACCCTCCTCCTCCGCCACCCCCTCCTCCGCCACCCCCTCCTCCGCCACCCTCACCACCCTCACCGCCCCCACCGCCACCTTCACCACCCTCACCACCCCCACCCCTCCACCGCCACCGTGCCCGCCTCCTCGATCGCCCGCCGCCTCCAAGCTCGCCGCCTCCCTCTCCACCGCCTCCCTCTCCACCGCCTCCCTCCCCTCCGCCTCCCCACGCCGAGCCGTCGCAGGCGCAGCGCGACGCGATTGTGGACCAGTTCCGCAAGGGGCAGGTCTGGGTGCTCATCGCCACGGAGTTGATGGCGCGCGGGATGGACTTCGAGGGGTTGCTCTAGGGGCCCTCTAGGACCCCTCTAGGACCCTCCTCGTAGGCGCGCGGGATGGACTTCAAGGGCGTCAAACTGGTGGTCAACTTTGACTTCCCGCAGACGACCGTCTCGTACATCCACCGCATCGGCCGCACCGGCCGCGCAGGCATGCGGGGCAAGGCCGTCACCTTCTTCACCGAGCAGGAAGCGCGGCCCAGTGTGGCCCGACCGCCCCAGCGCACATTCCACGACTGGCCACCCGACGCCCCCGGAGCACACGGCCAACCCCTGGGCAGAGAGATGGAGCGGACCCTGGCAGAGAGATGGAGCGACGGCACCCTCGCGGCAGAGAGGTGGAGTGGGGCGGTCGTTCGTTCACCCGCCTTTCCCCCTCCCCCGGAGCAGGACGTCGAGCAGCTGCGCTCCATCGCAAACGTGATGAAGGCGAGCGGCTGCGGTGTGCCGGACTGGATGCTCCGGCTGCAACCAATGCGCAAGCAAAAGCGAAAGGCGATCGCGGTCAAGCCGCGCTCTCGCAAGGCGGTCGCCAAGCGCGCGTGGAGCGGCGGCGGCGGCGAGGGCGGCGGCGGAGGCGCCAATGGGGTGGCGAAGCGGCCAAAGAAAGCGAGGGCAAAGGCGGACTGAGCCTGTAACTATGGCGCGGCGAGTCCCTGGCGCGGGTGGCGCGTGGCGGTGGTGGCAAAGGTGAGTCTCAGTCCCTCCCCCCAGCGCCAAGGGCACACAAATTGCTCAACCTCCGGCCTCCCCCAAACCTTCCCCCAGCGGAGGTTGCCCTCCATCGAGCGCGCCCTTATGGCGTCCAGGCGTACCGAGCCCGTCTCCGCGCGCGGCGTTTTGGTTTGATTTTTTAGTTTTTACTGCACAAAAGAGTGATGCACGAAAATTGACCACACATGTGGCTGAGCTGCTGGAAAATCGCGCTTTGGCGTCTGGGGCGGGAACGGGGGCGCGGGCCGCTGGGGCGGTGCCGATGGCGCACCGATATATGGGGCGGGTGGCGCGCGGCCGGAGCGGAGAGCGGGTAGCGGATATATCTACGCGCGTGGGCGGACTCGCAAGAAGCAGACGGAGGTCTCTCGGAGGGAAAAACGCTGCATCTGTCGCAGCCAAAACTCAGGCAGGGTGCATGGATTGGATGGGAGATGGGGGGCGGCCTGCAGCCTCCCTGCAGCCAGCTCGCAGAGCGACGCAGAGTGCGGCCCGTTAGGTTGTGGACGGCTGGGTTGTGCGGTCAGCGTGCGCAGCGCGACTGCCATCAGGTTGGGGCCGGGAAGCTGCTAAAGTGCACACCGTCCCTCAGGCCGCGGCGACTTCCAGCTCACACCCTTTGCCCTGGTCACCCGTGGAGGCCGCACCGGCGCCGGTGGCGGCGCCTTCTGACCCTGAACGTCTCGGGGCGGGATCGTTCGAGGGTCAATCCCGGTTGACTTGATCGGCGAACAGAGTACAAATGGAGCCGGGTTGCTTCGAGCCGGTGGGCTGGGTGCTGCCGCAGCATCCTCCTGCTGCTCCTGGTCAATGACGTGCGAGAGCGGAGAGCGTGGCGGCATCTGCGGGGAGCGTGGCGGCCGTGCGCTCGCCGGCTCCTCCGTAAGCAGACAACTAGACTCACGATGTGCGTGCATGGACTCAGCCGCGGCGGGCAGAGTCCAGGTGCGGTGCGAACGACGCGCCCCACGAGGTCCCCCGAGTGAGGAGGACGAAATCCGGTGTCGCCGAAGATGGCACCTTTCATTCCCCTTGCGACATCCCCGCCGATCTGTATGTACGAGATTTCATTGCAAGTCTTCTCTTGCAAGTCCCGAAAATCCAAATAAATCAGGTGTGCCCTTTTTGCTTGGCCGGACCTCATGCCGGGGTAGGTAGGGAGGGTAGGTAGGTCTGGGCCCTCCCTCCCGGTCGGGGTTTCCCCTCTCTCCACGCCGGAATTTTCACAGCAGAAAAAAGAAAATGTCCGCGGAATCACGATGTCAACCCTGCCCAACTGGGTGATCTGATGCTTGTAGGGCTTGAGAGTGGCCTGCCATATTCGATGCCATATCACACATAGGGAAGAGAGAGTCTTTAAAATCTCCTCCTCACATAGGCTATGCAACAAACATAGGAAGGATCTCGTGTGTGTTCTATCGTGCTTCTCGTCTCGCCTCTCTCGAGCGAGGAGAGTCGAGTCGCGGTCCTCGTGTCGGCATCCCGATGGGGGTGATACTTGCGGGCGTGGATGACGCTTACGGCGGCCGGGGCACCACCCACTAGCTGCATGATCACCGGCCGGTCACCTGGTCACCGATCACCGGCCTAGGAGCTCAGCACTCCTTATTCAGGGGGTGATCGGTGATCGAAACGCGGCGGTGTAATAGATCGATGCTGCGGGAAAGGAAGCTGACCGGTTTTCGTGCATCTCCCGCTCCGAGACGCGAATGCTGACTCAAGCGGTTGGGGTCAGGCAGCGTGGAGTTGCCCGGGTCGTCTGCCATGCACGTGTGAATCGATGGATCGGCCATATCGACCCACAAGACAGCTGGCTTTCTCTTTACATGAAAACACGAAGCTCCCATATGGGAGCCGCAGCCGTTTAGGGGTTAATGCGAGCTCCTCGCACGCCTTGGCCCCGGCCAGGCTAAGGACAAAGCGTCGGCCGCCGCACCCCGCACGTGCCATTCACCGCCGCCACAAAGACCTTGTGTTGTTCCAAAACGAAGCCCTCGCCTGTTCAGATTGACATGATGACATGTCGAGGTGTGCGCCATCGGTTTGGTGTCCAAGGGTCCGGATGAAGCTTCCCCACCCAGCTCCAGACAGCTCCGTCGGCGGTGATGTGGCGATATGCTGTCTTTATCTCCAGCCGAGACAGCGACGACGCGCTGGCCAGCCAAGGCCTCGACCTTCTTGGGCAGCAGCTGAGCCAGCTCGTCGCCGTGGCCCACCCAGCTGGCCACAACGAACGCCCATCGATCGCCCCAGCTCCATCCATCCATCCCAGACCGCGCCGTCGGCGGTGAGGGCGAGGCTGTGCCATGCTCCAGCCCACCCAAGGCCTTCTTGGGCAGCATCGAGCCTACATGTGCATGTGACATGCACAACATGTGCATGCACATGCACATGTGCATGCAACTCCGGGGTGCCGCCAGGGTGCCAGTGCAAGACGACGGCGAGCCGCCGTGAACGGGTTATCGGCCGCCGGCTTCGGCACAGCTCGGCATCCGCTGTGCATCCTCGCTTGTAGCCGCTCGAGTGATACTCGACGCCGCAACGATGGCCGGCACTGAGGCGTGGAGCAAACTTCAACAGCACTATGACGCGGGCATGAAGACGCAGAAGATGCGCGACCTGTTCTCCAAGGACAGTGACCGCTTCAATAGCTTCTCTGCGACGTTCGAGGACGTCCTGCTCGACTACTCCAAGAACATTGTGACGGAAGAGACGATGGTCGCCACCAGAGATGCCGCACTTATACACGCGCCGCCGCTCGCCCGCGCGCATCGCCGCCGCGTAAAATTCACAGCTGCACACGCCTCGGCGCTCGAACCAGCGATCAGCGCTCGCCGGCCGACCTGCCTTGCCGGCTCCTGACACCCGCCGCGCGCCCGTCCTGCAGACCCTGCTCAGCAAGCTGATCGATGAGGCGCCGACGCGCCTCTCTGCCCCCACCCCGCGCCCGTCGCGCCCACCGCCACCACTGCACACACAGCCGCCGGCAGCTGCCGCCTCCGCTGCCGCTATGGACTCCGCTGCCGCTGCCGCCCTCTCGCCGGCGTCGCGCCGCCAGCACCCGCCACCGGCGGCCGCGATCGTCCCGCGGCGCCCTCCCCACCGCCCCGCGGCGGAGTGGCGCGCAGGCGCAGGTGAAGGAGATGGCCAAGGCGATGTTTGCGGGCGAGAAGATCAACCTGACCGAGGATCGGGCAGTGCTGCATGTGTGCTCTGCTCCTGCCGCCGCCCTCGCTGCCGCACGCACGCACACGCACGCACGCACACACACACACACACGACACGACACACACACACACACACACACACACACACACACACACACACACACACACACACACACACACACACACACACACCGCTCACCCACCCACACACACACGCACACACCTCACCCACGCGCCCGGCCTTGTACGTCTGCGTCTGCATCTGCATCTGCGTCTGCCCCCGCCCGGGTAGGTCGCGCTCCGGAACCGCGCCAACACGCCGATTTTGGTGGACGGAGTCGACGTGATGCCGGAGGTGAACGGCCGTATCTCCCCATATCTCCCCATACCTCCCCATATCTCCCCATACATGATGCCGGAGGTGAACGACCTGTTCGCCAAGCTCCGGCGCGAGGGCCCGTCCCTATACGGCTGGTCGGAGCTGCCCTGTAGGTGAACGCTACTGCTACTGCTACTACTACCACCACACGACTATTACTACTACACCAGAGCGAGGGCCCGTCCCTATACGGCTGGTCGGAGCTGCCCTAGGTGAACGGCGTGCTCGCCAAGCTCGAGCCGTTCGTCAACAAGGCGTTAGCAGAGACCACAGCCTGCTGTTCAAAGCACATGCCAGCAGCCCACGCCCTCGGGGCACGCGCTGTAGCGTGGCGTCGTAGCTCGGCGTCGGTGAGGGGTGATGCTCCGGACCAGCGGCTTACCACTACGACTTTAACATTGCTGCTACTACTGCTTACTCACCACTACTACTACTACACTGCCGCTTGCTTCTGTTCGACCCGTCGCTGAGTAGAGACCACAGCGCATGCCTTGCCTGGCGGCAAAATGCCGCGAAACGCAAGAGGACGCGGTGCAAGAGTGAGGCGTGGCCTGTCCTCGCCAGGTGCGTTCGGGCGAGTGGAAGGGGCACACCGGCCAGCCCACCTAGAAGCAGAATCTCTCCCCATCTCCCTGCGTACCTCCCCGTACCTCCCCGTATCTCCCCGTATCTCCCCGTATCTCGGGCCCGAGAAGAAAGGCGCACTCTTGCCTTCCAACTCGCGCTCGAGAGGAGGCGCTCTTCAGCCGTGTTCGACCGTACTCCGCTGTCCTCATTGGACTCGCACCCCTCGCGGTATCCACGCGGTGCTCTGAACACAGTGCGCAGTTCCCCGCAGCCCCGCCCGTGAGGTTGGCGTACTCAGCTCGCAGGCAAGCCCATCACGGACGTGGTCAACCTGGGCATCGGCGGGAGCGACCTCGGGCCGGCCACCTTAGAAGCGGAGCATTGTGTTCTTGTAGTCCAGCGAGAGCTCTCGAGAGAGCTCGAGAGGACACGTCCTCGGCTGATATACATGTATATAGGACTCGGCACCCCCGCCCTGAGGGTGGCGTATTCAGCACGTAGGCTTGTACGCCGCAGATTTGCTACCACACCACCCACGGGACTGAACCCAGACTGGAGTCCATCCTCTCTTGGTATGGTACGCGTAGGCCGGTGATGGTGACGGAGGCGCTCAAGCCGTACTCGAAGCGCGACCTCAAGGCGCGATCTAGCCGAGAACTAGCCGAGACGGAGTCGGGAGATAGTCAAGCCCTACTCGGGGCGCGACCTCAAGGTGCACTTTGTCTCAAACGTGGACGGCACGCACATCGCCGAGGTCACGAAGGCGTGCGACGCGGAGACGACGCGCTTCCTGATTGATTGATTGATTGATTGATTATTGATTATACTAATTAAGGCGCTCGACGCGGAGACGACGCTCTTCCTGATCGCATCCCTAGAAGCGGAAGACGTGGTCTTGTCTCTCCAGCCCGCGCTCGAGAGGACACGCACTCCGCTGGACTCAGCCGTATTCAGCTGTATTCACTGTCTCCGCCTATCCTCTTACTCACTCGGTGCTCTGAAGACTCTGCACGATACCGCCTTCCCGCCCTGAGGTTGGCGTACGCAGCACGTAGGATCGCGTCCAAGACCTTCACGACGCAGGAGACGATGACCAACGCCAACTCGGCCAAGTCCTGGCTGCTGGCCGAGCTCGGGGGCGACAAGGCCCCCCCCCCCCAACACACACACACGAAACACACACACACACACACACACACACACACACACACACACACACACACACACACACACACACACACACACACACAAGGCCGCCAGTCAGTCAGTCAGCCAGTCAGTCTGACACACGCCCTACCACCGAGGACGGGCCCACACTCCACACACACGCTGCCCGCGAGTGGTTCGGGAGCCGACACGAGGCACACTGCCACCGGCCGTATCATCATTGGGTCCGGACTGCTGAGCGCAGGCCGCCATCGCGAAGCACTTCGCGGCGCTCTCCACCAACGGCAAGGCGGTGAAGGAGTTCGGCATCGACGAACAAAACAACATGTTTGGCTTCTGGGACTGGGTGGGCGGTCGGTACTCGTCCTGGTCGGCGATCGGAACTTCGATCGCCCTCTCGATCGGCTGGGAGAACTTCGTCGCCTTCCTCGAGGGGGCGCACGAGATGGACAAGCACTTCCTCGAGGCGGACTTCTCACCCGAGAAGGGCTTCAAGAACCTGCCGATGGTGCTGGCCGCGCTCGGCGTGTGGTCCTAGAACGTACTCAGCTGTCTCGCCGTACTCCACTGCATTCACTGTATTCGTAGCCCCTCGTACTGACGCGGTGCTCTGAACACGTTCATGTCGGCGTACTCAGCACGCAGGCGCGTGGTACGGCGCCTTCTTCAATCAGTGTTTAATGACTCATTATACTAGGTGAATTATGTTAGGCGTCTGGTACGGCAACTTCTTCCGCTTACCCTGACAAGATTCCGATTTAGCGGTCCAGACGGGTCATGTTACGGGAGACCTCCAGGAGAGTGACATATCCAGGCTGGAATAGTGTTCGTCCGACGCGCGACGGCAAGCACGTGGCGGTCGGCACGGGCCCGATCATCTGGGGCGAGCCGGGGACCAACGGGCAGGTGCACGCACTCCGCACTACGCACCCTCTCCCGCCCCGCCGCCGGAGAGCTCTTGTTTTTCGCCGCCGTGATCCCTGTTCACGCGCCGCCTCCCCTGTGCTTCCCAAACGGGTTGTGGCGACACGTACTTACTAACGCCGTTTTAACTCAGGGATGCTTTCTGGCGCCGGTCGCGACGCAGGTGGTCACACCTCGCTCGAGTGAGATCTCGGGAGATCAGGGGAGATCATACCTCGCTCGAGTGAGAGATCTCGGCCCGCGAGACTGTTGGCTCTGCGACTGCCAACCCTCTCCCGAGATCGCCACAGAACGCCCCGTGTGCAATGCCCCGTGTGCTCCGCGAGCGCGTGTGCCCCGTCATCCGTGCGAGGACGTGTGTACGACTGACGGGCTGCTCACTTTGCTACGCAGAACCCGGACCCTCCCCTCCCCCCCCCTCCCCCTGACCCCCTCCCCTACCCCCCAGTACCCGAACCCTCCCCCTCACCTTGCGATGCAGAACCCCGACTTCCCCGAGCACCACCCGATCCTGCTCTCCAACTTCTTCGCGCAGACCGAGGCGCGTTGCTCATACCACCACCCACGGACCTGAACCCACACTGGGTTCGATACTCTGGAGGTATGGTACTAGGCGCTGATGAAGGGCAAGACGAAGCCCGAGGTCGAGGCGGAGCTCGAGGGCAAGATGGACGCCGACGAGATCAAAAAGCTCGCGCCGCACAAGGTGTCGAGAGTAGTGAGAGCATTAACTAATTCGTTGTCAACCATTCACGATTGATGACGGCGCTCGCGCCGCACAAGGTGTTCGAGGGCAACAAGCCGAGCAACTCGATCTTGTTCGACAAGCTGACGCCGCGCACGCTCGGCTCGCTGATCGCAATGTACGAGCACAAGATCTTTGTGCAGGGCGTCATCTGGAACATCAACTCCTTTGACCAGTGGGGCGTGCAGCTCGGCAAGGTGTGGACGCGAGTACACGAGATTGCCCGAGATTGCCCGAGATTACCCGCGCCTTTGACCCTTGGGGCGTGTAGCTCGGCAAGGTGGGCACATGCGCCGTCGTGCCCGCTCCTCCGCCGCAGGAGCTCGCAAACAAGATTCTGCCAGAGCTCAAGTCGGACGAGCCGGTGAGAGGCAGCCGAGAGACCGCCGAGAGACAGCCGAGAGACAGCCGAGAGACCGCCGAGAGGCCGCCGAGAGGCCGCCGAGAGACAGCCGAGAGACCGCCGAGAGACCGCCGAGAGACCGCCGAGGTAGACATTGCCCGCTCGCCTCGACAGCGTTCCTCCTCCTCTGGCTCTGGTCCCGCCGCCCGCAGCGACGCTGCACGCGCCCCGCAGTGACACACACTCACACCGCTCACCCACGCGCACTGGGCCTTGCACTCTCAATGCCGAGGGGCTCCTGTCGTCCAGACGTGGAGATGCGAGGGATCGTCCGGCCCTTGCCCCACCACCTCGTGTGTGTGTGTGTGTGTGTGTGTGTGTGTGTGTGTGATTGTGGAGAGAGAGAGAGAGAGAGAGAGAGAGAGAGAGAGAGAGAGAGAGAGAGAGAGAGAGAGAGAGAGGTGTGCACCTGACCTGACCCGGCGGTGAGCAGGTGACGTCGCACGACTGCTCGACAAACGGCCTGATGAACCACTTCAAGGCGCGCTCGAAGGAGGTCAAGTAGTGCGGTCGGGGCCGAGCAGCCTAGCGGAGACGGCCCGAGGGGGTCGGCCGATCTTCAGCCCAGGCAGAGGAGGGGAGAGCGAGGCGGCCGCGCGGGGGCGGAGAGGCGGGGCTAGCGGGGCAGAAGGGTGGACCAGAGGGGAGAGCTGCAGGTGGAGGAGGCGGGGTTGCTGGCTCGCCCATACGTGCCGAATGGCTGGCGGCCAGCAACCAGGTGCACAGGTCTCGTGTCGACGCGAAGGGGTCGCGAGAGCGGCTGCAGAGCGTGCTGCAGAGCGAAGCAAGGTAAGGTAAGGTAAACTTCTCCAACACACAAGAGGTGGTGGGGCAACCCTCGCGACTCCACGTCTAGACGCGAGTCGTCGGACGTCGCGAGACAGCCGACAGGGCCAACCATGAGAAAAAGTGTGTCAGAAAAAGAAAGAAAGAGAACAAGCAACCCAAGGGAGGGATGGGAGGACGGCACGCCGCCACCACACAGGGATTTTAAGGAGAGGAGTGTGGTGCTAGCCGTCGCCCAGTCAGAAAAAGAAAGAAAGAAAAAAAACAGGCACCCCAATAACGAGGGATGGCGGATGGAGGGATAGGGGAGGAGGACAGGGTCCCCACCTGCACGAGCAGGATTTTGGAAGGACGATCAGGGGCACAGGTGGGGCTCTCCTGCTCGCCCAGTCAGAGTATCCGCGACGAATTTCTTTTTTTTGCAGCTCGCTTTTCCCACCAACTTACAGCGTCTCAAATCAGCAAATGCTACTCCAGGCCACCGACGAGCGATCTGAGCCAAGCTCAGAAGCCCCGTCAGAACAGGCGCTGCTCCGGTCACGCCTCGACCGCGGCGGCAGCTCTGTCATTTGGGAGCAGGCGCAATCCCCACCGAGATACTTCACTGCTTTGCGCCTGCTGCTTCCCAGTCGGTCGGTCGCTGTCATGGCGGCGATGTCGGTCGCCGTCATGGCGACCCTCTTCCTATTTGCCCCCTCCTCCGTCAAAACAGCCGCCGGCATCTCCATCACCTCCACCTTCTGCGCCCTAACGGGCAATCCGTGCCCAGAACCGTCAGATTTTCAGGTGTAACCTGAAGTCCGTCGCGATGCACTCAATCCCTCCCGAGCGAAAGCCTGTGGCTCTCTCGAACTCGTCGATATATTGCGGATAAACTGCTCTTCCCGCATAGCTTGCAGAGTCAGAGGCGCAGAAAGGCTGCGAGTGCTCGACGAGTCTTGCGAGCTGCGCGGTCAAACCTGGGGGGAACTGACCGCATCAAGGCGGACTTCCGAAACCTGGGTGAGCACCTCTGACGGTTCTCGCTCCCCATCGAGCTCTTCTTGCCGCACGGCTCTTGCTGTGTGCCGGCACAGAGCTCCGTGCAAGCCGTCCAACGTGATAGGAACGAGTGTATCGCTTCGACGGATCGACCGTGCTTGTTATCAAGACCGATGTGACGTACACAGTGACACATCAGAACGACACACATTCTCACACCCGCCGGGACGCAAAACGCTCTCGACGAGAGCCAGAAGAAGGCGTCCACACAGCAAGCCGCTCGGTCGATCACGTTGCTCGCTCGATGCCGGCGAGCGCATGGCGCACGCCTTGGACGGTGGCGAAGCCAAAAACACCGATGGTGGCCGTCCGCTGGCGTGAGCGGCGGCGGTCGAGACCTCACCCTTCGCGCCGACGACCCAACCTCAGGGTAAGGTCTACGCCCTTACTCAGGGAACAACCCAACCCGGGCCAACAACCCAACCCAACACGAAACAACCCAACTCAAAGCACGATTCTGAAGTTGGGCCCTCAGCACCCGCCTTTGGAAGGTGCTCTGACTGGCTTTGAGAATATGTTTTTTCTTTTTGGTTCACATGGCTAGAGAGGTTGGCCTCCCACCGTTGTGAACATAGGACGTAGTTTCTTCTCAATAACAAGGCTGTGAACATAGTCTGGCCCGAAGAAGCGGCTCGTCTCTTGTCCGGGCAAACGCGCGCCCGATCTATCCAGTGCTCAAGTGCTTAGTGACATGCTCTCCACTCGCGTCACACAAGTGCTCTTGCTGATGCCGCTCCGTTCCTGCCACTGCTTCTCGCTCCTGCCGCGAGCTGGCTGCCACCCAGCGCAGCCGCCTCTGATCAGCCGCACCAGCGCGCCGCGAGCGCAGTGGGACCCGACCGAAATGTTTGAGGATGCGATGCGCAAGGCGACCGGCAATGAGGACTACAGGTTCGGAGATCTCACAAAGGGAGCCGCGGACGAGGTGAAGCGGAGCGTCGAGTCCGTCCTCGAGCCAGTCGCCACCAGCATCACGGGCAAAGAGTCGTACCAATTCGGCGACCTCACGCGCAAGGTTCTCTCGGACGCCGACGAGGCGCTTGCGACCACGCGGGACGCATACTTTGAGGAGCTCCCTGCGGCGATGTGGCGGCAGCTGTTTGGTGGCCTGACGCCGCAGCAACGGTCCGACGTTGTGATCGCGCTCTGCCAGTTTACCGCGGTCTGCGTGCTGTCGCTCTCGCTCGTGAGCAACCTGCTGCAAGGCGCCTTCTTCTCCGTCGCCTGGGGGCTCAGCAGCAGACACAGCCGCCTCTCCCCCATCGCCGCCGGGCAGTGGCCCGCCCCGCTTAGATGCGAAACACACACCTGCATTCCCAATGGGGTGCCTCGAGGCGGATTGGCGGCGTCCCCGCTGTATTCGCTGTACCCGTGGCCCTTGCGTTCACGCGATGCTCTGACGGCACCGCTGCTCACACCCTCAGCTGCCTCGACTCGTGCCTTAGGCCCGCCCTGCTGCGGACGCACGCCACGCTGCGCCTCGCACTTGGCCCGCAGCTGCTTCCTTCACGGCCGAGCTGTGAAGCGACGCTGTTCACGGCTCGACTCGCGGCTAGGCCCGCTGCTGCTTCCCGCCGAGCTGACCGCCGCCGCGTTGCTCACGCCTCGGTACCGCCGTGCCGTGGCGGCGCTGCAGGCGCGGATGCCGCTGCGCGCGTCGCAGCCCGTACTCAGTCGCGTCTGCGCGCTGGCCGTCGCGTGGGCGCTCGTCAACGGGGTCGCCGTCCTGGCCGGCACCGCGGCGGGCGTCGCGATCGCGGCGGCTGTGGCAGGCGTCCCGGTGTGGCCGCCAAGCGGCGTGGTGCTTGCCTAGCGCTAGGGCGCCTAGGGCTAGGCCGCCCGCACGGGGATCTTATAGTCGGTGGCCGCGGTTGTAGGAGGAGAATCTTAAAATACAAGCCTGAGCCTCTGTCACGGCAGCACACTGGCACGACAAGGGCGCAGACTGGCGCGGACTGTGGCACCACACACACACCGGCACACCTAGGAGGAGAAGCCGCCGTTCCTGTTCTTGTGGCTAAGTTCCATCGTTCCACTGTGGCACAGCTCGCGTTACAAAACCTTGATTTGACCATTTGCGCAAAAAGGTACATGTCGGTGCCTTCCAGAGGCAGCTGCGACCCCACCAAGTAGACGGTGGCACACAGCAGGTGGGGGCGCGGAGTGTGCCACCGTCCACTCGGCGGGGTCGCAGCTGCCTCGCTGTGCGTCCTGGGGATGTACCTTTGTCGCGCGCCGGAGACGACTCGACGCCAGCTGAGATCGGAGATCAAGCTCTGACAGGTGACTCACGAGGTCGCACGTCGCTCCTTTGACGCCGACGTGACTCACCCGTGCAGATCACATCAGGACACGGTCTCGACGCGCTCGGTACGGCCTGCGACCCGTCTTGGGTCAGATGGCACGACGCTCATCGCGCCTACCAGCGCTGCAGTGCAGGTTGCCACGACGAGGTCGAGCACGCTTGAGCACTTGAGCACCGGATAGGGTCGATTCCGCGTGGTAGCGCGAGACACACAGACGACTGGGTACGGGACCCCTCGATCGTCTCGCCCTCCCTCACTGGTGTGTTCATGGGGGGGGGTCATAACAAACACGGTACAGGATCGAGGTGCACGAGCACGCTTCTATACGCTCGCCCAGCCTTCCTTTCCATCCCATTAATTAGGCAGCTTGGGAACGGTGGCGGTCAGAGGGAAAGCCTGCGAGGGGTGGTGCAACCTAAAGTTCTTTTTCGCCAGAGATTCTTCGCCGCGGTGAAATTCGTTGCCCGCGATTTCTTTTCCTTGTTCTTTTCGGTTCTTGTTTTACAACTCCGTTTCTTACTCTTTATGTCGGGAGAGGCCAAAAAAAATTCTATTGTTGGGGTCAGGGTGTTGGTCACCTGTGCTGTCCGCCCCCCCCCGCTGTCAGGCCTGGACGGACTCGCTTGCGTGGGCCACGACTGCTGCTCCCTGTCGAGCAGCGAACTCTTCGACGAACAAGAGAGCCTATGCGTGCGATAAGCTTGCTCGCGGTCCTCCTGGCCTTTGCGGACGCACTCACATTTTCTGGCCACGCTCGTGGTAAGCTTGCAGCGCGACCGGCCATCGCCCGCCGCTCGACCACGCCCAAATTGGCCGACAGCGGCGGCGGCGATGACGGCAAAGTTGGCGGCGATGGCGGCGGCGGCGGCGGCGGCGGTGATGACGGCGGCGGCGGAGGCGGCGACGAAAGCGAGCCGTTCATCGGACGTGGCATCACTTGGTTCTTGGGCGCCAAGTCCGCCCTCACCCTCGTGAGCGGCCTGCCCGTGCTGCTCTCGCCCTCCTCCGTCCTCGACGACCTCGGCTTCCCGCTGATCACCAAGGCGCACGTGCTGAGCACAAAGATGTGGGGCGTGTGGCAGTGCTTCTTTCAATTCCTGCTCGAGTTCACCGTCGCCTTCTTCGTGCCGGCCGGCCTCACGCGCAACCTCCTCCTCCTCTGCGAGGGCATCTTCGAAATCGGCCTGGCGGTCGACGTGCATCACGACTTCACGACGGCCAACAGCGGCCGCTATTCTAAATCCATCCACGACGTCTACGTATGGTCGCCGCCCGTCTTCTTCGCCGTCCTCCTCCTCTTCCCCGACCCCGTCACGGACGTGGCCGCCCGGCTCCGCGCCTACACCACCGTCGGCCTTGTCTCCGCGTGCATCCTCGGCGCGCAGGTCGCGGGCTTGCAACTGGCGTCGACGAGCGACAAGAAGTAGGGATCCCTAGCGGAAGTTGCTGGTTGCTGCTTGTGCTTCCTCGGAGACCGTGCTTGCTGCTTGTTTAGCTATTACCACCACATACTAGCACACCTTCGTACGTACGTATTTTTAACAGAAATACCGTCTGGAACTGTCGTGGACGATATTATACGCGTAGGGCCCTTAGGGGCCGAGAGAGAACAGCACAACACAACCCGTCTCCCAGTAAGCTAAAAGTACGTACACTCACACTCGAGGCGTCTCACATACCGCACACCGTTACATAGCCGATTCGCAGGACTTTGTCCGTTCCTCCTCCTTTCACTTTCTCCTCTACTTCTTGTTCTTCGCGCCCGTTGGCTCGAGACCGACGCCGTAGATGGTGCAGAACATGCCGCCGCACGCCGCCGCGAACGAGGTGAACATCACGCGCTGCACGGCGTCGTTGATGCACTGTTGGTGATCGTCGCCTGTCTTGTCGTCGCAGACCTCGAACATCTTGGTGAATGCCGTCACGCCAATGATCGCGCCGACTTTGCCGGCGGCGGCGGAGAGGCCGTTCAAGGTGCCGCGTATGGAGGGCTTGTACACCAGCGCGGACATCACGTAAGTAGTGGTGTTGGGGATCCAGTAGCTGCCGTACTGGATGTAGTAGATCACGAGCAGGATGCCGCTGGTGTTGTCGATCAGCGCCGGCCACAGGAGCCCAATCAGCAGGCAGCAGACCCCGCCGGAGAAAAAGCCCCAGAACTGCAGCCAGCGGACGCCGGCCCACGGGAAGAGCTGGATCGCGAACAGCACGACGAAAATGCCGACAATGTCGAGGCTGATGTTTTCCCACGCGTCGGCGGCCGTGTCGCCCGGAAGGATCAGGCCGAGGATCTTGCCCTGCAGCAGGTGATTGCCGTAGAAGGACCAGTCGAAGAAGAACCAGCCGCCGCCCGTGCCGAGCAGCTTCCGCCACACCAGCGGCTCCGACTTGACCGCTTCCCACAGGCCGGCCGAGGCGGTCGCCGAGGCCTTCCTGTGGCCGGCCGCCTCGGCGCGCGAGACCCGGGAGGTTGTCCACCGCGACAGCCGCTTCTGCTCCTTGACAGCGACCTCTTTGGGCTGCAGGTGCATGAAGACGCCCACGACGGCCGGCGCCACGGCGCCAAACATTAAGATGAAGCGCCAGGCAAACTGCGATCCGACGCGGCTTGCGGGCGGGGCCGACCACGGCACCATGTCCGCGTACTCGCCGCACGTGTCTGCAGACGGGCGGGCGTCCGCGGGTGGAGGGGTGCCCGGGCGGGGGTGCGCAGAGGTTCCGTAGGCGCGGGCGCTCACAGTAAAAGACGAGGGCCCATGACCATGGCGCGATGGCGCCGAAGTTACGCCACAAGAAGGCCCACGCGACCGAGACGGACTTGTGGACGGGATCGACCGCGGCGCTGTCCTCGGCGGCCTTGGCCGCTGAGAGCGGGTAAACTCCCCCTGCGCCCACGCCGATGAAGGTGCGGACGGCGATGAGCAGGCAGTAGGTCGAGGCCTTGCTGCCCCACGGGACAATGCCCTGCAGCAGTGCGCCGGCAATCTGGATGTACTGGCAGACGAGCAGGCCTCGGTTGCGGCCAAAGAGGTCGCCGGCGGCGCCAAAGCTAATCATGCCGATGGCGGTGCCAATGAAGATGATCACCTTCAGGAGGAGGTCGTAGTTGCTGTCCTTCCCGTAGAGCGGGTGAAGCCACACCTCCGCTGGACCGATAGAGTCGTAGTTGTACTGCACGCCGAAATTGGCGACCGCAGTTGTGATCGTGGACGACCAGAGCAGGAAGAAGTGGCCGCACGACTCCCTCGCGTCGGGATTCTTTGCGTCGAATTCCATCTCTTCATCACCCTCATCGTCTACCGTTAGCTCGCCGTCGGTGGTCACCTCGATCGCCTCGGCTGTCATATCCTTACATGCATGCGCTGGTTTGGTGAGCCGTCGGCGAAACCACGCGGCTGCCAATCGCGGCGGTTGTTTGAGAAACACATGCGTAAGCCTGTAAGCGCGGGTTAGCCGTGGGTTCCACCGGGTTAAGCCACACTAACCCAGTACGGGTCGGCACGGGTTAGAACGGGTTACCATAACCCGACGCTAACCCGGCACTAACCCGGCACTAACCCATCCTAACGTATGCCCCCGAGCAGCGCGGGTTAGCGCCGGGTTAGCGCCGGGTTAGTCTCGGGTTAGTCTGGGTTACGCTTGGGATTGGGTTACGGCTCGTTCCACCCCTCTCTCGTGCGTTCACTCACTCGCCACACCCTGAGGGAGGGTGTAGAGGATGTAGAGTGTAGAGCGCTGTAGAGCTGTAGAGCTGTAGAGCGCTGTAGAGCTGTAGAGCTCTACATCCGCCGCGGGACGAAGTGCCTGCGTTGTAGAGCGATGTAGAGCGCGATTTTGTTGTAGAGTTTGTTGTAGAGGCTCTACAGCAAAACCGCCGGGAAGGCAGTGACTCAAAGAGGTCGAGTCGCACTAATGGGGTGTCTCCGAGCTTACTGGAGCTCTGATGGACGGCCCTGACTATCCCTGACACACAGAGAGTCACTCTGACGGCACACAACACCCTATAACTGCGTCATGACCAGCCTGCCATGCGTCGCCGGTGCCGCATTCGTCGCAGTGCTTCTTTAGCAGGCGATGGACTGTCGGCTGCGAGGACGGTCGCATTTGCGCGAGGCGAGGCGAGCATTGCTGCGCGTTGCACGCGCCATGCCTCGCGCCAGCGCTTGCGGGAGCTCCTGGCTGAGCGTTGAGTCCAGGCGAGTTGCGCTGGCCACTATCGCTACGCCGAGCCGAGCTGACGCGCCGAGGCGCCGGCCAGTCGCAGCCGTGAGGCATGCCACAGCAGCAGAGGCACCTGCCACACATTGGGCGGGCAGACAGAAGGCCAGGGCAGCACTGGCAAGTGCAACGCGCCTCATGTCGGAGAGCGACCGTGCCTCGTTCGCGGCTTATGATGTAGAGTTTGTTGTAGAGATTTCACGTTGTAGAGCGCCTCTACATCGCTCTACAACGCAGGCACTTCGTCCCGCGGCGGATGTAGAGCTCTACAGCTCTACAGCGCTCTACAGCCCTCTACAGCTCTAGTGCTCTACAGCGCTCTACACTCTACATCCTCTACACCCTCCCTCAGGCCACACCACAGCCGCGGGCGCATGGCGAGCGGGACAATCTCATGCCACAGGATCTATAATGTACCGCCCTCAGCGCACTCCTCCTCCCTAGGGCCATCGCTGGCACACGTTGAGGGCCGGGCCCCCTGCAGGCCGCACTGCCATGGCAGTGGAGGCCATGGGCGCACCGGGAGGTGTGTCGACTGGGCGTCAGGCGCGCACGGAGCAGTGAGGAGGGACGTGCTCTAGTCGACGTACACGGTCCACTTCCAGCACGAGCGACCGCCTTGGACCCGTCCGAACTGCGCACGCGGGTGTTCTTCTCAATGAGCAGCTTGGCATCCACGGCCTTCTGCAGCCAAGGCTCCATCGCGGAGGTCGGCTCGGGTGCCCGCCGCAGCCGTTTCATCTCGCCAACCAGCTCTAACCCGGGGTGCGCTGCACTAACCCGGCCCTAACCCACCCCTAACCTGGCGCAGACCCATGCTGACGTATGCCCCCCAGCCGCACGGGTTAGTGCCGGGTTAGTGCCGGGTTATGGTAACCCATTCTGACCCGTGCTGACCCGTGCCGGGTTAGTGAGCACTAACCCGCGCTAACCCGCGCTTACTGACAGACTCACACATTCGCCTGCCGCCCACCCCACCAATCCGCCGAACCGCCCCGGTTGCATCATGGCACGCGTTTGCTTGCCGGAGCCCGGCGTCTGCGAGCTATACCTGCCGAATAAGAGACGCTACTGTCGCTTCTCCGTCGTCGCAGGCTACCGCTACTGCACCCACCACCTCGCCGCACGCAGCGACGGCACCGCCGACCGGATCCCGTGTCCTCTCGATCCGGCGCACTCCATCTTCGCTCGCGACCTGAGGAGGCATCTGAAGGTGTGTCCGAAGGCCAAGGAAGCGGCGGCCGAAGCTTCGCTGCCCTGCTTCCGCCGCGATGTGAACGCCGGCGAGCAGCTGACGGCGCCGGGCGCTCCTCTGCCGGCCACCGCGCCAGCGCCAACACCCATCGCGGGCCTGCCTCTGCACGCTTCGCTCGCAGTGGCGAGTCGCGCCGAGCCGCCTCTCGGCCGCGTGTCTGCCGAGCGGGTGCGCGCCCTCCTGGCAACGGTCCGTCTCGCGCTCGGCGAGGAGGCTGTGCACGAGGGGCCGCCGCTGCCGCCGCCGCCGCCGCCGCCGCGTGCTGCGGCGGCGGAAGCGGAGGAGGAGGGAGGCGGCGAGGGGGGCAGGCGAGTGCGCGGCAAGGAGAAGCACGGCCTGCAGCACGAGGCGATGCTCGAGGTGCTCCGAGCCCTCCCTCCAGGCTCGATGCTCGGAAGCGGCTTTGTGTATGTCGAGCTCGGCGCCGGCAAAGGCGGCCTCTCGGCAGCCATTGGCCAAGCCGCGCCAGGCGCCGCTTTTGTGCTGCTCGACTGGGCAAAGCCCGTGGCGGCACACGACGCGGTGCTGCGGGAACGCCACTCGACCATCCGCTACAAGATCGACCTACGCCACCTCTGGCTGCGGGGAGTGCCGGGCTTGTGGGGCGGCGGTCGGCAAGGCGCTGAGGGCGGCGCTGAGGGCGGCGCTGAGGGCGGCGCTGAGGGCGGCGCTGAGGGCGGCGGAGGGGGTGGCGGCAGGGGTGGCGGCGGCGAGGGCGGCGCCTCCCATCTCGCCGGCGAGGGCAGCGGCGGCCGCCGCCGTGTCGCGGTGGCGAAACACCTATGCGGCGCCGCCACCGACTTCGCCCTCCGCGCCGTCGCCGATGCCGAGAACGGAGACGGGCCGGCCATGAGCGGCGTGATGATTGCGACGTGCTGCCACCACCGCTGCAGCTGGGGCGCGGCGGCGTGTCGCGGCCCGGCCTCTCCCGCAAGAACGCCGCCTGACTCAGAGGTCGAGACTGATCCCGTGGTAGGCGCGTACGTCGCGAGAGAGTTCCTCCGCGAGGCCGGTGGTGCACGGCGGCGTGCGCGTCGTGGTGTGAACAGCGCCTCTTCACACCTCGCGCTGTGAACAGGCGTCGACGAGGACTCGTTTCGGCTCCTCACCGCCATCTCGAGCTGGGCCACGTCGACCGTTGCGGGCGGCGGCGGCGCGGGCGGCGCGGGCGGCGGCGGCGGTGGCGCGGGCGGCGGCGGCGGTGGCGGCGGTGGCGCGGGCGGCAGTGGCGGCGGCGCCGGCGGCGCCGACGGCGCGGGCGGCGCCGGTGGCGGCGCGGTGCACACGGACGGCGAGCATTCGCAGGCGGACCCGGCGGTGTTGCGGCTGGGGGAGGCGCTCGGCGAGGTGATTGACGGGGCGACTCGCGCCGAGTGGGGCCGTCGCTGCAAGCGGCTCCTCGACCTCGGCCGTTCGCGCTACCTCGCCGCGCGGGGCTACGCAGTCCGGCTGCAGACGTATGTGCCGCAGACGGTGACGCCGGAGAACCGGCTGATCACTGCGTGGCCGCGGGTGTGTGTGGAGTGTCGGAGCGATGCCTGATGTGCAGACAGTATGTGTAGAGCTAAACATCAGTCTCGCGCAAAATATGACAACCGTGATTGCGTGAAAAGTTGCACCTCTGAAAAACACCCGCCTCTGTGCAAACCTCTCAATAAGAAGGTGCGAGTCTCGTCTTCTTGCCGAAGACGAGCTTGCAGCCGACCACGGCTGCGATGCAGAGGCAGAGGCCAAGCCCGCCCACTGCGCAGCCAATGATGAGTTGCCTGCAGCTTTCAGGTAAGGCGTCAAATCCCTCCTCGCCCTCTGGAACGTCGCAGATGCGCCCGGATGAGGCGGGTGCGGACGGTGGGGGCGGCGAAGGCTGCGGTGGCTCGGGCCCGGGCGGCGGCGGCGAGGGCGCTGGTGGCGGCTGAGGTCCGAGAGGCGGCGCCTCTGGCCAGGGCGGCGGCTGGGGTCCAGGTGGCGGCTCTGGAGTGGGCGGCGATGGCGATGGCGCGGGTGGAGGCTGCGAGGGCGAAGGCGATAACGGCGCGGCAAGCTTCATGACGCCGACGCCGTTAGCCTCGTCGTTGACAAAGAGCAGGCCGCCGTCGGCGGTCTTGGCCACATACTCCGAGGCGGAGCTGCCCTCCTCCCACCCTGGCGTGCCGAGCGCCGGCTCGCCATCCATGCGGTACTGGTCAGTGCGTTGCCACAACAGCGCGCCCGACGCGTCCGTGCGAACGACAAAGCTCTGCCAGACGCCGGCGCTCCGAGCAAACGCGCCGGCGCGCGAGTCGGCGAGGAGTGCGATCCCGTTGGCACAATCGATCGCCATCTGTCCCTGCATGCCGCTGCAGTCCTCAATGCCTGTGCCACACGCGAGCACAAGTCCACCGTCGTTCATTGCTTGCACACCCCAGCACTCGGTCTTGATCAGCATGTTGTTGCCACACGCGTCGCCCGTATACACCCCCGACGCGTCATAGCTGCCGCACGACGAGAATGCGCGTGACCACAAAACGACGCCGTCGGTGGCCCTAATCTTGGTGAGCTTGCCGCAGAAGCCACCGAGTCCGAGGCACCCGCCGTGCCCACTGATAAAGACGGCGCTCTCGTCCACCGCCACCGCCAGCTCTGTGCCTTCGCCGTGCTGCGAGCCCACGTCGATCGGGCCTACAAGCGCGTGAGCATTGCGTGAGTCCAGTGCCGTGCGTGCCGTGCGGGTGCAGCGCGCGCACCCCACATGAAGCCTCCCGTCGCGGAAAGTTTGGCCACTGCCGTGTCGGTGCCCTCCTCGCCCTCGGCGCTGTCCTTCCAAAACAGGACTGCCATGTCGCCGTTGGAGAGCGGCCGCACCGCCTTGGCCGTGTGGCGGTCGTCCTTGGCCGCTGTCCACGAAGCAGAGGATGCGGTGGGCGCGCTGGCGCCGCTAAGGACGGTGACTGGCAGCGCCATGACCACGGCTTTGCCGCCGGTGTTGCCGTAGGACCGAAAGCTCATCTCATCAGCGCTGCTCTTGTCGTAGAAGCCGGCTAGCAGCGCGGTCGCACCGTCTGTGCTGAAATCGATCCCTTCCCATGCGCCGTGCTGGCCCGACGAGTCGCCAAACGTGGTTGCGGTCCACGTCTCGGCCAGTGTGGCCAGCGATAGCTTTGTCATTGAGCGGTAGGCTACGCCGCCCACCAGACGATAGCCCACAACGAGCACGTCGCCTCCGCCAGGAAGCTGCGCACATGCATTGGCAGCGTCCTTGCCGATGTGGTTGGAGCGCCACGTTGAAATGGTTTGGCCGGTTGAACTGAATTTGACCGCAAAGGCTTCAGCCTCGGACGAAGATTCCGACTCCAAGCCCTTGCCGCAGAATATGAAGCTGCCGTCGGAGGCCTCAAAGCCATAGACGGGGTGCGCGTCCTCTACGCCGGTGCCTTCCAATGCGTAGAATTCAACTTGGTCCGCTGAGCCAATATTGATGGACTTGACCGAGAAGGTATCGAAGCCTGCCGACACGAGCGGCGTGGCGACCAGCCAGGCGGCCAGCCAGGCCAGTAGCGACCTTTGAGGCTCCAGCCCGATGCAAGTCTCGCCAGTCCGCATGGCGGCTCAGGCTGTTACAAAGAGTCACAAGAATTTTAGCATTCGCGCAAGGTGGGGAAATTGGTTGGGCAACTATTTTCACTCGGATTCACTCCTATGCACCTTCGGTGAGGGTACATTGGCGCGTAAAAGGAGAGTCACGGAATCGCGCGCGCCTCCACCAGGAAGGGCTACGTACGCAGTATCCCTGACATCCCCTGGGATCCTGCCACTGAAGGCGGAGGGTTGGGACTCAAACGGCTTGGGTAACTACAGGAGGGAGGGAACCTCAACGTCCTGCAGCCACCCGCGGCGCCGTAAGGGATCGCACCTCGGACCAGATAGAGAGAACCACACCCCAAAGCCAAAGAGTAGGCAGGATAGGGTGGGCGGGGAGAAGAAAGAACTGGTGCAGCCGAAGGGCTGGCGCAGTAGGAGAGCCTGGCGCGGCCAAGGACGAGGAGCGGCGTCAGGGCCAGGTGAGCAGGAGAGAGCAGCGGAAGCCGCGCTCATCAGAGCAGCGAGCGGGCGAGAGCGCCCGTCACGGAAGTTCGAACTTCCGTAAAGATGAAGTAAAAGATGTCCACGGAGAGTCCGTGGGTCCCGCAGAGGCAGAAGAAGAGGTAGGAGAGGAGAGGATCTCCGTTAGTCTCCTGCGGGAAACTAGTGGCCTCTCACGAGTTGGGGCCCCTACCCCAATCGTTATCGGCGGAGGGGTAGTCGCACGTCCTCCCATCCCTCCCTTGGTGTGTCGGTTCTTTCTTTCTTTTAGCACGATTCACGCGATAGACAAGGCGCGGGCGGAAGAATTTTAGATTTTACCGACAAAGCGCGGAAGAATGTTCGCAGAAGAAAATATCGCATCGCGCACTCCAAACAGATGGCTGCGTCTACCCAACAGGCTTAATCCCCCCCGCGTTCTGGGTATGCGCCGCGGGGGCGACGGCGAGGGAGAGGCTCTTCCGCGTCGCCGCGAGGTACGACTCACGGCACACCAGGGCGCTGGCATTCTTGCACGGGTGCGAGCGCCCCAGCTGCCGCTCCACGCAGCTCGAGAAGATTTGGGAGTGGCGACCGAGCGGGAGGTACTTGGGGAGGTCGCGCACGAACGTTCGCGGCCACTCGGGACAGGCGCCCTCGTGCGACCCCTCGATGGCGGTCAGCTTACGGAGGCACATCGAGCGGATCGCGGCCGCCTTCAGGAAGCCGGAGCTGCTCACTTGTGCGCTGCTCGCCAGCGACGACCGCTGCACGTCCAGCACCGTCGCGAGCACCGCAGCCTCGGAAGCGCGCCACGACCGCGTGGAGTCGCCCGCGGGGATGTCGACCACGGCAGAGACGGCCAGCCGCGGGTTGGCGCGGCGGAGGTGCTGCAGGATGCCCGGGCTATCGGAGAGGGCGAGGACGCCCGCCTGCGCGAAGCGCGCGAGGCCCGCCACGCTGCACGCCTCGCCCAGCCACCGCGCCGCGTGCCTCTGCGCGCTCGCACGGTTGGGCTCGGGTCGGTTGAGCTGCGGGGAAACGTCGGCGTACATGGTCCGCAGGTGGAAGACGGCGTCGAAGTGGGTCTCGCCGCGCGCATCGAGCTGTCGCCGCAGCGCCTCGCTGGGCGCCGTAAAGTACCGGTTGAAGCAGCGGTCGGGCACGAGCGTCTGCGAGAGGTGGCTGCCCCGCATCCGCATAGGCAGCCACCACGGGAGCCACTTCTCCGAGTTGCCCGGCATCGCGCCCCGGTAGCGGGCGATGACGAGGTCGGCGGCGCGGTAGCGAGTCAGCTGGGCAATCACACCAGAGGGGTGCCGCATCAGCGCGTTGGCGTCGACCTGCACCACCGTCACGTTCCGGAACCGGCTCCGCTCGGCGTCCGAAGGCGGAGCCCAGGACAACTTGTTGGCGTAGCGCAGGAAGAGGCCGAGGCGCATGTCGTACATGTCGATGTGGCAGTATCGGTGCAGCTTGCGGCACACAACGTGCAGCATCGCGGCCATCGGTAGCGCGTGCCCCCACCCCCAGTCCGACTTGCCCTCAAAGCTCCAGAGCAGGGCGTGCCGGAGGTGTGTGCTTCGCAGGTGAGCGTCAAAGGCCAAGATCGTCCTGTTGCACGATCGCCGGAACGTCTGCTCCTCCCCATCGCCCTCGCACGCCCCAACCGGCGGCAACGCCTCGGCGGCGTTGGGCCACATCGAGTCTGTGCCGAGGAAGTGCGCCGCGGCGGACGACGAATCAGCCACGGCTCGCTCGTGCCTGTGCTCACACTCACCGGAGCACGAGACTGGCGGCAGCCCAATGCAATAGCCGAATGCTGTGTGCGGTAAAATCGGCAGCATATCCGTTGGGCGCGGTTCGGCAAAGCATATCCGTTGGGCGCGGTTCGGCAAAGCACCAAGCCGCCACGGTCGGAAGCGCAAGAGCTCGTCCAGCCACCACGGTCGATGAACCGCAGGGGTCCGCGTCGCTCAGCTGTTTTGCGTCCTCCTCGCGGATGGATGAGATTTGATAGGGCGGATATCAGAAAGGCGGGCTCGTCGCCCCCCTCAGGCGAGCGATACACGGTGAGAGCTAATCGCTGCCCGCTGAGGCAAATGCTATTCAGTTCGTCAGACTTCACAGACCTTGTTATTGAGAAGGAAATAGCAAGCAAGGCGGGCGGGGGGGGGGGGGGGGAGCCTCCTATGGGATGCGCGCTGGTCTATGAGCGGTTGATGTGCGAGCCCTGGAGGCCCTGGGATGGGGTCCCCCTTGTTTTGAGAAGAAAATACCTCTTCAGGTACAGACAGGTGCAGGTAGTGCGTGAACTTTGAACTTCCGCCCCAGCGGAAGCCAGCACTTTACGGCACCAACCCGGCGCGTGCGCTCCCGCATGCAAAATCGCCGAGCAGACGACCATGCTCCTCCCGTTGCACTGGAGTGTGGTGAACTCGCCGGCCCGCCTGTAGGCATCGTCGGACAGGCCTTCTCCTCCGCCTCGCCGCGCTTCGGAGCCAAGGATCACCACCCACAAGAGGGCACCTTCAAGACGAGCGCGAATGGGGAGGGCGCGATCGAGGGCTCGGCGGCCATGTACGAGGTGGCAGACCCGTTCGAGACCAACTTCGCCTTCTCGCGCTTCTCCGCCGCACAGCAGCCTCCCGCAATGGACGATGAGGCGCAAGGAGGTTGGGAGGTGGCGCTGGCGGACGACGCCTCTGCGGTGGAGTACTAGCTAGAGCCTACGACCTTCGTAGGGCTGTATTGGGGCGTGGAGGCTGGAGCGACAAGGCAGGCTGGGGTGCCGGAGGGTGTTTTGTTAACTGTACGGTAGTGTGCGTCGGGCTGTGGCGACACCGAGCCCCGGAGGGCGGAGAATCTCGCTGTGTGAGGGAGGGCGAGACGATAGTGCGCGGCGTGGGGTGTCCGCCCGAGCTCGAGCTCCCAGGCTGCTGCACCCGCAGCTCGAGAGGGAAAAGACTCGCGTAGCGGCCGTAGACTAACGTAACTCGTAAGTGTACTCCTCCCCGACGCTGAGGACTGTGTACACCCTACTGCAATTCTGCATATACGTTACTCGTCTGTAGGGATTAAAGCCAACGAACTGCAATCTGGATTCAGGATTGTGGATATCTCATGGTGAGACTCAAGTAGACGCAATCACCAATCTCCACAATAAATAAAGCCGGGGGGAGATGACACAACACATGGAGGACCGTCGGATGGGGGGGGGGGGTCAGAACACATCACAGTGGCGGGGCGGGCCGCACAATATGTTCGCAGACAGCCGCAACCAATACACCTGAACATCCGCGCAGCCGCAGGCAATGCACACACACAACGCCTCAAGACGACATCGCGCAAGCGGCGCGCGACGTGGCCAAGGGAGAGCGGCTCGGGCCGCCTAACGGCTACGGCCTCCGTCAGGCGGGCTCCTTTGCCGGCAATAGGGGCGCCTCGTCCTTTGACGGAGAGGGAGTGCGCGCTCGGGCCGGGTCGTCCTCCTGCAGCGTGAAGGGCCCGGGGTTGTGTTCGTGCGTGAGTACACCGGCCTCGTGGCGGGGACACCGCCTCGCGCCGTGCATTCGCAGCACCGCGTGAGTACGAGGGCTCCGAATACGATGTGTAGAGCGGCTTCCGCTTCTAGCTTTCCTCCACCTCCGTCTCGGAGGGGTACGCGCTGATGCGCGCGCGCGCCTCCTTGCCCCGCGCAGCCGCCGCCTTGTCGGCGGCGACGGCGAGGGCGTAGCCTCCCGAGCCGCCGACGACTAGCCCGATTGCGGTGAGAGAGAGGAGCGTGACGGCGTTCCCAAAGATGAGTGTCGCCGCGGCGACGGTCACGGCGCGGCGCAGCGCGTTGCACACCGAGTGCGAGACAGCGTTGAGCCGGAGCAGGACTGCGAGCGAGAGGCGGTTGTACGCGAAGAAGGCGCTCGCCGACGAAGCGAGGAGCATCACAACCTCGCGCGACTCGCCCGAGACGAGGCGTGACGGGTAGCCGCCCGCGCCGACCGAGAGGAGGACCGTCGCGGCGAAGCCCATCGCGTGCTGGTAGAGAAAGATGGCGTTGGCGTCGAGCGGGCGCTCGTTCTCTGCGGCGAGCAAGTCCTGCGCGGCGGTGGTTAGTGTGCCGCGGAAGGCGAAGGCGAGGTTCGCGCCGTTGGCGAGCAGCAGGCCGAGGTAGAAGCCTTCGCTTCGCTCGGAGGCGGGCTGGGAGAGGGCAGATAGCGTGCCGCCGACCACCAGCGCCACGAGGGCGAGCAGCGCCCTGGCGCTCAGCCGCCCCCCCCGCACGCCAAGGGCGCAAGCGATGGCGGCGGAGCAGAGCGGCTCGAGCCCGCGCACAGTCTCCGCAAGCGAGGCGTGGATGTAGAGCAGCGACAGGTTGAGCAGCACGAAGCCCGCCGTGTAGGAGAGGGCGATGGCGCCGGCGAGAGGCCAGACGCAGTACGGCAGCAGCGGCATCTTGCCGGAGCAGAAGCTTACCACTGCCGCAGCGAGCATCGCAACGCCGAACTGCACACTCGTCAGCTGCAGCGCGCAGTGCTGCGGCGAGAGCAGCGCAAGCAGCTGCTTGGAGGTCGTAGTGCAGGCGGCGCTCGAGCCATACCAGAGCGCCACCAGGACCAGCAGGACCGGCGTCGACGCGTTCATCGCTCGAAACGCTCTAAACTCTTGAAGAAAAAAAGTTGCCTCGAAAACAGCAATTGAGCCTCGAAGCCGACGATGACAACGACTCCATCACGCCTCTGCGGCCGACGAAGGTGACAACGACTACGACAGCGCCGTTGCAGGCTCGCGTGCACGGGATGAGCTGGGCGTCTGACAAGTGCTCCGTTCCAGCGCGAGGGAGAGGCGGAGCCGAAATTCTCCTCAACATGTTTGTCGACAAAGTTGCCCCCGAGCTCCTGCTGCTCGACTGCGCGGCAGAACCGGCCCCTCGCGGCTGAGAGGTGATGCGCCGGCACCGGGGCTACGGCGCGGGACCATTTCCAGGCTCTCTCGAGCAACCTCAAAATTGGCCGATTTTGTGATCTCAATCCTGCTGCACACTTTGACCTCAACCTCGCGGCCCGCTGCGCGGCTCTCCGAGCGCGAGAGGAGTCGTCTACGAGGCGGCGGCGAGCGCAGGCGGCGGCGGCGCGGCGGCGCGGCGGCGGATCGCGGCGCAGACAACGGCAGCGACCTGCGGCAGACACGCACACACGCCTCCCTTGCACTATACCACTCACACCGCCACCGCACTCTCGGGGGCGGGCAGCGGCGGCGGAGGAGAAGCTACGGCGGGTGACGACGCGGAGACGGCGCTGAGGGAGCGGCGACCGCGGCGCGACGGGAGGCGGTGCAGCTGCGGCGGCTGCCGCCGCCTCGGCTCGACAGCAGCTGCATGGCTAAGCCTCCCTTCACCTCCTTTTTCAAGCTTAATCCATTCGATCGTTCGCGGGACGCACGCTGTGCGCGGCGCTCGGAGCGACTCACTCTCAAGCCGAGCCTTCCACTAGATCTATCGATGCCATCTCTCCTCCTGCGCTCTGCCCTGATTGCGAGCCTCGCCAGAGTCGCCTCCAACCGCTGCCCTGCGCTCGCCGAGGTCCTCGCCGTCGAGAAGGACATCCGCATGCAGGTGACTGAGTAGTCTCGGTATGGCACCTTCACGACACGTTTCGCATTCGATTGTGTCCATCACCCGGCGGCGCCCACTCGTTTTCGCTCCCCATCAAAGGTCTGGAACGACACAAAGTCGCGGTACTCGAAATGCCGGCGGTGCCGGCTGCCGGCGCCGTGCGGCGAGGGCGCAGAGTACCCGTGCTGCGTGGTGCGGCAGAAGGAGGGCGAGGCGCAGAAGCTGATTGCGACTGAGTGGTTCTGCAGACAACAGATGAGCTCCGACCTGCTACCGTATGCGCTGAGCAAGGAGCGCGGAGCCGCGCGAGCACGCGCGCATAGTCGAGTGTGGAGCTACTGGGTATCTCGATGTCCTGTAGGAGCGGCGCGAGAAGCTCCGCGCGTTTTGCCGCAAGTACATCACCTCCCCGATTGTGATGCCCGACTGCGCGGGGCTGAGCGAGGTGGGCCGCCGTGCGAGTAGAGACCACACCCCCACCTCCGCCGCGCACACCCGGGAGCCCCACGATGCCCGGTGGTGTGACAACGCACGGTAACAAACGGATCGAAGCCCCACCCGGCCAGGTGGTGCCGCGGATAGTGCACTCGGTCTCCGCCGGCGCGTCCGGCTATGTGCAGCAGAGCGTCGCCCTCACCAACCCTTCCTTCCGCTTCCACCACCTCAACGACTCGGAGGCGCACGAGTACGTCCGGAGGAACGTGGGCATCGCCGCAGCAAAGGCGTACCGCTGCCTCAACGCTCCAGCGTGGTGCGGCTTCTCGAGCGGCCTGGTGTCGGCGGATGAGCTTTCACGGTCGCTCTGCCTGAGCAGGCGCGCTGACCTCTTTCGCTTCGCCGCGCTCTACGCCGACGGTGGCGTCTACCTCGACGCTGACATCGTGCTATTGCACTGACCCAACTCTGCTGTGCGCAGCACTGGCTCATTTTATGCTCTTGTTCCTAGGTCCCACTCCTGCCGTTGACCGAACTGTACTCGCCGTGCAGCGGCTTTACGCTCGGCCACGACCAGCCGCAAATCGGAAGCGGTGGCGACCTCGACCAGAGGGACCCCTTCCCTGGCAAGCAGATGAAGGTCCGTTCGAGATATTCGGACATTAGATCTCTCTCTCTCGCGCTAAGCAAGCAAAGCCTCTCTCGCGGCCCGTCTCGGGCCGTCTCGGCTCAGCTTGGCGATGGCATTGAGGTCAGTCATGCGGCTGAAGGTGCTTGCCGCCGCGCCGCACTCACCGCTCGCAAAGTGTATGATCGACCACATCGTTGTGAATGTGCGCGAGCGGGCGGCAAACGTCGCCGGCGGCGAAGGCGGCGCGCTGCAGCTGTCCGGGCCGGGCCTTCTCCACCGCTGCTTCGAGGTCCGGCGCTAGGCCTTCTGTCAGTCCCATCGACCCAAGCGCAAGCTGAGCAGGAGAGTAAAAGCCTAGCGTGAGCTCACGCTCCGACTCCCCTCGCTCCGCTCGTCCCCAGGCGCACCAGGACGGCGTGGCCATCTCGTACATTGACACCCGAAACGCGATGTGGCCGTTCAGCGGGCAGCTGGCTGGACCCCAAACTTCGCCCGTGTCGTGGTGGAACCTCGGCGATCTCTCGACCATAGGCTGCGCCGCGGAGACTCTGTGCTTGCATATGAGATGGCGCGATTGTTGGCGGAGAGGGCGGGGTCGCGGCGGCCGTCTCTTCACGCTGCCTTTTGAGTGAGCAGGGCAGTCCGACGCGACACATGAAGGAGTTGCAACATTGGGGTAACGGAGGCATAGATGCGATACCGTGGGAGACATTTGAACAGATCGCCCCTTTGTCCCCTTAAATTTGATTGCCGTCACCTGCAGATGCGCATCGTCCAACCCCCTTCTCCGTGTAGGCAGCAGGGGGACTCTGCCGATGCTGCAGTACGGCGCGCCGTGGGACGACGCGCACCATCTCGCGCAAAGGAATCTCTTGATCCATCTGGCTCTGAATTTGCAGGCAAGTCGGACGTGCGCAATTCCGAGGACTACGCGGTCGTGTTTGAAGGACGCAACGTTTTCACGCAGCAGTGCAAACTGTAAGGTAGGTAGAGCAGTGACTGGAGACTGGAAGCCTGTCCGACGCGAAACAAGAGAATTTACCCGACGCGCCTTTTCTTTTTTCTTTTTTGCGAATCCGACGACGGCTTCTGTGTGGCTTCGAAGGAAGCCGTCGTCCGCGCCTCGTCTGTGGCGCCGTGAAATTCTCCAAGCAAAGACTTGAGCGGGACGCACGCATCCGGACTCAGACACACACATAGATGCACCTGGCGCCGAACGACGCGCCCGTGGCGCTACTTCGACACCCATGCATCAACGATTCGCGCTTCGTCGCTCCGCGGCGGTCTGACCGTGGTGCGGGGTGCCCCACTCCCGCCAGTGCCGGCATACCCGCACGAGCCACGGGAGTGGGGCACCCGCCGCCGACGATCTTGCTTCTCTGGGCATGCGGCTGCAGCGGCTCGAGTTTTGTGTACCGTGTGGCAAGGGACCTGCTGGCGCGGCTCGGGCTGCCGACGCTGCGTATCATCGACCACGACGGCTTCACCGCTAGCGAGCTCTTCCGCCAACAGAGAAACCCATGCTTCTACGTGTGTCAGCCTCACCTCCATACACAGCATCTAGAGCTTGCACCTGTAGCATCTGATGTCACCACTCCCCTCTGCTCGACTATGCAGGATTCCGAGGAGGCCCACGCCGGCGAGGGCCACACACAGCCATCTCCAGCGCACGAGGGTTTCTCCGCGCTGGCGCAAAGCTTTGTGGAGCTGCATCAGGCGGCGGTGCAGTCGCATCGGACGATCCTCTTCAAAGGGTGGGCCTCTCTAGCCGCTCAATCCCCCTCTGTATCCCCGGGCGTGTGATCCGAGGCTCTTGCCCCAATCGAGCACGCCTGAACAGGTGCATCGCCAGCTTCAATCCCGCTCTGGCCCGCGTGCTGCGCGATGCGGGCACGCGCATCGCCCACGTCCGCCGCAACACGATCGATGCGGCCGTGTGCATGGTGCGAGACTGTTTCTGGGGAACAGAGCGCATCGGCCAACGCCTCGACACGGATGGGGCCCCTCTACCATGTAGCTCGAGGGCTCGGCGCTCCCCGACACGGACAGCGGCGCCGGCGCAGCCACAGCGGCGCTCTGTAGCGCCCGAGGCGCAGCCGCGTGTGCTCTTCAAAGCTGCCGACGCGCCCGACGAGGTGGCATCCTTCCTTCGTCGCGTCGATTTGCAGCAGACGTCGCAGTCGGCGCTCGTCAGCGCGGGCTTCGCCGCCAGCGCCTCCTTCCGGTACGAGGAGCTTGAGGCCTTCCAGTGGGGAGCGCGTCGCCTGTCCGCCAGGCGCGCAAGGGGCGCGCCGGCGAAAGGGTAATTAGCTACACAGCGGGCAGGGTGGGAGCTTGGCTCAATAGGGCGTGGTCGAAGCTGCTGGCCCACTGGGGCGTGAATGCCTCAATTGACGACGTGGAGCGCCTCTTGTCGATGATCGACCGCGACGAAGCGCTCTTCCGGGCGGCAAACTGCACGCAGCCGGGAAGGCGAGGGCTAGCGGACTCCTCTAGCCGTCGTCGGGCACGCTCACGCCTGCCACGGGAAAATGATTTAGGCACGAGTGCGTTCTGTGCGGCGATCCCCGCACGCGCTACCCCAGCCGCGCCTCGAGCAGGATCTACAACTACTCGAGCTTCAGGGCCTTTCTCCACGCCCGCCTCGGGCGCACCTTCACCGAGCGTTACTGCGTCACGGACCGGCACGGAGCGACCGTGGTGGGAGCCAGGAGCAAGCGGAGCCTGGCGGCAGGGCGGGCGGGGTGGTTTGGAGTACGTAGATAATAAACCAGGCCCCCGAAGCGACGGCGACGATGTTTCTTGCGCCTCTATGGAAAGTGTCCGCGCCGGTCCTGTCATGATTCCTGTGCCTCGTGTTGTGAGAGATAGTTTGGTGCTAAATTCTTCTTTTTGGCGGTCCGGTGGAGGGGGCGGGGCGGGGCGGGGCGGGGGTTGCTCGCGGGTTGGGCTTGTGGGGTGGGGCGGGGTGGGGTGGGGATTCGTTCGGAAAGGGATGGGGTTTTGGCGCGAGCAGACCCCCTACCTGGAGGGCGAAGCAAACCGACGCCATGCGGTCTCCCAGATAGGTAGGTGGGCGGAAAATTCTTTCAGCGGCACTAATTCTTTCGATTTGTTTTCCTTGGTCTTTTCGGTTCCGGGGAGCAGACGACAATCGTTCTTTTTGACCGCGCAAGATAAAAGGGTGTCCTAAGGGCTCTGCTCGCAAGGCGCCCGCGTCGCAGACGCGGTACCATTGACAAATCTGCAATATACCCCCACACGAGCAAATAGCAAAATCCGAATACCGTGCACGAACTGGGCGATGTCGGACGCAAGCCTTCAGCTGATGCCAAGACATTCGTAAAATTGAAGCCAAGATCCGCCAAATCGTGCTTTCGCGCTACCTGAGGGTAAAGCCGCTGATGGAGCCCAGCGTGCCAGCGGCCGCAGCACCGCCGCTGCGGAATCGGATCGATCCCATGGAGGAGGAGGGCGCAGTCGGCCAGCGCAGCAGGCGGAGTCCCTCCCCGCGCCGGAGCCCCCCTGCAGTCGAGGGAGTCCTCGTTGGCGATGAAGGTGGCGACATCGAATCGCGGCCGACACACGTCACGTGGGAGGAATGGGCGATGAGCGGGAACGATGCGCGCTACGGCGCCGACTCCGCCGTGCTCGTAGCCGCAGAAAGCCGCGCTCCAGGAGCACGCCAAGATGCAATGGCTCGCTTGCTTCGATTCAGCTCTCTCGGCAGCAGAAGTGGGGCTGGAGCGGGTGGGGGTGGATGCCGATTGAGGGGGAGCGTCTCCAGCTGCGCCCTGTGGCAGCTGCGCCCTGTGGCAGCTAGTCGAGGGACTTGGTAGTTGTGACCCCCCTGAGTGAGGACAGGAGAGAGAGAGCGTTTTGTGGTGTTTGTTGGTGTACGCAATAACGTCAATAACGGGACAGGGTGGTTGTTCTCTCTATCTCCTCTTCTAGCTCTTAGCATGAGCTGCGCCCGGTGTCCGACCCCTTTTGCGCAGCAACACCTTAAACTTTTAGGCCCTCCAAATTCGGGTCGGAGCGTAGCGGAGTGGGCCCCGAGTTTGAAAAGGGCGACGGACGCTTGCGTCCTAGCCTCCAACAACGCCTCCCCGGCGCAGAGGGGCCCCCGGAGGGATGCACAACCGCTCCACGCCACGCCGCTTGCGGCGGTCCTCTTCCCAGCTCCGCTGAGCGCCCGTGCGTTCGCAGGGTTAGGCGGGTAGCGACACCGACGCCATGCGAAGCTCGCCGCCGCCTCTGCGGCTGCTGCTAGCCACCCTACCTTTGAGCACGGCCGCCTCTAGAGTGCAAGCGTCTTCGACTTCACAGCTGGCGTCGACAGCTGGCGTGACACGCCCGACAGCGATCACCGCCAGCACACGTGGAGGCCTCCTCGGACGGCACGATCGTCGCCGCGCGGTCCTTTCGCAGGCCGCGGGCGCCACCCTCGGGATTGCGGCCTCTGCGCCTCCGGCGTCGGCGGCGCTCACAAAAGAGTCGGAATGGCCTCTGTGGCTTGCGCTGCCCGTGGCGCCGTACTCGCGGCGCAAGACCATCCGGAGAGAGGTCGTGCCAGGCGTGTGGGCCTTCGACCAGCTGATAGGCATCTATTACGTGCACGTCCCGATTCGCATGACGGTGGTGAAGATGGAGTCTGGCGGCACGTCCACTCGCCCCGCTCTCGCCGCCGCTGCCGTTGCCTCCACCTTCACTTCGCGCGCACCTCCTCCTCGCAGGTTTGCTGGTCTATGCGCCCGTCGCGCCGACAAAGGAGTGCCTCTCGCTGCTCCAGCCTCTGATCGACGCGCACGGTCCGGTCAAGACGATCATTCTGCCTTCGGTCGCCGTCGAGCACAAGGTTTGGCCGTGCGCCACTCTCAAAGCCGTGGGGCGCCCGTCTTGGGATGTGGAGACGCGAGGTGGCGAACCTTGCCTCGCCGCAGGTGAACGCCGGCCCGTTTGCGCGCGCCTTCCCCGCCGCAGACTTTTACGCCGTCGACCAGCAATACTCCTTCCCGCTGCCGCTGCCGGCCGTGTTCCTGGGGTTGCCGTCATGGACCAAGCCGCTGCCACGCAGCAGCGAGGGCCTCGACGCGACGTGGCTGGGCGGAGAGTTTGAGCACGCGGTGCTCACCGTCAAGCCGGGGCCCGGCTCGTACTTCCAGGACGCCGCGCCGCCCACCCCGCCTCCGAGCCTGGCTTCTCAACAACGAACCTTCCGCGACGTGTCTTCCCTAGGACGTCGCGCTCTACCACAGGCCGTCCAAGACGCTCCTGCTCTGCGATGCGGTGCTCTCGGTGACGGAGGAGCCGCCTCCCATCCTGACGAGCGACCCCGAGTACGTGCGTGCGCTGCTCTTCCACGCGCGCGACGCCAGATGCCAAACACGACCTGCAAGCCCGAGTCTGCACTCCAACATGTACATGTACATGTCGCTTGTCGCACTCCCGGGAGAGACGAGACAGCACGAGACAGCATCTACACTCTGCCTGGTCCCACGCGCCGGTGCCCACGCACCAGGCGCGCGACGACCCGCTCGAGCTCGTCGCCGACACCGCCGCCAACCGGCGCAAAGGGTGGAGGCGGATCGTGCTGCTGTTCAACTTCTTCATCCCCGGGGCAACCCAGGTGTGTCCTCCCTTGGCTCCCCAGCCCTGACAGTGTGCCTCGGCTCCGGAGCCAACGCAGTCGCCGACCGTACGCGAGCACTCAGCGAAGAGCAGCGGGCTGTGTTGGCCTGCTGTCGCATGCGCCCACACCGTGTTGGCCAGGTTCCGAGGCTTGAAGCCAGCCAGCCCGCCGCGCACTGCCGCCTCCGCCACCGCCGCGTACGTTCAGCGGCTCGCGTGTGTGTGTGCGTGCGTGCCCGTGGCCATGCTCAGATGTGCGAGGCGGACCTCCCGTTCGCAGGCGGACATCGGACTCAAGCCGCTGCTTGCGCTCGACCCGACGTTTGAGCTCGGGTGGGGAGGCTGGCAGCCGTTCACATGGCGCGCCGCGTCGGAGGAGGCGTTCTCACCCACAAATAGACGCTTATGAGATCCTCTCTCCCTCTCTCTCTCTCCCTCTCTCCTCTCTCTCTCCCTCTCTCTTTCTCCCTCTCTCCTCTCTCTCTCCCTCTCTCCTCTCTCTCTCCCTCTCTCTCCTTCTCCCTCTCGCTCTCTCCTTCTCGCTCTCGCTCTCTCCCTCTCCCTCTCCCTCTCTCCCTCTCCCTCTCGCTCTCTCCCTCTCTCTCACTCTCACCTGGCCTTAGGCGTCCTTTGCGCGGTACAGCGCCAACGGGAGGCCCACGCTGCTGCCCATCATCCAGATCATCCTCAATCGGTGCTTGTGGCCGCAGCCGCGGATGCGCCAGCGCATTCGTTCCACCGCGCCACCGCACCTCCCGCTCCGCGCATACCCACGACACGTCCACGACACGTCCACGACACGTCCACGACACGTCCACGACACGTCCGCGACGCGTCCACGACACGTCCGCAGGGGCGTGGCGGACGGCTCGCTCCGGCGGTGGGTGAGCACCGTCCAGCGCTGGGACTTTGAGAGGGTGGTGCCGGCCCACCTCGACGCGCCGATTGCGATGGGGCCGGCGCAGTTCGCCGAGCCGTTCGACTTCGCGCGAGATGGTGGCAACGAGGTGCGCTTCTGCGACGAGGACGTCGCACTGCTGCGCGAGGCGGAGAAGGGGCCGCTCTCCTTTTCGGTGGGAACGACCGCGCTCGGACCGCTGACCGGCGCAGAGTGCGCCCTCGGCAACAGCAACCCACGCATTGTCTCGGCGCCGGGGTGGACGCCGCTCACGGGGGGGCTAAAGTGGACGCCCAAATGACTCGGGCGTGAAAAGGGGAGGTGGGGGGGGGGGGGGGGGTAAAGCCGACGTGTACGTGTGTGGGTGTGCACCTCGTCTGAGCCGACCTCCACCTCGTGTCGTACACACCGGGCGTCGGGCGCATGCATCGCAACCGGAGGGCTACGAAGCCTTCACACTCCAAGGGGGTAGAGGGGCTGACATGTAACAAGCGCTAAAAAACGAAGAGCCGAAATACGTATATAATAAACATGGGAACTTTACGAGCGTGGGCCGCAATGGACACGGAGAGATCTCCGCCCTCCGACCGGTGCCGCTCCGTCAGGCGAGCACCTCGGGCGTGGCTGGCCGCCAGAGGGGAGCGGCAGAGGCCGGCGGGCGCGGCGGGAGCTGTGAGAGCAGTAGGCCGACCGGTACGCCACCGAAGCCGCCGAGCGGCGCCTGCTGGAAGAGGTCGACCGCCGGCGCCGGGAAGGGAGCTGCCCTTGAAGCGGCGGCGTTGGCAGCCGGCTGCAGCGAGAAGTGCAGCTCGCTCAGGAAGGCGTCGCCCGGCCCGTGCGCCGGCGGCACGACCGGCGGCGGCGGCGGCGGCGTCGCGGACCCCGCGGCGGGAAACGGCGCGGCGTCGGCCAGCGAGACTTCCTCGGCGGCTGGCCCAAAGGGAGGAGGCGGCATGGGAGGAGGCGACAAGGAGGCTGTGCCAAGCATGCCGGAGATGCCCGTGCGGCGGTCGAGCTGCGGCTGGGGCGGGATGGCCTCGGCGCCCTTCTCGAGCCTCTCCAGCGCCATCACCGCATGCGCGGCCGCCTTGAGAGGCTTGGCGCCCAGCGCGGAGCAGGTGTGCCCGCGCTTTGGTTGGCCGCACCGGCGGCAGCGGTAGCCGCTCTGCTCGCCGCCGGCGTCGCGCTGGACGGCGGCGCGCGAGATGCGATTCCAGCGGTTGCGCACGCCATTGTCGGTCCGGCCGGGCAGCGTCGCCGCGATCTTGGACCACCGCTTGCCGTGCTGCTCCACGAGCCGCAGGATGAGCGCGTCCTCGTCCGACGTCCACGAGTCAATCTCCTTCTTTTCTCTTTTGCTCGGCGCTTTTTTCCCTGTGGGCTTGGTGGCTGGCTCGACCCCCGAGTCCGAGCCCGATGAGGAGGGCCTCGTCTCCATCAGAGCCGGGCGGAGGAGCTCCTCGCCAGCGTCGTCATCGACAAGGAACGAGAGGAGGTCCTGCACGTCGCCGGCAGACGCGAACTGCTTGCCCGAGCGCGGCAGGCGCACGGCCTCGGCGAAGATCTCCATTGAGTTGGAGCGCGGCCGGAGGCTTGAGGTGGAAGGGTGGATCTGCATCTTCGAGTGCTAGTCGAGGCAAGGATATATGCGACGGGAGCAAGCGCGACTTATTGGCTGCGCCTTCGACCACAATGAGCGAGCGGCTTTTCTCTTTTCCGCGGAGAATGAACGGAGCTATTCTCGCGCGAGAAGTGAGAAGAAGTAGAGGAGCGGCGCGGCAGAGCTGGACATTTGGTCGTAGACTTCTCTCTCTCTGCTCTCTCTCTCTCTCTCTCTCTCTCAGGTTGGATACCCATCACTGAGCCGACGATCGATGCTACGTACGGACGGGTAGCCCCACAGGGTGGCGCCCACCCCCATACCCTCGGGCACTTGCCTGCGCCCTCGCGCGCTAGCCCACGCCCTGCCCCGCAAGATCTCACTCCATCCCGGCCTGCGGCGTACCTCGGCATCCCCTTGCACGGAATTTCAAAACGCCCAGGTTCCCTGCTCGGATCGGCGAAGCGCCACACAGTGCCACACAGTGCCGCGTAGTGCGGCGTGCGCGCGGAGCGTGCGCGCGCGGTGCGCGCGCGCGGCGTAGTGCCGCGTAGTGCGGGCGTGCGCGGGCGTGCGCCTGGGGTGTCGACGGGCCCCGGGGTCATCTCTTCGCAGTCCCTCGCCGATTCTCGCTGCAACCTTCATGCCACCTCGCGGTCGTCCCACTCTCGTCGTTCTCTCTCTTGTCGCTTCATCCTCTGTCTCGTCGCTCTCCTCTGCCTCGTTCTGCGACGACTCCGCCGCCTGCCGATCCCTTGCTCTGAGCCCTGGTGTCGAGGTGTCGAGGCCCGGTGTCGAGGGTGTCGAGCTGCTGTCGAGGGTACGAGGGATAGAGGTGTCGAGGCCTGTCGAGGCCTGTCGAGGCCTGTCGAAGCCTGTCGAGGCCTGTCGAGGCCTGTCGAGGCCTGTCGAGGCTGAAACCATGCTTGTCCGTGTCGAGGGGTGTCGAGGGGTGTCGAGCGTGTCGAGCGTGTCGAGCGTGTCGAGCGCGTGTCGAGTTGCGTGGTGGCGCAAGGTGTCGAGCGGTGTCGAGCGTCCGTGTGGCTAGCGCGGGGCTATACTCAATAGCAGAACTGCTGTAACCAATGAAACCATCCTCGCCTCTCCCCTAGCTCTCCCCACAGCACACTGCTCCACAGTAGAACACATGAGCTTGCGTCCGAGAGAGCGCAGGCCTGGTGGGGGCCTAGTGGGGGCCTAGGCATCCAGCCTGTTGTTCGCAGCGATCTGCATGGCAGCAAAGCTGCCATCAGCGGGCACCCTCCCACGGCGCCTCCCCTGCCGACGCCGCCGACGTCGCCGCCAGCGCCGCTTCGGCGTGCTCGACGGCTGCTGGCCCGGCGGCGAGGGGGGGGGGTATAAAGTTTTGCAGTCAGAAGAGCAAGAAGAGAGCCGCTGGCAGGCCGCCGGCTGGATATGAGCGGTGTCGAGTGGGTCGAGCGGTGTCGAGCGGTGTCGAGGGGTGTCGAGGGGGGTGTCGAGGGGTGTCGAGGGGTGTCGAGGGGTGTCGAGGGGTGTCGAGGTGTCGAGTTTGGCACCTTGACACGGACGAGCATGGTTTCAGCCTAGATGGTGTCGAGGGGTGTCGAGGGGTGTCGAGGGGTGTCGAGTTGGTCGAGTTGGTATGGGGTGTCGAGGTGTCGAGTTGGTGTCGAGGTTTGGTGTCGAGGTGTCGAGGCCAGGGCTCAGCCCTTGCTCTCGCGGCTTCTCCCGCCTCTCGGCGCAACTCCGCCCTCCTCGCGGCGTATTTTGGCCCCTCGAGTTTTATCAAAAGCTCTCCTCGCACAAGGACGACTCTTCTGACACCCACTCCGGATCATTTGCCGCCAAGTTCATGTCGTTGAGCTCAGGCCCACTCTCGTTTTTCGAACACTTCTACCTCCACAGATGATGTTGGCGCTGGCCGCTGGGGTCCCCTTCGGGTGCATCGTGACAGCTGGCGACGGGATTGCTAGTGGCGTGTGTCGTCGTCATCGATTCGTCTTCCGGACTCCGTTCGTTCGGCGTGGCTCACCCTCCATGCCGTGAACAGGCGCCCTATCCATCCTATGTTCTTCTCTCGCTCCTCTGCCCGTGCCTTGGTCTTGTCATTGTTTCGTAAGTGCGAAATTCTTTTTTCCATAGTAGTACTAGGAACCACCCCTGTCGAGGGCTAGCCTTGGGCGGTCAGGACCATACCCCCCCACCCTTTTGGCGCCGCACATACCATACCCCGGAAAAAGTTGGAATCCTGCCATTCCTCAGCTGCTATTCCTACTGTACTTGGCTAAAGTCTGTGCAGCTTGTCGGGGACACGATCCCGGCGTGAACACGGTACACGCCGATCTGGTAAAATCCCGAGTGCCTACCGCACGCGCCGCGTCGCGGCGCGTGCGGTAGGCTTTGTTTGAAGTCAAAAGTCGAATCAGAGCGCCGTCGGCGTTGTCCCCCGATTTTGTCCCCCGGACCGCCCGTCCGGCACCGCTCCGGGACGCACGCCGGCGAAGCACCATCAAGCTGCTGTACGGCCCCGGCATCGCCTTCCCAGGCTTAGCTAGACTGAGAGATATTGTGCACATGGTTAGTCTCTACAATATATACACTGACACTGAACCTCCCAGAGCTCGTCCCGGTCCGTCACGGCCATCCTCGGCCTCCGGAGGGCCCCCGGCCGCGGCGCGGTGCGGCGGAGTCACAAATCCGACCACAGAGCACCGGGACGCGGTCGGGGGATCTGAGGCCCAGTGAGGCGTATGCATTGCCCATCCAGGGCTATCACCTGGACCTATCAACAGGCGCCTGCGGCGCCGTGGTCAGGAGCTGCTGTTCACAGCTGCACAGACTTTGGGACATGGCATAGTATTGCTGTTCACATATATATGTGTGTATATGTTGCCGATTCTGTCGCTCTCCCTGAGTCTCTCCGCCGCACTCTCCGCCGCATCGCCTCCCACCACTACCTTCCCCGCCGCCTCGCGATTCAACTTCCGTGGAAGCGACTGCGCCTACTACGTCGCTGGCTCCGGTCCTCCCGTTGTGCTGCTGCACGGTTTCGCCGGCTCGGCGTACAACTGCTGGCGGAGCACCGTCCCGGCGCTCGCAGCGACGCACACTGTCTACGGAATCGACCTCTTGGGCCTCGGCGCGAGCGCTCAGCCGGTCGTCGAGTACTCCATCGACCTCTGGCGCGAGCAGTGCGCCGCCTTTGTGCGAGAGAGGCTGGGAGGTGAGGCCCCTGTCATCATCGGCCACTCCTTCGGCTCGCTCATCGCCCTCGAGCTCGCGCGTACCCTCGCCGCCCAGGCGCTCGAGCATCTCGGCACCGACATCGCCACACATCTCGCCGCCGCCGCCCGCCACCGCCGCCGCCGCCGCCGCCGCCGCCGCCAACCGCCGCCGCCGCCGCCGCCACCGCCGCCCACACCACCACCCGCCCTCACCGCTTTTTCCACCACACCCCACACCGCCCTCTCCGCCCCAGGGCACGCCGGCCCGCGCGGTCGTCATCAGTTGAGCTGCGCCCATCCTTCAGCTGGTCCATCGGTAGGGCACGCCTGCCCGCGCGGTGGGCATGATGAACTGCGGCGTCGGAATGAACAACAAGAACGCGCTCAAGGCGCAGCCTCGGCGCAACCTCGGCGCAGCCTCGGCGGATCTCGACGCCGTCTGAGCGCACTCGGCGGACTTGTCTCCAGGTGGAGGCGTGGCGCGCGGAGCAGGCGGCGAAGGGCGTGGAGGTGGAGCGGGCGGCGCCCGGCTGGCAGCTGGCCATCTTCGGCGCGGTCCTCTCGCTCGTCGACCTGATCTTCAACCAGAGGCGTCTCCCCATATCTCCCCACATCTCCCCACATCTCCCCACATCTCGAGACGTGCAGACCCGAGTAGCACTCGAGAGGACCGGCCGCTGCTCGCCGCGACGGAGCCGAGATTGCCCGAGATTGCGCCGAGATGGACACGAGATTGACCCGCGAGCAGGTGGCTGCTCGCCGCGATCCTCGACAGGTTCGCCACCGCCGAGACCGTGCGCGGCGCCTTGGAGGGCAGCAGGCCCTAGATGCGCCAGCTGTTAAGATGCGACCCCTTACGCTCTCTTCACACCGGGGCTCTCACAGTCCCGTGAGTACTCACGGGGGCGACCACAGTGAAAGATGCGGGGTGCGGATCCAGCTGTACGGATCCGTATGTTTAGAAGACACACTCCAGGCCTCCCCCCCCCACGAGTGATGGCCGAGGCAGCGTGTCTGTCAGCTCCTGCTTGTGGTTATTCTTTGCGAGTGACGTAGGCAGCGTGTACGTCAACTCAGAACGCGTGGACGACGAGCTTGTGCAGGCGAGTGCTACACACCGCTGGCGAGTGACTCCAACGCACGCTTGCACATGCGGGCACACAACACAACAACACACACACGCACGCACGCACACACACACACGCACACACACACACACACCGCGGTCACACCCTGACGCCCTGTGCACACACGCACGACTCACACACAGACCACGCCGCCGCCGCCGCTTGGGAGCCTTGCCGGTCCCGGAGCCTCTCCATAGGACTACCTCTCGCTCGCGAGGGACAAGGCCGCCGCGGTCGAGGTCCTCCGGCAGATCTACACCAACGACGGCGGCCCCCTCCCCTTCCCCGCCGCCGACGCGCTGGGGGACGACTTTCCGATCCTCGCCGTCTGGGGTGACCAGGACAAGCTCGCTCCGATGACGGGTGAGGGCATGCCCGCCCGGCCACCGGAACCTTGTCGTTTCGTTGGCTTGCCTAATGCAGCAGTTACCACGGAGATTTTGATACGCAGGCCCAGTCGGGAAGTACTTCCGTGAGCGGTCGGCGCGGCTGCCGGCCACGCGCTTCGAGGAGGTCGTCGCCGGGCACGTGCCGCAAGACGACGTCCCCGACGTGACCAACCGGATCCTGTGTGAGTGGATCGCGTCCACCTGAGAGAGTCCTTTTTGACATCCATTCTCTGTAGTCTAATGACTAATCTTTAAATTTACGAAAAAACAGTCGTCAGTTTCGTTTTCACATTTCCGTCAGTTTTCTCGATTCTCCGCGCCGCTATCTCGCGCTCCGCCGTGCCCGTCATCTCAACGCGCTGAGTCCTTTTTGCACTGTATCTGAAACAGGTGTAATGTACAGGCGGGTGGACGACGACACACACACACACTTCACGCGCGAGACCGTACGGTACAAACACCGCAACGAAAATCGGCTCTCGACTCCTCTAGTTGGATAATCTTGGATATAGGTGTGGGCCCCTGCGGCGCTCGGCCCCTTCAGATCCGGCCGGCATTCTCTCCGTCCGCCCAGCCCTGGTCGAACCCTCGCTGCATCCGGTCGAGCTCCCGCGCCTCCGCCTCCACCCACGAGACTCCGCCAGAGGCGGCGCCACCGACGGCGCCCGGCACGGCGCGCGTGCCCTCCATGAAGGCGGCCTCGCCCGGGACCTCGCCCGGCGCGGCGTCGAGGACGACAAAGGCGGCGGCCCACAGCGTCAGCAGGGCAACCAGCGTGTACACGATCCGCCGGAGCCACGATGGGCCGGGCGGATCGGCGGCGCCGCGTGCCGCCGGCCCGGCGTCTGTGGTCGGCATCGGGCCGCTGCGGCTGAGAGGGGCCTCCTCGTCGAGAACCTTGTCGCTGCCGGCTCCGCTACCCTCCTCGCCTCCGCCGCCCTTCTCGCCGCCGGTCTCGTTGTCGTCACCGTCGTCGCCAATCTCTGCGAGGCGTGTGTACTCCTTGGGCGGGGGGCCACCTCGAGGCGTCTCCTTGATGGCAAAGGACGACGCGGCCGTGAGCAGGCGGCCAGAGGACGGCACCATCGCGCCATCGGCGCGCTCGCTTGTGCATCCGCATCGGCCTAGCGCCTCCACCCACTCGCTCAGCGGAGGCGCGTTCATCTCCAGGGCCTCGCTCGCCTCCTCGGGCAAGCCAAGCACGAGCTTCCGGCGCTTCTGCGAGTTGGATGGCGGTGGAAGGTTGATGCGGAACACGACCTTGCCAGGACGATCGCCCTTTGTGCTAGACACGGTTGCGCCCGCGAGGTTAAGTGAGGCAACTGGCATCACGCCAGGCTCCTCCCAGGCCGATTTGTTCGTGTAGCAGTGAAGGACGCCGACGCCGCTGGTGTGGCGATTCAGCACGAAGTAACGCTTGTACCAGGCGATCCCGCGGTCTCCTTCCTTGAGCAGTGGCCCCGAGAGCTCGTGCGTCTCGTTGGCGCCGGCCATCGCGAAGGCTCGTGCGTCTCGTTGAGCCGGAGCGGGCCGAGCGGCTGGGCAAGGTCGATAGCAGCACTCCTTCAGCTGGCTTTCTCGAACGTATTTTCTTCTCATAACAAGGCTGTGAACAGACCAGCGCAGAGCGCCATCGGAGGTATTTTCTTCTCAATAACAAGGCTGTGAATGGTCGCTCGTCGAATGCGACGGCGGCCGCACCTCTGCCGCCGTCGCTCCGCCGGCTCTGACCGAGTATCGGGCGTTGAGCTCGGCGGCGCAAAGCGGGTCTGGCGCGTCCACCGCCACGAGCCTCGCGGTCGTTCGTGCGTGGGTCGTGGCACACCTGGCGGCGGCTCTCGGGGCCGTCTCTACGGCGCTCGACGCCGTGTGAGGTCGCATGCGAAAGGACAAGACGCATTTTAAGGTGGTGGGCGCCGCAGTGGCGGGGGGGGCGGCGGCTTGGCCGCTTTGTGTATCTCGAGACCTCGAGAGAAGGCGCCGCCCGTGGCAGGCCTCCCCGAGGGCCCAAGTCAAGAGGGGGGGGGGTCCACACACGAAAGTAATCCGACGAATTAAAGAAAAACCGCGAGATTTCAACGCACGACACTCTCTCTCGAGGTAGTGAGGAAGGCCGCTTCGATCGCCATTCAGACATTGGTACGAAACAAAAGGGCACGGGCAGAGGAGAGAAGAATTTCACAGATCTTGGCAGAAGGCGCGCGAGAATGTGTGCCGCTCTGCGCGAGCGCGTCCATTGGTCCATGCGCGGCATTATCTAGCTGGACGGTAGTTGTCCACGAGACGATGAAAAGCACGTTTTTTGCCTGGGCTGAGCGAGAGGTGTCGCGAGCAGCGTGGTCATGCTGAGAAGCTGGGCTGACACCTCCGTACGGACGAGGCCAATATGGACGGACGATCGCACTGATGCTACAGCGGGGCGGCCGCCCTCTCCATGTAGGTTTCAGGCCGCAACACCGAAGAGCGCGCCCGCCTTGCAAACATGGGCTGCAAGCAACGCGGGTTCTGTGGTCAACGGGCGTTCGACCACACCACCGGCCAAGGCTACGTCAAGTCACAGCGTGGCCACTACCATGATGGGATCTTCACCAAACGAAACAAGTTCAACCTGCTTCTTCACGAGACATTCGGCGGCGGCTTCTCGCCGCCTGCAGTTGCAAAGATCAACCGCCTTGCGCGCAAGGCTCAACGCCCGGGCGTTGACCGCACCGCGTACCCTCCCCACTCCCGCCTCTCATTTGTGTCACACCACGCGGAACGCATCTCCATCGCTTCGGTGAAGGGGGTGAACCGCGCCATCGTCGATCGCCGTGCAAAGCTCGCTTCCGAGCTCTCACGCCGCGCGCGTAGGGCCCTTAGGGGCCTAGAGAACACAACCCCCTCTCCCCTTTCTCCCAGTAAGCTAAAAGTACAACGTGCGTACACTCGGGCGGTGTTGTTTGTTCTCAGTCTTCTGCGGCGCGGGCGAGAGCCCGCTCCACACTCAGCCTCACGGAGCGCTGACGCAGCGCCCTCCTCCACCACCTCCACCTCCACCACCGCATCTCGGCACCACCACCGAGATGCTCTGGGGCGAGAGTGACAGTGTTGGCATCATGCAGTGAAGCGTAAGCGTGCTGCAAGGGCGTCCACGCGTTTCGGCAGCAGCTGCTTGGACTCGTCCCCGTGCCCGAGGCGGCCGCACTGCCCCGCGCCCCAAGAGTAGAGCGCGCCTGGGTGGGTGGGTGGGTGTGTGGCAGTGTGGGGGGTTGCTTGCCCGCCCGATGGGAGCCTTAGGTGATTGGTAGCCATGAGGATTGGAAGCCATTGGGCACTGGGAGGCATTCCGCATTGGGAGAGGCATCGTGAGCACGGGAAACGCGCAACGAGAGAGACCCCTGTCTCTTTCCAACAGCTCGGCTGCGCCTTGTCCCCGTGGAACGCACGTAGAACTTCACGTGTCAAGGAGCTTCTAATGAAACCGAGCGGCGACTTGAACCTTCCCACGGTACGTCGCCGCAAAGCACTTTATCTCCTGCGTTCGCATTTGGGCGGCCATCGCAACACTCCCTAGCTCAACTGTCGACCCTAACGGGTCGCCAGCCGATCGTCATAGGCAGCGGCGCGCCGTCTGCGGTGAGGGCAAACGGTCTCTGGAGACAGCAGCAGCAGCGACAGTGGCGCCCTCGGCGCCCTGGCACAAAGCGACGTCTGCTGGATCAGCTCTCGTTAGACGTCTTTACGGCGCTCGAAGTTAGTGTCGGCATGGGCTCTTCTACGGCACAGAAGTCAATCAACAAAACTCAGAAATCGGCGCCGCAGCTTATCGATGCGGAAGACCACACAGTGCTGGGCGGGTGAATAAGCGTTCGACGCGAGGCGATTATGCCTTGCTTTTTGGTGTCTGCACTTGGGAGAGAGAGAGTTTGTTTGTTTTTGCACTTGGTGCCTTTGAGGTCGGGAGATGCCGTGTCTCGGATAAACCTGATCGACCAGCTCCTCGCAGTGGCGTCCCGTGGAAATGACCGGCTCCTCGATCGCCAGTCTCGAGAGCTTGAGCGCCCACAGCGAGCATCCACGGGCGGATGTCAGAGTGCCGTCCTCTCTGATCATGAGCGCCAAAATCGTGGCTCGGCCGCTCTGCATCGTGCTAGCTATTGTCGCAGTTCCACCAATCGCCATCCACGGCTTGGGACGCTCGGACGAGCTCTTCTGTTGTATCTCTGCGCTCGTCTTTTCCGTGTCCTCTCTGGTCGCAAGTCAGGCGATGACGTCTTCCACACGTGTGGTCCCTCGCACATTCATCTTTTGGGCCCAACTCTTTGCTCCGCTCCACCACGGCCCGATTCTGCTGATGGACTGGCAAAAGGAGGGCGGTGCCGACGCGCTTGTGAGCGCCATGCTAGTATTCGCCATTGCGGCGGCTATCGCGTGGATCTTGGTGACGAATCGAACGGCCTGGTGTGACGTGGAGATTGACGGCGTCACCTTGTGGCGTGTCATGCGCCGCCTGCTCTGGGTGCCAACCTCCGCCAGTGTCGCAGGCATTGCTTTTCTATGCTGCCTGGAAGCGACTATGCCAGACGCATGCAGGTCATCTCTCAGCTACTTACCGCCTGGCGCGACGCTCTCCGTTGCCGTCACCTTCGCGCTCACCGGCACAATCGTCTGCGTGGCTGCTACCGAGGATAACCGGCAGCGCGTGCTGCGGCTGTGGCAGGTGCCGCTCTCTTCCCTTACAGCACACACTCTGAGCCAGTTCGCCCCGCCGCTCGCCGCTGACCGGTGGCGCCGCGACTTCCTCGCGGGATCATTTGATGGATGCGGGTCGGGGCCGGCGAACGCAAATGACGCTGCAAAGCTTTTGCGCCCCAGACGTGCACTGCAGCCAGCGTCGCAGCCGCGCGGTGAGCGCCGGACTGGACCAACGCCCTCCTCCGTCTAGGAGTAGCTGACTAGCTGTGTCATGCACGTGGTTGTATACTTCTTTTGTAGTGGCCGGCGGATAAGCCAAAATTATCCGAAACCCTGGCCCGGGCAAAAGAATTTTACAAGCCCTCCCTCTCACGACACTATAGGCACGGGACTGGCGCGCACTGGCACTAACAGATATACAAAGGCGATGCGCAGCCTGGCACGGACTGGACACCAACGCGGTATGGGTGGGGACGCGAGACAGAAGAGGACGACTCGCGTGAGCGACACACAGACACACAAACTCACAAGACACTCAGCCAGCTGAGGGAGGTCCTCGACTTTGAGGCAGACAGTGTCCCTCAGGTACTGGTACGTTGCCTGTGGGGGAGGGGGGAGGGGGAGGCGTGGACGAGTGGGGGGGAGGACGGTGCGGGTGGAGAATCTACTGGCGAGGCCGCGCGCCGCTGCGCTCTTGCGACGTCGGTTCTCCCAGAAAAGAGGGAGAACCTTCTCCCACCTCTTCTGTGTATTGTACGGCCTGGGCACGATGTCCTCAATCTGGCTCCCCAGGTGCTCGAAGAGGATCTTGCAGTTGGAAACGTTGGCGTAGTTGAGGACCAGCCCCGTCGCTCCTCCCGTGACCCGAGTCGCCACGCCCTCGCCGCCACCGCCGCCACCCTCGCGCCGCCGCCGCCGCCGCCGCCGCCATTGCTTCCGCCGTCGCTGCCTTGCCGCCACCCTGGCTGCCGCCGCCCTCGCCGTCGCCGCCCTCCCCGCCGCCGCGGCCCGAGATGAGCTGAGATGGCCCGAGATGGCCCGAGATGAGCCGAGATCAGTCGAGATGAACCGAGATGAACCGAGATGCGCCGAGATGTGTTGTGCGCTAACCTGCCGAGCAGTTTTGCTGCTGGCCATCCCACCGGTTTACGAGGAGCTCGTAGCACGGCTCGTAGTTGGGCAGGCGCAGGAGCGCACTCTTTTGATTCGTCCGTGTGTGTTGTTGCTTTAGAATGGTTTTGAAGAGCCTCTCGCGTTTGTTTAAAGCCGCATTTTGCTGCGCCGGGTCGTAACCAGGCTAGTTACAAGGGTAGTTTACCAGCTTCGAGCTCGTAGGTCCTACGAGGTCGGACCTACGAGCTTGAGGGCCCGTAACTAGCCCCCGTTACCATGCTCGTAGTTTTGCCGTGCATTCTTCTTACAGTGGTGTAGCTATGCAGTGGCTGCAGCCTCTGCTGGGGCGGAATGCGCGGGGTTTTCGGCGCGATGCCCTCGGCGAGTACACGCTACGTGTCCGCCGCAAGCTCTCCTGCGCGCGCGTGACGTGTGGGACGCGTGCGCTGCGCTCAAACGTCGCGATTTGGCAATAGGCGCTCGAGCCGGCGCACAGCGGGCGGTTGCGCCGCGCAGGGGGGGTCGGGGGGGTGCGAGAGGGGGCGTGGGTCGGGCGCGCACCGGCCGGCCCTGGGAACGGCCGTCACGTCGAGGTGGGGGGTTGTCGGCGGCTCGAGCGCCGAGGCGTGCCGCTGCTGTGCCGTCGACAGCCCCTCTTCCGAGCCGGCGCGCGGCGGCGAGCCGCGGCCAGTGTTGCTGGTGCGGGGGCGGCGCAGCGTTTATCCCCCCCCCCCCCCCGGGGCCGGCCCGCCCGCCCGCCCGCCCTCAGGCCTTGCCCCTCCGCAGGCGCGGGAGCGCTCGCCGGCGAGCACCTCCTACCTCTCGTCGCCCGGCTGCTCCCTTTCCCGTTCACCCGCCGCGCCCTCGCCCGGCCGCCTCACCGCGCAGGGAGCGCTCGGCTGCTCGCCGCCGCCGCCGCGCGTCCCGCGCCGCCACGCTTGCCCCCTCTCCTGACGCGCACCCCGCGCAGACGGCGCTCCGGGACAGACGGAGCAGCGACCGCGCGCGCGGTCGCTGCTCCGCCCCTCCGTCGCGCGCGCCGCGCGCGCGCTGCGCCGCTGCCGCCGCCGCCCCCTCGCCGTCTGTTTCCCGCCGTACTCGAGTATGGTGTGCGGTGCGCGCACGCGCAGCGCACACAGCAGCCTCCCCACCCCCCTACCCACCCCGTCGCGCCGCCGCCGCCGCCGCCGCCGCCGCCGCCGCCCCCGCTGTAGCGTTTGGGGGGGCGACTGGCGACGGCAAAAATGCAAGGCCACTGTAATAAAAAGAATTCGCAGACCCACTCTGTTCTCCGAGGCCCCACGCGAGCTGCGGCAGGTCGGGCGGCGGCTCGAGGGGCTCGGGGCGAGGATGCAGCGAGGATTGAAGCGGGCCTGCGACGAGGCGGACGCGCCCGTCAGGTCGTGTTGGGGAGGCGAGCTTGCTGGCTTCACCACGTGCGCACCCGTCAAGCCGATGAGCGGCGCCTTTAAGGAGCATTTCTGCGCAGATTGCCGCGAGGGCACTATCTTCGTCCCCGCGTCCCGGATACGGATTGTGGAGGTTGGAAATGAGCTTGCAAACACGCAAGCGGGAGGGCTGTGGAACGTACCCGCGCGCAGCTGCGCCTCCGGCCTGGCCTCGCGGCGTACCCTCCTCCCGGCTCACCGCATCGTCAATCAGACAAAGTGCTGTTCGGGTGCGAAGCTCGCCATCCTGAAAGACGAGACGCCTCACGCGCTGCCCGGGCTCTCGCCGCTCCCCGTCGCGATGCAGGACAGTTCTATCGGCTTCAAGGTTGGCAGGACGCTGAAGCCCGTCGTCGCGATCCCCCTGCCGCTTCAAGGCGGTGCCACCCCCGACAGCACGAACTCCCCCACATCCTCGTTGCTCTCCGCCTCGCCGCCTCTCGGGCAGCCACTGCCGCCTCCACTGCCGCCTCTCGGGCAGCCACTGCCGCCTCTCGGGCAGCCACTGCCGCCTCTCGGGCAGCCACTGCCGCCTCTCGGGCAGCCACTGCCGCCTCTCGGGCAGCCACTGCCGCCTCTCGGGCAGCCACTGCCGCCCTCCGAGCCTGCCGCCGCGTTTGCCGCCGCGCGGGAGGAGACAACTGCAGCCCCCGCGTGGGCGGGGCAGCGCGGCGATGCGAGCCTCTTCTCTGAGCCTACTCCCGTGATGCTTGCTGCCACCACGCCGAGTGATGTTCGACCGATGAGTGGCTCTCTCCCGGCCGAGGAGGACATGGCTCGACGTGTGATGCTCGACGCGTGCCGCGTGATCATCGCGCAGGTGCCGGCCCTGCGTTTCTTCTCTCCCGAAGCGCTCCTTGCTGACCCGCAACAGGCGATCGAGTGGTTACGCTTCGTCGAGGCGCAGAGCGGGCACGGCGACGCGGACGCGGGGCGGGGCGCGGAGCTTGCGAGCACGCCCGTACCGCCTCCGATGACGGCAGCAGCGGCCGCAGTCGGGAGCCAAGGCTACCTTCAGGCGAGCCACGCAGGGAGCGCCCCGCCGCTCCAGGCGGGGCTCCAGGGGAGTGCGGCAGCGGCGCCCGAGGGGCCGCTGATGTCCAGTGTGCCGTACGCGTCCGACGCCTACGCTCGGCCGCACGCGTCAGACGCCTACGCTGAGCGCTTGATCGAGCTCGAGCTCGACGTGCTCTTGCGCTCGCTGGAGGACCGCGCGCCGCCTCGCGCCGCGCAGAGGCGCGACGAGTGCGGGCGCTTTGTTCAAGCGGCAGCCGTGCCAGGCTTTGTTCAAGCGGCAGCCTTGCCAGGCTTTGTTCAAGCGGCAGCCTTGCCAGGCCGAATGCCGGCTATCGACGCGAGCGTGGCGCCGCAGGTGCCTCTGCAATCCCTGCCGGTCGTGCAGGAGGCTGTCCCCTTTCCGACGTCGCTCCCGCCATCGCCGCCCGAGCCGCCAGCGCCGCGGTACGGCACGGCCGTCGGCTTCCTCGCGAGGGGGCCGGGGATGGAGCCCGTCCTCTCGCTCAGCCTCGTGGTCGGCGCGGTCGGCGCCGCCGGAGCCGCATTGTCCGCGCACCAAAGCGAGATGGCGTCCATCTTCCCCGTCTTCTTTGGCGCGGTGTGCCTCAGCTTGGCCGCCTTCTCCGTGTCCAACGCGCTGCTCTGCGGCGACGAATTGGCTCGCGCGTGGGCGTTCGTGATCCCGCTTCACCCTCTTCCGCTGACGGCGCTACTGTGGCTCGTCCCCGCGGACGATCTTCTGCGCGCCAAGGAGAGCATGGACAGCTTTCGTGTGCCCGGGACTGTATTAGTTGGGGCAATCGGGGCGGTGACCGCCACCATGCCGCGCCCCCTTCGCTGGAAGTGCATGGTGGTGGCCGGCTTCCTTCTGTCGACTGCCAGCAATTTCGGTGTGGCCACGTACCTACTCGACGAGCGGCTCTCCTTCATTTACGAGATGTTCCCCTACCACCTCTCGACCCTGGGCAGCCTCGCCCTCACCCTCCTCTGCCAGAAGGTCATCAAGGAGTTCATCTTGGGTGAGCGTCCACTGACGATGCTGCCTTGTGTGAGCGTCAACTTCGAGGACGGTGGCGTCAACGAGCGCGTCACCAGAGCCTGCCTGGCGGGCGCATTCGCGTGCATTTGTCTCCTCGTCGTGTCCCACCACCTCCTCCTCTTCCGGGAGCAGAGGGAGGAGTGGGGCATGCGACGTGATGCGGCCGACGCGATGCCGACCGGCAGCCATGGCGGCGGCCGTGGTGGCGGCATGGTCCCGCAGGTGGCGACCCTCTTTGCCTTCTACACGCTCGGGCTGTGCGTGCTGGCCGCGGCCTTGCCGACGAGCGCCGACCTGCGGCGTGGTCGGCAGTTTCTGCTCGTCGTCACCGTCCTCATGCTCACCTCCGCCGTCGAGACCGTGCGCAACTTGTGGCCGCGGGTGGCGGCGCTCCCGGATGAGGCGAGCGCCCCCTACCACCACGCGCTGCTGGCAGGCCGCGTGCTGCTCTGGCTGGCGGCTGTCGTCGGCACCGCTTCCGGCGCCGCCTGCCGTTGGCGCTTCGTGAAGCTCGTGCCCTGTGCCGATGCCACGCTCGGGCTGGTGATGCTCCTCGGCATCTTCCTCACACATGCGCGGGCGACGTCGTTCCGCGACGCCTTGCACATGCCCGTGGCATCCTCGTGCAGCACCGGCTTCTGCCACGCCGCTGGCGACGCGTCCTTTGGCTGGGTGCTCGCGGTGTGCGCGACCAACGTTGCATTGCTGCTGATGCTCGGCGTGAGCCTCTCGCCTGCGAGCCGTGCAGGGCTCGCGGCGAGGGCCAAGCATAGTCTGAGGGTTAGGTTTTTGGAGCTTCGGGTGCTTTTACGCTTTTGATCGGGTCAGGGGAGAGTGCGGCTTTTACCACTTGGTCGTCTTGTAGCGCTACAAGTTTGTAAGGACGCGTCCCTCCACAACACACTTTCGCGCGTGGGCAACGGTGATAACGCCGTCGCGTCACCGACCGCTCGTGCTTGCGTATGATACCCGCAACCGAACACCCCTCTCGTCGGGTCCGACGTGCGCGACGGTGCAGCGTCTCGCGTCCGCCACTCCGCCCGCGCCCGTCACGCCGCATCGTTGTCCACCTACACCGCTCCGGCTGCAGCCTCGCCAAGTGCCTTCACACGCGCTGGGTCAGGTGCAGCAGCAGCCAGTGCGCAGCAGCAGCAGCCAGTGCAGCAGCAGCAGCCAGTGCAGCAGCGAGTGATCACGCTTGCACAAGCGGTGGGCGGTCGTCATTTCACTTTGGCTAAACCCGAGGCCCCGCGTCAACCCGGCTGCACGAAAGCACAGTGCGGCGCGGTGCAATCAGTGGAGGCAAAATCGGCTCAAAAAAACAACGCCAATGCTGCCCACTGGCTGCGCAGATAGCACTGGCTCGTTATAGCGAGGCGACCGAGCGCGAGAGGTTGGTGCAGAGCGTGCAATGCAGGAGATCCACTCTCGCGCTACAATGCTAGCGCGGGAGGCGAGTTCGCGGGAAGAGGAGCTGGTGGCGATGAAGGTGGTGGAGCTCAAGGAGGACCTGGCTCCTGGGCGAGGGTGCCGAGGCCCTCTCGGGCAACAAAGGCGTGGCTGCGCCGCCGGCTGCACGCCGCTATAGTGAGCGAGTATTTGGAGAGCGCCGCGGGCGCCGACGGAGAGTAGAATTTTACGGAGAGTAGAATGTCCAAAATTTTCGCGCGCCTGACTTTTACCATTTTGCCCCTCGTATGGCTCACCGTGTAGTCGGCCGGGCCGAGCGGCCACTTCTTCTTTGTTTTCGTTTTGTATAATGTGGCGGGCCGGCACTCACACATATGTCATCATGACCAGCGACATATCGCTGAGTTAGAGTTAAAATCATGCATTCATGGCGACCTGCCCCCGCCAGCGCCACGGCCAGCCGCCACCGTTCGTGTTGGTGTGTGGTGACTTGCTGGGGGCGGGGACCCGGTGTGCACGCTACGACGCTTTTGCGGCGCCGAAGCGGGTGTGATGCCAACCCCTGCGTAAAAGGCGTGCGAGTTCGCCCGCGGCGGGCCAGTCCGGAGCTTCGAAGGCATCGCGGCAGGCAATAACGAGGAGGCCTGAAGCGAGGGCGGCAGCGACGGTGGCGGCGAAGCGGGCGCGGGATTATTTTCGCCGTCACGGCTGATGTCCTCGCGGTCCTCGCTGTGGGCGGACATGCGCTGCATCCACATGCCTGACAACATGCCAGATGGACCTCGGCACCCTGCGGGCTTCGGCGCTGCCGCTGTCAACCCATGCGAGTCGTGCGATGTGCCCATCGCAGACGCCAGCGGAGACTGCCAGATGCACGGCGAGCGAACGCACGGCGCAACACGAGGAAGCTCGATCGTGCGCCGCGTCGCACGCCGCGAGAGCTCGGGGCTACTTGGGGGCGAACCCTCGGCACCAGCGGCGCGAACAACGTAGCGAAACTCGTCCGGAACAGGCGGATTCAATCGACGGGCACGGCGTCTGGCGACGGCCTCTACGAGCTCGGCTGGCTCGTCTCGTCGGCGGTCCGTCGCGCCACAGTGCCCAAAGGTGAGCACGCTGCCCTCACGCAGCTGGGCGCTCGCAACGCCCTCGGCCGTAGATTGCAGGACGACCGGCTCGCCACCACCTCCCGGCTGCTGCACACGGCATCCGTTCTTGTGCGAGACGTCTTCGAGCCGGACGCTGCGGCCGTCTGCAGCGACGTGGAGCACGGCGTGCTGGCGCGAGATGTGCTGCGCGTTGAGTGGGAACAGGGCGATGCTGCTCGACGCGTCGCGACCGACTGTCAGCGTGGCGCTGGGAGGCAGCGCGATCGGCGACGGCCGGCCTACGCGAGCCCCATTGACCCCCGCATCCAGCACCAGCTCCAACGGCCAGCGTGCGCTCAGACAGCTCGGCGCGGGGGACAGCACCGGCGACGACGACATGCCTCCGAGCCGCGAGAGCTCTGCGCTTAAGTGGTGGATGTCGCGGCTCTGCTGGCTGATGCGCGAGCGCTGCGACTGCACCCTGCTGCGCAGCTCGTCGACAGTGCCGAAGGTGTTTGGCTCGGTGGCGACGGAGATGTGGAGCAGGAGGCAGCACGAGTCGATCTGGGTGCCGCTCGGTGAGCGCAGGTGCAGGCAGCGGTAGCCGCAGCGGAGGGAGCCGAGCATCGCGGTCTCGTACGCCACCAGCCGCCCCTCGTCCTCCACCACAACGCGGAGGATGGTCTGGTGAGGCTCGGCCGCGAGGCAGTGGAAGGTCTCGTCGAAGCTAGGGTTAAGGCCGTTGCCCTCCGCGACTGCTGTGACGAGCCGAGTCACGCCCTGCGCCTCGGGCGGCGGCTGCGGCTCGCGTCCGACCGCGTGGAAGCCTCCGATGGCGTACAGCTCGATGGCGACGCGGGGGCTTGAAACGCTTGCGCTCGACCCGCTGGGCGGGCGTGGGCTGTCGCTGAGGTGCGAAACGAAGGCGTGGTGGGGCTCGACGTGGAGGGGCCGGCACTCGTCCCGCGTCGGGAGCCGGTGCAGGGAGAGCACCTGCGCGGTGGGTCGCTCGGTGAGCTGACTGGTAGGTGAGCTGACTGACTCGGTGAGCTGACGCGGTGGGCCGCACAGGGAGGGCCGCACGGGGCGGCGGTGGGGCGCGGCGCCTTCAGCTCCGTCCGATGAACCTCCTCTCGTGGCGGCGGCCACGGCAGCTTTCCCTGAACAGTCAAGGAGCTGCCGAGTTGCGATGATGACTCATTTTGATCCATCTCCAAGCCCTGCACGCGCGACAGACGATCGCCGCCAGAGCCACCGCGGCCCTTTGGGGTCGTGAGGCCTCTCTTGGGCGGGGTCGAAGCCTGACCGGGCGGCGCCCGAAGCGCCGCGGGCTTGAGGGCATAGCCACCGCTCTCGCGAAAGAGAGCGTCGTGAAGCTGCACCGGCAGATCATTTGTCTGCATGTTGAGTGCGACCATCTGCACACCCGCGCGCCACGCCGCCTGTGGCGGGGGGTGGGGTGGGCGGGGTGGTGGTGGTGGTGGGGAAGGGGTGGGGAGGGGGGGTTCGCCTCGCTTGGGAACGTGGGAGGGAGGCGTGGGGTAGGGGAAGTGGTTGGAGGCGGCGGGTAGAGGAGGTGGTGGGAGCGAGGGCGGGCGCACGAGCGGGTCCGGGTTGGTCGACCACCACCGAGTCGGAGAGGGGTAGGTTCTGACGAGCTGCGATGCCGCGAGGGGAAACCATCCTCCCTGCTCGCTCAACAGCCACTCCAGTCGATCCTCAGACACGCTCACGACACCGCGGCGCGGCACCCTGGCGGCTGGGAGCTCGCTCGCCGACTCCTCTGCTGGCCACGAGCCAGCACTTTGCCAGCCGGCTGAGCCCGGAGACCCGAAGGGCGACTCGGACGTCTGCGTTGCAACGTCGGCATCGGAGTGGCTCTCAAGAGGCACGCCACGGAGCCAGCACCGGACGCACCGGCCCGCCAGCCGCCACTCGTCCCCGATCTGGTAGCGGCTTCTGCCGGTGGTGCGGCCGCTGAGCTCCTTCCAGCTCCGGCAGACCGTTTCGCGAAGCCTGCAGCCGTCGTCGAGGCCGTTGTCCACCTCCTTGGGCGTCAGCGGTTCGCCGATGGAGCTCGAGGGCAGCGTGACGAGAGAGCGGAGGAGCGGGTCCGTTTGCGTACCGCCTTTGTCGAGCCGCATCTTGACGAGGACCTACAGTCGAGATGTGCCCGAGATATGCCCCAAGGTGTGCCCGAGACCCCCTTAGCCGCATCTTGACGAGGACCTTCCGGTGCAGCTCGCGGAGGGGCGTGCTCGCGACGCGGTCGCTGCGGGAGAGCAGGTCACCAAGGGTGTCGATGAGCGCCCTGGCGATCTTCTTCTGCTGCTTCGCCGAGCAGTGCATCTCCAGGCTCAGGAGCACGGGCAGGGGGCTGCTGGTGAAGGCGTGCTCGGCAATCGCAGCGACCACCTCGCTGAAGGCTACGCTTCCGCAGAGGAGAGGGACCCCGCCCGGCATGCGGTGAGTAACGCGCGGGCCCTGGCCCCACCACCGCCCAAAGGCGGTGGGGTCCCAGCAGTCGATCTCGAGGCAGCGAGTCCCCGAGAGCAGGAGGCGGCGGTACATGTCGGCAGACACTGCGGAGGTGAGCTGGTCGTCCTCGAGGAAGCTGTTGTGCGAGCTACTGATCCAGTAGCTCGTCAGCGGCTCGCCTGCGTCCGTGGGGGTGCTCCTCCGCTCGATGGCCATGTCGATGGCGCTGTTGCACGGCGAGAGCAGGAGCGAGGCGAACTCGTGCACCGTGATGGGCTCAGACTCGACGGCCTCGGAGGACGACCCCACGCGAGGACCGAGCGCCCTTCTCGGCGCGTGCCTCGAGGCAGAGTCACGGAGATATGACGCGTCGCGGTGGTGTCTCGACGACTCCAGCTGGAGCTTCGCCTCTGACCGAAGGGCGCGGAGGGCAGCCTTCCACTCTTCCCACAGCCTGCGCCCCCCCGCGCCCTGCTCGTTGAGGCAGAAGCGAAGCAAGTCTTCGAAGTTCAGCGAGAGGGTCTGGGAGACGTCTTGCAGGTTCCCCGTCGAGAGTGTCCTCGTCATCCTCGGCCCCGCCTCGAGGTCTGCGTGAGCAAGATGATGGTCAGTCCGGTGGCCGTCATCATCGCAGGCGCCGCCGTGCAGCGTGCAAGCCGCCGTCCCGCACCTCAACACCAGCTTCTCGACACACGCCTCGATGAAGGGCGTCGTGTTCCGAGTCACGTGGAGCCACTCGCGGAGCTGGGCAGCCTCGCGCGCGGCCGTCCCCCACAGCTTCCGCTCCAGCACCGAACTCCACAGGCACTGCTCCACAAAAGGGAGCCGCTCAATGTCGGGCGGGCCGCTCAATGTCGGCTCCTTGTTGGCCCTGCGGCAGAGCTGCGCCCACACGACGTGAGGTTCAGCGGCACGTTCATAGGAAAGGCAAAAGCGCGCTGCACGGTAGAGCGCGCGTGCGCAAGCCCGAAAGCGGCAGATGGGACAGCTCCGTGCGATCCGCCTGCGGAGCAGCATCGACGGGCTCGTGCCGTGCAGCGCGGCGATGCGCGACAGCCTCATGCACATGGCGGCGACGCTCAGCATCAGCGCCACGCATGCCAGAGGCGCGACGAGCGCGGGGATCAAGATGGACACCCTCACGTGCACGTGCTCAACGTGCTCAAGCTCGTCCGCATGTGGGCACTCGACATAGCGCCAATCGCCGTTGTTTTCGTGGCACGCGGCTGCGAGGACAGCGGAGTGCCTGCCGATGCCGAGCGCGTTCTTGTACATGCCGGTCTCGAGGTCGAGCGACGAGCTGCCTCCGCCGCAGTAGCCGTCGGCTCCGCAGCACTCGCCGTCATTGCACCGCGTCACCTGCGTCTCATTTTCCGTGCACCACTCGCCACTCAAGCAGCGGGGCCCGCAGGGAATGCGGAGCTGCCTCCCATCCGGGCCGTCAAACACGCTCAGCCGGAGGATGGGACCGTCGAGGTTGATCGCGCCGGGGACCGCGTTGGGGTCGCGGCAAGTGCGCCCGCTGGAGACGGGCGGCGGCACAGCGCAGAAGCCGCGGGCGCAACACTCGGAGTTGCACTCGCGGGCCGAGGAGCAGGGCTGGTTCACCAGCTTCGTGTATGTACAGTTGCGCTCCACCCTCTCCGTGTGCGTGTACGCCTCGCACGCCCAATCCGTCACGTTGCACGCGCCGCCGCAGCAGTCGACGGCCACCGAGCCGATGTAGCGAATGTCTACGTCGTTGATCACAAGCTCCTTGAGCGCCGACGGAGGCACGATGCGCACGCCGCTCGTGTTGACCGAGACTGCGCACTCGCTGGTGCTGCTCAAGCCAGCAGCCGGTGGCGCATCGTGCATCCGTCGGCGCACGCCCGCCTCCGTGACGCATCGGCGAAGCATGTCGCCGTCGATGCCGAAAATCTCGGGCTCGCATGCGTCAGTGGCGTCCTCGCCCAGGGTGATCGCCTCGCAGCCGGCGCTCGCTGAGACGCAGCGAAGGAAAGGGAGGGGAGCGAGCGCGGTGGTGGCGGCCGCGGCCTGCACAGCGCACTGAGTGAAGGCGTCGCGTGGCATTACGTGCACCGTGGCGATCATCGGGCGAGCTAGCGGCAGTAACTGGCTCCGCCCAACCATGAACTCGAGCTCCTCCGTGAGATTAGCGATGGCTGCCGCGGTGCCGCCACCGCACTCGAAGTCCACCGTCACAGCGACGGTCGCCTGCGGAAGTGACGGGATATGGTGATTGGGAAAGGAGAGGCTCGTGCGCAGGGGCTGGCAGGCGCGCCTTGGGAGGCTCGTCACTAGGGCGGCACGGGCGTGAGTACCCGAACGGAGGCGTCGAGCACGCGCCCTCTGCGCACGCCGCCTCGCACGGGCGGTAGTCGATGCAGTCGGCGCACTTGCAGTGTTCCTCCGTTCTGCCGCAGTACCCAAAGGGAGAGCAGCAGTAGAGGTCGCTCTCCGGGTCGCACTCGCCGATCGCGTTGCCAGCGAGACCCGGGTATCCCGGGCCGCACCTGCCCTCGTGGTTGTACCGTGCCGGTTCAAAAGGCGGGGGACGGAGCGGCGGTGGCGGAGGCGGCGCTTCGAAAGGCGGTTTCTCCAAGCCAAAGTTGTATATCACGCCGCTGCTCTCGCGCGAACCGCCCTCCCAGACCCACTCGCCGCTGCTGAGTCGCGCCACGTACTTCTCGGAGAAGCCACCCTGGTCGACCAGGTTGAACAGGTGCACATTGGCACCACTCCTGTCGCCCTTCTCGTCGAACTCCACGCGCCCCGAGAGGCCTTCGAACGACAGCGTCTGCTTGGACTCCCAGAACCGCGTGCCAAATGACGACGAAAGCGGGCCCGTCGGGGTCACGTTGCACGATAGCAACCCCGCCGCCACGACAGCGTCGTAAGCAAACGAGCCGCCGGATGGCAGCCAGCCTCTCGATAGCGGATCGCGAAAAAAGTTGTCGCGCAGCTGCCAGTCGGCAGGCAGGTGCTCGTTGAAGTCTCCGGGCTGAAGTGTCGCCCATCGCTCGTCGTCAAACCTCGCCCACTGCGGATTGTCGTCGGTCGCGCCGCACGCCTTGATCTGCAGGCTACCGTTCAGCGCGGCCCGCCCCTCTCCGTGTACCATGTCCAACTCCGCCGCGGTGACACCGTCTGCAAACATAAAGGAGGTGCCAGGTCTGAGCAGGCCGGTGACCAGCGCGGCCTCTACAATCAGGCCAAGGCTCGTTGGGAAAGTGATGACTAGCACCGCCTTGGCGCCACTGCTGGATAGGCTGATGGCCGCAGAACGGATCGACTCCTCGCGGATTGAATCCTCATTGGAGTTGGAGAACTCCCTGCTGACAAACGTCAACCCGAGGGTCAGGCAAGCGGCCTTCGCTGCTTCCTCGTAGGCGCGGCCGTACGGATCATTTACGAAGAGCACGGCCACGTTTGAAAGCCCGAGCTCATACTTCCACAAGTTGCAGAGGCTCGACGCAGTACTAAGGTCGGAGGGAATGGTCCTCATGAATCGCGGGTAGCGAGCGATGTTGTCAAGATCGGGCGATGTGGACCAGTACGAGATTTGAGGGATGTTGTGAGCCCCGGTCATGCGCGCTATGGTGGTTGAGACGGAACTGCGGCCGGGTCCGATGACGAGGTCGGTGCCAGCGGAAAGGTCTCCCAGCGCGAGGATTGACTTTGAGACCGAGCCGCCGCTGTCGAGCAGCCGAAATCGGAGCTGCTTGTCGCAAGCCGTCAAAGATCTAAGCGCGGGGAGAGCACTTGCGTTTCGCGAATTGAAGTCCGTCACTCCGAGTAGCGCGCTGACGACTACAGCTTGCATCGGCTCAATCTCCCAGCACGTGCCATTCCGCCAGTTGCCCACGCCAGCGCAGCTCTCGGCGGTCGACACCGCTTTGTACGAGAGCATGAAAAGAGCGGCGACGTTCACGTCAACACCACCAGCAGCGAGCGTCGGCAGTAGCAGCGACGACACCATGATTTGCTTTTTTGCAAGGCCAGAGCAGGGCAAGGTTAAAGACCAGCCGCCCACATCGGCAGCCACAGTCGGAACTCGAGATGGTAATTTCTCGCAGCTGCGAGACAAGTTTTCTCGGAGCGACAGCCTCAAAGACAAAAGGGTGGATGGGTGGGGGGCGATTGCGGGCGAGCGCCAGCGCGCCCCAGGAACGGTGGGGTGCCCTCGACCGCGCGTCCGAGTCACTTGGGCGGACGAGCGAGCGGCACATGGCCCGACAAAGAGAAATCGGAGTCTGGCGACGAGATCGGTAAAAGAAGTGCAGCGTTTCCTCTGAGGTGCCTCAGAGGTGCACCACACCTCTGAAGGTGTCTTTCAGAGGTGTCCTTCAGGAGCAGAGCTGACGTCAGTCTGTGCGCGCTCCCTCTCTCCTCGTCGAACTTGGGAACGAGGAGGAAGAGTTGAAGCGCGCTCGGAGTCGCCCTCTTCGCCCTTCCGAAGGCCACGATGGCCGACTCTTTTGACGCCGAGGTGGACCCGACGGGATCCACCATGCTTTTGATCATGCCCGAGAGCTCCCCGCTTCTTGAGGCCACCGAGTTCTTGGGGTGGACGGCGACCACCGCCGGCTCCGACGGGATGCCGCGCAAGGCGGCCCCTTGCGCCGCCGCGGCCCCCCTTCTCGCGCGCTGCCGCCAGGGCGCCGCGGGCCAGCAGCACCCGGGCCACCCGCAGTTTCTCGCTCTTTGCCCGTTGACGTTCGCGCTGACCGGCTCAGCCTGGTCGCGAGTGCTGGAGACCCTCGGTGAGGCGGGCCTCTTCGCCGCCCCCCTCCCCTCGAGCGACGACCTCCTGGACGTGCTCGCCGCGATCGAGATCGCCGATCTCTCCCCCCTTGAGATTGGCCCGGGCGACCTTCTCCCGGTGGAGGGGACCGCCGCCCAAGCCGCCGTCGCAGGCCAAGCGGCGGTGCCGGCGCGCCGGCCCGGGGGCGGGCGGAGCGCCGCCCCTGCGCGCCCTGCGCGAGCGCCGGTGCCGGCGCGCGCGGCTCTGCACGCCGAGGCTGACTTCTTCCTTCACGCCACCGTGGGGCTACTGGAAGACCCGGGCGCGACCCTCCCGTGGAAACGCCTCGTCTCGGTCCTGCGCCTGCTTGGGGCGTGCCACCGGCAAGATAGGCGCAACTTGGCCAGCGGGGATGTCCGCTCTGCCGGACGCCTCCTCCGCCCAGCTATCGCGACGCGCTTCTCCCTGTTGGAACCGGGCCAGAGCATGGACAACTCTGTCCTCGCGCAACACCTGGGAGAGTACTTGGACGAGCTCGGCGGCGGGCTGCCGGCGGCGCTTCGCGACGACCCCCTTACGCCTCGCCTTTGCCTCGACGCTCTGCGCGACGCGCTCGCCTACCGCGAGGGCGGGGAGAAGGCGCGGCTCGTCGAGGAGCGCCGCTACCACCATGCGGCCCCGCTGGCCCCGAACCTCTTCAGGCTTTTCCTCTCCCCACGGCCTTCGGGGGAGGAGGCGCTCGAGCGAGTCAGCAACATCACTGCCCTCCTTCTGCCGGGGGGCGGGACCGGCAGGGCTCGCGTCCCCTTCCACGTGTCCGCCACGCGCGCTGAGCAGGCCCTGATCCCGAAGCTGGCCCTGCTGGAGGCGGAAGCCTACCTCCTTGTCTTTGCGCCCACGCTCCTCCGCGCGCTGAAGGCGAACCGCAATGCGTACGTGGTTCTGCGCACGGACGCCCTCACGACCGCGCGCACGCTGCCGGCGGAGTCACAGAAGAACCCCCTGATGGTCTCGGCCTACCAGTGGCTACTCGCCCAGCCCTGGTACCAGGAGCTCGCGCCGCGCGTCATCGTGGCGCATCTCTACGGGGACGCCAACCCCCTCGCTGACTGCGTCTCGCGAGCGCGATGGACGGAGTTCGCAACGCGCTGCCGGCAGGTCGGCGTCGTCCCAGAGGAAGTCCACCTCCCGCCCGCTGCTCAGGGGCTAGTCTCCCGGCTCGCCGCCCGAGAAACCACATCTCGGGTAAACTGCTTTCAACGCGGCCTTGCCTTCACTTGAGCACTTGAGCACTTGAGCACTTGATACCGCGTGGTACGAGTCTTCGCGTGCCGCCTGTTGTTCGACTCGGGCGCCTTGGGCGTCGGGGTGGCGAGCAGGGGACGCGGCTCTGAGCGCCCAGCGACGCGTGCCGGATGGATGGAGTCCGGCCGCGGGTGACTAGGGGAGTTTGCTCAGATTGCGCACTCTTGTAGAGCGTGCGGTCGACGCAGGTGCTCACTTGGGCCGCAACTTCGTGACGGGCATGACGTACGACATGAGTGGTGCCGAGGTTCCGTATGTCAAGACATCTCTCAAGGGCCTCGTTCAAGAGTTGCATAGCCACGCGCGCATGCACGCTGGCTCGGCGGTGGACCTTCGTCCGTTGTTCCGCACGGTGTGCGAGACTGTTGCCAAGACGCTGTCTTCAGAGAACGCAAGGCGCGCTATGGCCCTAGACGACAAGCTGATGCAGGAGGGTTGGGCATGCCTTGATCCAGACTACGCGGCGGATCTGCAGATGATGGCAATGACAGGTTTTGGAGAGCTAACATGCGTGCGGTCTGTCAGTTGCCGCTGATAGCCGGTTTTCGCCTCATAATCGTGAGCGGGTGGTCGAGGGTCGGTTGCGAGGGGCTCAGCCTGGCTAGCCAGGTCCGCCTGGGCGCTTCGAGTCATCCGCACTGCAATAATAATCTCTCGCGAGGGATCTGATCACCGCCCGTGAGTCGCTGCTTTGCTTGAACCGTTTTTGGCCGTTCGTCTATCGCGACAATTTGGGAGGCGCTTGGAGCAAGCCGCTCTCTTGCGTTGGTACCTTAGGTAGATGAACAAGGGCATTGGTACAGCTGAGGGCCTCCTGTGGTGTATGTCAACACAATAAACTTTGTCTCCGGCTGTTGGAGCTCCTGGCGTATGATCGGGCAGAAGGCGTTGAGCGCCTGCTAAGTACATGTACATGTCGTGTTGTTGTCCTGATGACGTTGACTTCTTGCGACACTTGTCTTGTTTCCTTTTACGTCTCGCCGTGTCCGAATATACTGAAACCAAATTCGGTAGTTTTCTTCTAGCTGCCCGTAGTAACTGCAGCAGCAATGATAGTCGGCGATGCAGTTTGTGTGCTCGAGAGCTACCCCGGTCCTTACAAAGGCCGACGAGGGCAGATTGTCAAAGTAGACTCTGGTCGGACCAATAGCTTGCGCGTCCAGTTTGACGACTCGGAGGCAGCTTGGTTTCCGCCGGAAGCGGTGGAGTCAGTGTCGCAAGATGGCAACGGTTTGTCACAGTCGCAGAGGCTCACCCTGGACAAGGTGCCAGACGTTGAGCGCGAAAGTGTGCTTGCTGTCTCCAAGTTCCGAGTTATTGACAAGGAAAGCAACTGGATTGGGATGCCCGTTGTGGTCGTCGACACCGATGCACTTTCGACCTTGTACCCCTCGTTGTACTGCCGGGTGGCCCCTGCAAAATGATGTTTATGGAGGGTTAAAGTTTGCGGGGGGGGACAGCTTTGGGCGGTCGACTTCAATTTTGGGGGGTTTACGACGGTTTTGGGGATCCTGCCGACGCGCTACAGTGTTAGCCCCACTGCACATAAGATGGACACCTCAACGGGAGGGCCCTCGCAGCACCCGGGGCCGACGCCTGCAGCCTTAGTCTTGGCCCGATCCGGCGGTATGCCACGGGTAGGCGCGTTGAGGCTTGCCGCCTCCTCGGCGCCAACGCGGCCTGTGCCGCAGCTGCCCTGTTCACGCGCGCGCGAGACGTGCAGACTTGTCAGAAAGAAAGAAAGAAAACAGACAATCCAAACGAGGGATGGGGGAGGAGGACAGGGTCCACACCTGCACGAGCAGGATTTTGGAAGGACGATCAGAGGGGCACAGGTGGGGCGAGGTTTTCCGGCAAACAAAAAGGAAAACAGAGGGTCCCCAGCACTTTGGTCTTTGCGTTTCCGGAAATTTCCAGGGAAAACAGAGGGTGTTTGTGTTGTTGGTTTTGTTTGGTGCTACATTCTGGAGTTTTGTCATTCTGGAAACTCGCGAGTTTCCCTGAGTCTGAGAGCTGGTCTGGCGTCTGGGGCAAAATCTGAGGCAAAATTGAGGAATCGACAAAATACCCAGGCGGTCGCAGGGTAATTTCCAGGTCTACACGGCGGGTTCTCCGCAAAATTCCCGGCATTTTGACGATTTGGCCTTAAAATTTGGCTGATTTTGGGCCCAAACCAGCCTCAGAGCTCAGTGCTCAGACTCGGCTCAGAGCCCAAAATTTGACGATTTCCACGGAGTTTTCCCGGGAAAATAGAGAGGAAAAGAGAGGGTGCTGTAGAGAAAAAAGGAAGGAAAACAGACGGGGTGCGAGAGGAAAGGCGCGTCTCTCTTGACCGGCACGAGCAGTGCTGTGTGCGGCGCTCGCCACCCTGGCGATTGTGCTGCGACGGCGGACGGCGTGGTTGCTCAGATGGCCTTATGACGACCCCGTTTCGACATCGTCCCTAAGGCCTCTGCTCATGAGCTCCGCATGCGGGAATGATTGGCTGAACCAACTGATCACAAATTCTCTCTGCAACATCAGAGTCGTCGAATTATGCTGTCACGAGGAAGAATTTTGGCGCTTTGTGAGATATCGTGGGAATTTGTGATCAGTTGGTTGAGCCAGTCATTCCCGCGTGGAGCTCATGAGCAGAGGCCTTGGGGACGATGCCGAAACGGGGTCGTCATAAGGCCATCTCAGTGGCTACACGGCCTGCCACGGCGTGTGTGCCACGACTCTGGACGACTCTGAACTGGCGCTTGATGCGGGCATAACTGAGGGCCCAACAGGAGAATCGTGCTTTTTGGGTTGGGTTGGGTTGTTGGGCCTGGGTTGGGTTGTTCCGCGTAAGGTTGGGTCGTCGGCGCGAAGGGTGAGGTCTCGACCGCCGCCGCTCACGCCAGCGGACGGCCACCATCGGTGTTTTTGGCTTCGCCACCGTCCAAAGCGTGCGCAATGCGCTCGCCGGCATCGAGCGAGCACGCCTGTCCGACGAGCGGCTTGCTGTGTGGACGCCTTCTTGTGGCCCTCGTCGAGAGCGTTTTGCGTCCCGGCGGGTGGGAGAATATGTGTCGTCTGATGTGTCACTGTGTGCGTCACATCGATGTGGATAACAAGCACGGTCGATCCGTCAAAGCGATACACTCGTTCCTATGCCCTGTTCACGCGCGCGCGAGACGTGCAGACAGGGTTGCCAGGTGCCCCTGCAAAATGATGTTTATGGAGGGTTAAAGTTTGCGGGGGGGGACAGTTTTGGGCGGTCGACTTCAATTTTGGGGGGTTTACGACGGTTTTGGGGATCCTGCCGACGCGCTACAGTGTTAGCCCCACTGCACATAAGATGGACACCTCAACGGGAGGGCCCTCGCAGCACCCGGGGCCGACGCCTGCAGCCTTAGTCTTGGCCCGATCCGGCGGTATGCCACGGGTAGGCGCGTTGAGGCTTGCCGCCTCCTCGGCGCCAACGCGGCCTGTGCCGCAGCTTGCGTTTGCTGCCAGACAAGAGGAGGAGCAGAGCCGTTTGGCGATAGGGCCAGGCAATAGCATTCGCCCCGTGGGCGTTGCGGGCTCGAGCAACACCCGGGTCGAGGTTGCTGCGCCTCTTGGCGCAGTGATGCAGCATCGCACGCTCGTTGCGGGGGATGGAGCATCGGCGGCAGCCGGAATCCTGGCTCTTCCGGATGCAGGTCCGGCGGCATTTGCGGCGGTGTCTTTGCAGATGCGAGTGCAGCGCGGTCAGACACCGTCGGCCGCCGAATGGCGCACGATGCCGCAGCTGCGGGCGGAGTGGTGGCTATGTCGGCATTGCAGAGACGCTGTCAACCGCAACTCGGCCACTACCTGCAGCAGATGTGGGTCGAGCGTCAGGGAGATGACGCCATATGCAAGTCCAGCCGAGGTTGCGGCCCTCTCAACAAACGCACAGCGCACCGCGTATGGTCGGAGACTGAAGAGTGTGCAGGGAAAAGAGCAGCCTGTCGCTCTTGCTGTTGCGCAGACGCCGGGCAGCGCCGGCTACGCCAGCGCTGTCCTTGCCCAGATTGCGAGCTTTCAGCCTGGGTCGAAGCGGCTGGAGGCGATGGTGGAGCCTCGTGTTTGCCTTTTTGACGGATGGCTCGCCCTCACGACTGACGGGACTGTCATCGGGTCTCTTCCTCTCTCTCTCTTTCTGTCTGTCTCCCTCTCTCTGTGAGGACCCACACCCTGCCTGTCCCACCCGCCCGTGTGTGTGTGATCAGTGTCTACAGTACAGACGGGGAGGGAGTATCTTTGTTTGGCTCACGCCAGGGCGCTCGTTGCTCTCCGTCTTTTGTATCTTCGATAGTGATATTTTCAGAAGACGGGGCTGTCCACCGAGTCGAACTTTTACGTGCCGCCGAAAAGTAACTCCGACCCCGCCGCCGCCCGAAAACTTAACCCGTTGCCACCGCCCCCCTCTGGCTCCGCCGTCCCAACCGCCACGTCGTCCATTCGATCCCTAATGCTGCCGATCTTGAACCTCGCGCAGACTGGCTCGCTGCTCGCCGCGTCCTCAGACGGTGGGAGCAGGCAGTGCAGCGCCAGTGGCGATGTCGGCACGCAGCTCGACTCCAGCTCTGCAGTGGACCTCGAGCTGCACCACCACTTTCTTCAGCCGCAAGAGCTCCTCGATCTTCAACAGCGCGCTTCTGCCGTGCCAGAGGCTGACTGGCTCCCGTGCTCTTGCAGGGCAGAGGCAGCCACAGCTGTACTGGCCAAGGAGTGCGCCCACGTCGACGTCGGCCAAGACCCGGTGGCGGCAGGAGTGCTCGGGCGGCTCGCAATGCTCACCGGGTCTTCCACCAGCCTCGAGACTCTACCTCTGGTCCGCTATCGCCCAGGCGCCACGGCGACGCCGTTGCACGTCGACCACCTTCCCGACGGCGCAAGGGTAGATGAGTAGCGCGGGGACGGCAGCCATGCCCGTCCGAACTGGAGGAGGGCGAGTGGGTGGGGGTAACTGTAGTAGAGCGCCATCCCCTTCCCGCTGTGCGACTCTGCGACTGCCGCACTGCCCGGCGCAGGCCGGGTCCCGGACGCGTCCGCGATGATCTACCTGACGGCAGAGGCCAGCGCCGTGCACTTTCCCGCCCTCGGCCGAACCGAGCGGCCAGGAACGGGGTCGCTGCTGACTTGGCGCAGCGTCGACGAGGAGGGTCGTCGGCTGCCCGCGTCCGCGCACGCTGTGAGCGAGCACCCTGCCAGCGCGTCGCAGCCGCGCATCGCGGTCTCGATTCCCATCCTCAGGGATGCGGGCGGCGCTGCGGTGATGGCCCCACTGCACTTTGGAGGCTGCCGCCGCCGGCTTTCGGAAGGCGACGCTGACTGTGATGATGGTGCTGGCGTGCACGGCGACCCGCACCTGACCCTCGCGCACGGGGGCGTCGCTGATTTCCGAGGCCGGGACGGCAAGTTCTGGAACTTCCTCAGCGCCGCCAATGTGAGCGTCAACCTGATGACTCAGGACGGGAGTCCCTTTTACGTACCCTCTCGGGGGGGGGGAGACCTTCCGTGAGCCTTGCCGGAACCTGCTTTTAGGACGGCGTCTTTGCGATGCACGGCGCGACGGTGAATGGCAGCTGGCTGACCGAGGCCCACGTTTTTGCCATCACGTCGGCGGGCCCGCTGCAGCTGTCGTATTTTGCGTGGAAAATCTCCGCCGACAGTCTCATCGGCTGGTCCAACGGCACTTGCGGCGGCCGTCCCTTCAAGCTGATTGGCTGGGCGGTCACTCCCCGCAGGGACGGGCCGCGGAACCGGCAGCTGTGCGGCGAGGCGCTGCTGCAGTCCGACTACTCGAGTGTGAAGATTGCGTTGCCCGAGTGGAACATCACGATCGCGCCCAAGGCGGTGCCGGACTGGTTCCACCGGCGATCAGACTGGATCAGCGGGCCAAAGGCGGCGGCGGCTTCTCGTGCCACCCCATCACGCGCGAACACACCCTGCCGAGCCTTTTCCGGCTCCCCGGCAGGTCCGTCTCGACGTGCAATTTTCCCTCCTCGTCCCGGAGAGGAGCCTGCGCGTGGCACCGCACGGAATCGTCGGCCAGTCCTTTGATGGCAGCGGCGTCGCCGTCGATGGCGCGCGCGACCCGGCACCCCTCCCCGGCCAGAACCTCACGACCACGGCGATGGCGGAGGGCGCTATCGAAGGCTCGTGGGAGGACTACCTGATGGCCTCGCGATTCGAGACCGCCTACAAGTTCTCGCGGCTCGGCTTGGCCGAGGCGCCAGCCCGCGACATCGCCACGCTGACGGGGCGCCGCTTCGCGTCGGCGGCGGCGGACGCCGGGCACACCACCGCGACGGTGTCGATCGAGGGGGGGGACGAGGCGACCAAATCGTACCGTCGGCTCGCCGAGTTGAACTAGGCGAGCTGGCGGTCCCGGCTCGGGGACTCTGCGCCTCCAGCACCGCTGTTGAGGAGACCTCGGGGAGGACCCCTCGCGCCTCTTCGAGCGCCTTTGCTGCTCTGCAGTCCGACTGCTGCACATGCACATTCATCTGGAACTGGATGGGGTCTGGGGGAAAGGTCCACCAAAGCTACCTAGGGCGTTGCGCGGGTGTTGGGGGTGCTTTGATTGACGGTATTTGACGTTGATGATTGTGAGTCTTTCTACTTTCAGAGAGCGATATGCCATGTCCGCCTTGCTTTGTTTCCTCCCTTCGAAGGCAGCTCAAAAAGAAGAAAACGGTGTCAACCCAGTCGTGCTCTCGTTGGTCTCCCTCCAGATTTGCGCCGATGAAGACCGCCAACGTGAGGGCTGCGACCTCCCACCTCAAGAAAATCTCGAGCGTGCTCGCCATCCTTCTCGCAGGATGTGCTCTTCTCAAAGCGTGCGTGCCGTCCTCCAGTCTCCTCGAGAGATCTGCGCCTGCCGCTCTGCTTCGCAGCGACTGCAAGGGAGCGAACTCGTTGATACAGGGCTTCATCTCAAGAATGACGCTTGACGCGGTGACAACTGTTGCTGCCTACACGCGCGACTCTGACATCCTCCCGCACATCTTGATCACACCCGCGTTCTCCGCCGGAGAGACCAGGGTCTGGAACATGACCATCCCGCAAATCAACGGCGTCAAGGTGCGCGGAGGCCTCTGCTGGGACGACTACGAGTGAGAGCTGCTCCTCCCGCCAGCTGCACCTCTCCTCCTCCTCCTAACTGCCTCACGTATTGCTCTCCTCAGGTGGCACAGGACCCAGGGCACCTTCTGGCGCACGATCGGCGACCTTTCCAAGCCGCCTGACGGCGTGCAGATCGCGATCGACGACATTTCCGCCGTCGTGGAAGCCAACTTTCAAGTCCGCGGATTTGCTGGCATGACGCTCTGCGAGGGGCGCGCGAAAATCGCTCTCTCTGGCAGCATGACCATCTTTGCGAACCTGCGCTATCTCGACGGCCAAGCCATCGACATCTGCGACGGTGACTTCGGCGTCGACTCCTTTCACGTTGACATGGCAGGCGCTTTCAAAGGCACCACTGAGCCTGCGGTGGTGCAAGCCGTCATCAGCAACATCATTAAGCCGTTGGTGCGCGAAAACGCCGCCTCGATGGTCTGCGAGGGTCGAGTCAGCCCGATGCTGCGCTTCCTGGGGCCTTCGGTCGAAGTGGACTGGTCGTCCACCCACCTTCCCCTCTCCGCCACACCGCCAGGCCACCACCTACGCACGCCCTCTCCCTTTTCAGGTCGTCCACCCCTTTAATGGGCGGCAAAAAGCCGTTCAAAGGGCTCGCTAGCGAGGTCCAGTCGCGCTTGCGCGGCTCTCCCGTCATCCTCTCCCTGCTGAAAACGATCGGCACCTCGTCGCCCTATGAAGAGCGTCACGAGGCGGCGCTGCGCGACCAAAAACGCCTCGCGGAGGTTGGGGTGGATGCGCCGTTTGGCGAGGACCGCTTCGCCGACATATCGCCTTATGACAACTCGGTTGGGGCTAAGATGATCGCCACGGACTCCTTGGCCTCTGTCGATGGAGGCGTGACCGGGGCGCTGGCCGGCACAACGCGAGCCGGAACCTACCTGTGGTGCGCGCGCCCCTCCTCGCCGCGACCGCGCCACGACCGCGCAAAGCCAACCCGCACCCCACCTCCTCGCCGCAGGGGCTGGGACACAAAGAAAACCATCAAGCTCATTAACAACGTCCTGAAAGGAAACTATGCCGTGAACATGCCCCTTATCGAGGAGGTGGCGCTCGGAGGCAAGGCCTCTCATCCCGCGGTGGAATGCCACGACTTCGCCGCCACCGAGCCGCAGAGCCGCTCTCGGCTCCGTGCGCTATACCGCGGAGAGATGGGAGCGGAGGCGCCCTCGGCTCTGTGCACAGCACGCCAGAGGCTGTCAGTCGTCCTCCATCCCTGGGGCCAAGCGATTTACCTGGGCAATTACACTGACGGACAGGCTCTCGCCTATTGGCGCGTATCGAAGGTAGGAGATCTCCCTGGCACTACTGAGGAGGAGATAGCTGCACCTTCGTCGGAACTGGCATTCGGGCCGCCCGTGCCGCCAGCACCAGACGGGACGCCGCTCTACAGTTACGGCGTCATCAAGGCCTGGCGCGACGACAAGGGCAGGCCCCATCCCAAGCGCTTCGTCTTTTCGCGGTGGGAGCGGCGCTCGTGGCCTTTTGACGGTGAGGTGGTGCTGGAGCCCATGCTTGAGCTTCGCGTCATCGCGTCGCCCTGGTGGTGGGGCGGGAATAGCAAGTCGGCGAAGGAGCAGCCCCTGTCAGACTTTCGAGTTCTGCGGGCAGGATCGGACGATGTCGTGGCGGCGGTGGGCGAGACCAGGCCGTTCGCGCCTGACCATACGTGGCGCGAGTGGGGCATCCGCACTGCCAGGAAACCCCAGATTGCGCACCCACGATCCCGAACCCCCCCCCCCCCCTAAACTGACACGCCTAGGACCTGACCTAACAGCGGTGTCGACTTGCTCGGTCTTTTCGCCTTGATCCTCTCCTCAAAGTACAAGTCGGAGGACCTTGGCCGCCGATTGGGCTTTTTCGAGATGGCGGTGGTGCGCGCGTATTTGGAATGGGAAAGCGCCCGGGAGGACGGGCATCGCGAAATCTCCAAGGCCATCAAGGCGATCAAGGCGCTCGCCAACGGCGGCATTGTGCAAAACATCGCATAGCAAGAGGGGAAGAGGGCCAAGGCGACGTCAATGCCTTGCCAGTCGTGAGCGCCCGCGATGATGAGGTTGTGAGGAGAGCGCAGGCTGAGGCTTGCGCACACTCGGCGTTAACTCGTCACTCCACGACCCTCCACGACTCTCCACGACCGGCACACGGCTCTACTCCCAAAGTCGAACCGTGTCTCTCTTTGTACATGCATACTCTGCTACGCGAATAACAACAGGAGTTCGTTTTATATTCAATTGAATTTAACTCTTGCGCGGTTCCGCATTAAATAAATAAATAAATAAAAACGGTCAAACTCTGAGACGAGATGGGATTTAGGGACATGTGTCCCCGACCCCGCCCTGCACGATCTTGGTGTGAGGGATCTTCAATCCGTGTCCCCTCACCCCTGGTCACTACCCGACACTAGAAGAGCAGCAAGAGTTGGGGCTGCGGCTACGGCTGCGGCTGCGGGAGGGGCTATGGTCGCGGGAGAGCCGCTGCGCCGCGTGGGCGCGCCTACACCGCGCTTGCTCCGCTCGCCACCTCTCCGCAAAGGTCCAAAGTCATAGCCATCACCTCCTCCGGCAAGTCCTTTTCGCCTATCTCGCCGTCCCTCCATGCCTGGTAGAGCTCGTCGTCATAGGGAGGGCTGGAAGAAATCTGAAACGATTCGGATTTGTGAAACGCCTCTCTCGACTTTTTTCGCGAGCCACAGGCGCTCGCCCTGTGAGCCACAGCGCCTCCGGACAGCGTGCCGAGCGCCTGCTACAGGCCTGCCTGCAGCCCAGC